ATGCTCAGTTATGAGTGCCACGTGACTGCTTATTGCATGGCGAAGGTGTGCGCTAATGTGACGTAAAAAGTACATTCATGGGGGTCTACATGTCCTTTCGCCGTGTCGTCGCTTAAGGCGTGTGTTTGTGTAGGCAAGTGACGGTTTGGGTGGGGCTGTGTGCGTACACACATGTGTGTTTCACCCCTCCAACCGTTATAACCTTGAAGATGGCCGTCAACCCAATCAGCATCCAGCCAAAATGTTAGTCTTTTGTCGCGTTAACAAGCCCTCACGTCCTGCGACACTTTATCACGCTGCCTTTAAGCCAAGATCTTACAAAAACGTTGCATTGATCCCACACGGGACCTCTTGCGTTCGAAGGGTCAATTTGCAGACCTCCCTGTGTCTGAGTTTACTGTTCTCGCCTCATTGGTTGTTGTGTCCCTCCCTCAGCCCACTACCAGCGTTCACCCACGCTGTTGGTGGGTAAAACGAAGACCATCGGCATTGTGTTGCTTTGTTTTGTCGTGGCACGGTCCATGAGTAATTTTTTATTCGGTTTCGCCGATGCACCACTCTCCCCCACCCACCCACCTTTAGGTCTGAGAGCAAGACACGCCGTGGTCTGTCTTTGTTTGCTGTTCTGGGCGGTGGTCATCAGTGGCACTAGCTAGCTAACCTCTCGCCGTAGCTAAACCACCTGTGTTTCCCGCCTTTCCTCGCCCCAGAAATGCCCAAGAAGCTATCTGACCCCAACCTGTCCGATGTGTCGCTTCCCTTGGGGATTGGTGTCTACAGTGTGGCGTCGTTGCCGCCTCTTGGAGCTGCTATCTACGGTCAGCTTGTCACTCTGGATCAGCTCTCCCAACTCGGTCACCAACGAAAACAGCAGCAGCAGCAGACCACAACGAAGCTCCCCTCGGCCGCCACCTCCGCAGTCACCACCATGCCCTCGCCCCCGCTCACGCCCACCTCGTCCACGTGCTCGGCCAGCAATGTGATGTCCGCCTCGGCCTACGCCAACCTCGACCCCTCCTACTCCCTGAAGAACAAGACGGTCAAGGCGTCGCAATCCATGGAGGTCGAGGCGATGGATTTGGGGAGTTCAGGCGGGTCTGGCGGTAGTCCCGCGTCATCGTCCAAGGCCGGAGGCGCCAACAACACGTACAGCTACCCCACCTTCCCGTACACCACAACTACCGCAGCTGTTGCTACCTCCACTGCCACATCCACCGCCACATCCACCACAACTGAGCCCCTACAACCCCTTGTCTTTCGCCGACCCTCCCACCAGGGCCAACGAATGCTCTTGCGAATGTCGGTGCGGCTCATCCAAACCTACGAAACCATCAATGAGGTGAGTTTGGCGGGGCTTTCGTGCCTCATGCGGTCACATCATCGTTCGTCACCGATCACCAGACAGGTTCGTGTGTGGCTGTCATGACAACTCACCACCGCACAACAGTATTCTAATTGATGGTGTTCTGTTGGTCCTGTGTGTGCGTTTGTGTGTGAAATCAATTCGTCCGAGCTTTTTTATGATATATGACGCGGAATTGCAAATGCCCACTGTCGGGTTATTTGCATAATCTCAGTTGCACGCTATCCATTGCCTTCTTCTTCTTCGGTTAATTCACCGCTATTGCACTGTGGTTGCTGCTGCAGTCGCTCTTGGACAGGGGTCTTGCATCGGATTTGAGGGAGGTGGCGTCTATTTCTTGTTTTGCCAGTAACGGGCTGCTTTCCTTCGTGTTATTACGCCGATGTAGGTCTACTTTCGCAAGAAACGACGAAGAGACCAGGCCTGCGAGGAGAACATGCTGAAACGGGACCGGAAGGGTACAACCGCTGTGGGAGGAGGCGGCGGCGGCGGCGTCGGCGGTGGACAGACTGCGGAGGCCTCGAGCCTGGCGAACGTGGCGCCAGCCGCCCCAGGGCACTGCTGCGGTCCCACTCTGGCACCCACCACCTCCTCATCCGCCCGCTCATGCTGCCAACTCCATCACGGCGCCTCCGCGCGAATCGGGAACGGCGCCAACGGCGGAGTATGGGCCGCCTCCTCCTCCTCCTCCTCTCAACAACCGCACCTCTACGACGTCGGTGAGTTCGGTAGCGGATAAAGTCCCCAAAAGTCACTCCCTCATTATTATAAGCGGAGCTTGTCCCCTGTGCTGGAGTTGTAGTCGCATTGTTTTGACAAGCGCTGGCCAAATCCCACCTAATTGTGCTCAATTGATGTACTCCCATTCTCGTGGCTTCTATATGGATGCTTGGCGTTAGCGCGTGAATGCTGAAAAAAGCCATGTGTTGGTAATTATTGGAATAGGGTGTGTCTGTGTGTTTGAGAAGCCGAAAAGATGGCGGTTGGCCAGAAATTGCGTCCCTCGAACCCCATTGGTCAGCTCATTGGCAAGAAGTGGATGAGAAAGCGACGCGAGGCAAGTTGGAGGGAGGAGACGGAGGAAGGAAAAACTCGTGTCGAGTAATCCAATTACCTAATGTGCACGAGAGCACAAGTGAATGGCCCTAGTGTTCGTCCCGATCGCCAGGTCACTGATTGGCCAATGTGGTGAGGGTGTTGTTGTGATTGGTGGATGAGCTGTCGTTGTTGTTTGATTCAAATTGAATTATGATTCATGTGTTACTCACTACTATGTCTTGTGGTGTGAATCTAGCAAATGGTTTCGTCCTGAATTCGGCGTAAAGCGCAGCTCGAAATTAGTGACTATCAATTTCACTCAAATTTGCATCACTATTTCTTCAAATCGAATTCGCCAATATCGGTAAAAATTGATGCAGTTTGGTGGTGCACTGTCAAAGCTGGTCCCAGGGATCACTTTGTCGTGGCGGCGACTATTCACCGGAACCTGGTATCAAAATTTACCCCCCCCCGTCCCAGTTCTTAGACATTTGGGTGAACAATCTTTGAGCACCGTCTGTTACACCTCCTCGAATTGTTTTTCGATTTCCTGTCTTCAAGGCACTCGTCAGCAGATTCAACAAAAGCCCGTCAATCCTGCCGTGTCGTCGTCGTGTTCGACCGCTCTCACGCGGACAATTCCCACCGGTGGCGGCGGCAGCAGCAGCAGCACCAATCGCCTACTCCGCCACCAGACTAACGACTTCCTCAAAATCGGCAGTGTCTGGCTCGATCGATACGAAATCACCGATATGCGCGGCAAAGGCACTTTCGGCCAGGTACGTCGTATAACCAACCAACCAACTTGGGCCGGAATTATGTCCGAGCCCTGTTATAAAGGCGCGTAACTGCTTGGGGGTTAATCCAGCGCGCCCGCAAGCACGATGTTCTTTAGCAAAACATCACCACCACCACCACCGACGAACAGGCACCAAGACACGGCGGCTTTCCGTCGCAGGAACTGGGCCGTCGGCCTTTGAAGCGGCGCACCGCACCGCACCGCGTTTGTGTTGTGTTCGCGCGTGCCGCGGTCGACATGACTCACTACACAACAGCTCCCTCTCCGCGCGCGCGTGCGTGCGTGCGTGTGTGCAGACACTCGCCTCCTTCTGCTGGGTTTCCTTTTCACTGCGCGCCCCTTTTCGGACACGCGCCGCGCGTTCGCGCTCGCCTTTTCATCACGGCCCGACCGCCGACACTGTTCCCACAAGCCATGTTCACAGCGCGAATCCCCATTCTAGATGCGCCGGTGGCCCTGTCATTAGTTCTCGGTTTGTGTGCGTGTTTGTCCGAACTCCGCATCGATTCGGCGACGGGTGCCACCTCCGCCAGGGAGCGTGTCGTTTTGTGCTACACGTGTCGGTTTTTGTTGTAGGTGTTTCGCGCGCATGACCGCAAGACCCACGAGGAGGTGGCGATAAAGGTGATCAAGAACCGTCGCCAGTTCCTCCAGCAGGCCGAGATTGAGATCAAACTCCTGCGGGAGATCGCCCACTTTCAGGAGAACGAACAGCGCGCCGCTGAGGTCGGAGCCAACTACGTCGGTGAGTGCGAGCAATCTGATTGGTCAAACCCCCCGCTTCCCCTCCTCTCCCCCCCTCCTCGAGTAATTCCGGTTCTGCTGTCGTCGTGTTTTGAAATCATACCAATGTCTGTTTCTCTACCACTGTGTGTGTGTGTATGTACGTATTTACGCGTCTGTAGAACTGCAGCAAACACGCACACACACACACACACACACATCAGACTGCTCGTAGACCCGATCCACTTGATAAACAACGCGTACCACCCATCCCGAGGTTGTGTGTGTGCGTGTTCGGCTTCTGTCTGTCTGTCAGACCACTTGATTCGCAGGCCACGGGTGCACGTGTCCGCTTCGTTTGCGGCCACCAGACCACCCTGGTGTAACCTGATCCTGCGACTTTGTTGTGTCACAAAGGCGCTCTCCGGTTCCCTCGGCGACCGCACAGCGGCTTCGTCGAAGTCTGCAGGAATGAGGGCTAGGCGAGTTCCCCACTAAACGTCGACGCCATTAGGTCGTAGGCATGGAAGTACGCTTTGGACGTAGTTTTTGTCGGGGAGCGTTGAAAGGTCCACTGAGCAGGTCCTTTTAGCATTACATCGCCTCAGTGAATCCACTCGGTGCGAAACCTCACGCCTTACACTCGCCACTCACACCCTACGTGCGTCCACGTTCGCCCAACTCGCGCTCCCCATTGGCTAGGTCGGTTTTGGTGTGCGTGCGTGTGCGTGTGCGTGTTTTATGTCTTTTTCGGCAAGCGCACGCATATTTCATTAGAACGCGTGTCCACAATGACCGTTGGCAATCACGACGATGTGGCGTGGTTGGATGGTACCCTCCTAAATGTGATTCGGCCGACTGAGGGTTCGTGTGTTCCAGTAGCCCTCGGCAACACTTCAAATTTGACCTACCACAGCCACGTGAGTTGGTTTCGGCGGTGATGCCACGAAAAAACGAGCCTTTTCTGTTATCAACCAATAGTTGATGGCCCTTTAAATAATCCCGCTTTCAAATTCTACAACCGGCGACGGTTTTCGTCTGAAGTCTCGCTAGTTGTGAAATCTCAATTGTTGATTAGCCCTGTTAAACAGCCTGCTAGCAATATGCCACTAGTTGTTGGTGCACATTCCTTCCTCGGTGGTGATGACACAGGCTGTTTGGGTTACGCGCGAAATGTCATTCGGTGTAGAGGCCAGGCTTTTTACCTACACGGTCAAAGCAACCAGGGCGCGTTTTGGGCTATTGTTGTTGTTGTTGTTGTTGTCTGGACACGCAGTGGAGCGCACGCATCACGAAAATCTGTGGTTTTGAAGTGACGTTCACTGAATCCGTGGCAAACTAGTGCAGATTCTGGTCGAAATGAAGCATATTGTGCGAATCCAATGTTGGTGGAAGAGTAGTCAGGCCGACTGTTGCGACATGCTGGACCTAGGCTGTTGAGCAGCACTGCAATCAGTTGGTGTGTTGCAGACTGACGTATTTCCGATGTGACGAGGACACGGCACAGAATGCCCGTAGTTGCCTTAAGTCGTGGAGGAGCGGTGACCGTCTTTGTGTGGTGTATGAATCGTGAGTTGTTGAGCAATCTGGACACGATGGACACTGCCTCTGTGCCCCGCTACCCAACACTGTCACCAATTTATCTCCAGTCGTCGAGGCTGATGCGCTTCGTGTGTGGAATTATGCTCAGTTATGAGTGCCACGTGACTGCTTATTGCATGGCGAAGGTGTGCGCTAATGTGACGTAAAAAGTACATTCATGAGTGTCTAGATGTCCCTTCACCGTGTCGTTGCTTAAGGCGTGGTTTTTTTCTGATTGAACGCCTCAAATTTCCAGAGCCCAGCGCTTCCAAAATGTGCCAGCACATCGACACCTGCTCTTCACTATTTTATATCTCCCCCTATTTGCTTCTTCTCAAAAAAATCGCATCACACACGTTCTGTGTTCCCGCCTAATCGTTTTCGCGCAATTACGACATCGCGCACACTCCCCAGTGGGTGATTTTTTCCATGGAAAATTTTCAAGTGAGGTCCTATTTGTGTACGGGCCATCACAAAGCGTGTTGTGTTTCGTTGTTGTTAGTTAGCTTGCAACTCAGAAATAAACTACCGAACAAAACAGCCTGCACCAATGTTAGACACACCCCATCACGTGAGCCTGGTGGCCACTCGCATTGCCACGTAATGCGCGCCTAGAAATTAGTTTTAGTTGCTGTCGTCAGTGTACACGATGTGTCAGGTTGTCAAATCAATTGGCCACAATCGCGTTGTACGTGTGTAGTGCGTGGTAACTAGGCTCTAGAGCTACAAGATTTTGGATACTGGTAAGGTCGTTTGGCGCAAAAGCGTAATGCCAAACCCCGGACAAATTTCAATCGATATGGTGCCACTAACGTCGCTTCTACATCAGTGCTTGGAGTTAGCGGAAAGCGCCATGTGTTGGTAATTAGTGGAATGAGGGTGTGTGTGTGTGTGTGCGTATTTGAGAAGCCGAAAAGATGACGGTTGGCCAGAAATTGCGTCCCTCGAACCCCATTGGTCAGCTCGTTGGCAAGAAGTGGATGAGAAAGCGACGCGAGGCAAGTTGGAGGGAGGAGACGGAGGAGGGAAAAACTCGTGTCGAGTAATCCAATTACCTAATGTGCGCAAGTGCATAGGTGAATGGCCCTAGTGTTCGTCCCGATCGTCAGATCGCTGATTGGCCAATGCGGTGAGGGTGTTGTTGTGATTGGTGGATGAGCTGTCGTTGTTGTTTGATTCAAATTGAATTATGATTCATGTGTTACTCACTACTGTGTTTTGTGGTGTGTTGTTTGTGTGGCTTAATGATCATCAGTTTCATTCATGTGATGTTTGAGTTCATTGTGTTGCTCATTCGCTGCCCCCCTTCAAGTTTATTTCATGCCCCAAACGTTGCAATCACGAACACTCGATTAGCTCACCTTAATGCTGCCATCACGTGCTGCCATTTACAAACGCATGTCATTTTACGGCGGTTTTATTGATATGCGAATTTCGTGTGTGTGTGTGTGTGTGTGTGCGTGCACGGCTTTACGTGTGTTCATATTTCACACTTTATTGCCGCCTGTGTGTTCGTTTTCGCTCATCTGCTGCGTGTGTGGAAAATTCTCCAGTAAATTTGCATCATCCTGATGCGCAACTTGCCCTCCCCTCCCCCCGTCGCAACCTTTTGTCGCATTTTCTAGTGAACCTGAAGGGCTACTTCACGTACCAGGGCCACTGGTGCCTGGTGTTCGAGCTCCTCTCCTACAACCTCTACGAGTTGCTGACGTACACACACTACCGCGGCGTCTCCCTGCACCTCACGCTCAAGTTCGCGCGGCAGCTGTGCGCGGCGCTCGTCTTTCTCTCCCGGCCCGACGTCCGCGTGATGCACTGCGACCTCAAGCCCGAGAACATCCTCCTCGTGACGCCCAAGCGCTCCGACATCAAGGTCATTGACTTTGGCAGCTCCTGTCACGTCAGCGAGAACGTCCACCAGTACATTCAATCCCGGTTCTATCGGTGAGCCGCCCCCCGCCCCCTCCAGACCCACCCCTGCTTGGATGTCGCTTGTCGTCACCATGCGCCGCATTCCACTCTCTTGCTATCTGCTTCTTCTTCTATTTCAGAGCACCCGAGGTCCTGCTGAATCTGGACTACGGCCTGGGCATCGACATGTGGTCTCTTGGCTGTATCCTCGTGGAGATGCACACCGGTGAACCCCTCTTCTCCGGCTCCAACGAGGTAAGCGCTTGTTGTGGGCCCCAGCATGTGGTCGTGAACCACGCCGGGGCCACGGAATTAACCCCGGTCCGATTACGCTTGCCTGATACCCGTGATGAAGAAAAAGATCGGCGAGGACGTGGACACAACCGTTTACTTCAGAGCTCAACCTCGTTGGTGTCGTGTGTATTTATACCTCGGATGTGTGAGTCATACATGCGCTAACATCGGGACCAATGTGTGGGGATAATCCAAGATAAATATCCGTGCGAATGAGGCGGAAGTTGAGGATCCGCGCGGCCGGATCAAGGGGTGTGAATAAACGCGATTCACAACACGCTCTTGGAACTCGTTGCACGTGGTTAGCATTCGCTAGTTTCCACAATTGCTCATTTTGGAATTGTTGGACTTGTTGTGGTGCTTCAGCGAGTGCCTCCTCAAGTTGCCGTGTTGAGTTTCCACGCCAGGTTGTCCGGCAATTATTGACGCAGTTGCAAAAAAGAGGAGGCATTTCTCCCACGAAACTAGCGGCAGCGGTGGCCTAAGTATAGCGTACGCACACACACACACACACACACACTCGCAGGCGAAATGTGTGTGCGTGTGCGTGTGTTATTTCAAGCCCGCCTAACTCGCCTTGCGTCAGTATTTATAGAATCGCCTACCCTCGCTGTGTCTTAGCGTGTGCGCGCTCGCGCGCAACGCTTGCTGGTCGGCTTTGATCTGCCACTGCCTCTAACCGCGGCTTTTCCTGTGCCTCTGTGTTCCCCTTTTTTGCCTTCCCAACCCGTCGATTTTCCGAGCAAAGTCTCAGCTTGGCGTGGAAGGCGTCGCCAGCATATGCGACATTGTCGGGCCGCAGATCGTTCCCACCCCAACCCCCCCCCTATATCTCCTCTTTTTTGTCCCTAGCTGGAGCAACTGCTTCAAATTGTCGAGGTTCTTGGTCTGCCACCCCTATGGATGCTGGAGAAGAGTCCGAAGCTGGAACACTTCTTCGAGCGTGTTACCGATCCTGCCGCCGCGCCCGCGTCGTCGACAACTCCGCAGCAATCACAACAACAACAGCAGGAGCGAATGGACGCGTCATCGGCGTCCGCCTCGTCCATCTCCTCCTCCTCCTCGTCTTCTGGATCGTCCTCGCCTTCCTCCGCTTTCGCCAAAACCTGCTTCACCGTCCGTGGCGCCGTCTACCGACCGCGAAGGATATTTACCAAGGGAAACACAACCTCGAAAGTGGGTTTAACTATCTGCCTAGTTTTCTGCGTGCTTAGACACACACCATCCAATCGTTGTTCTCCTCTTGTAGTGTCGATTTCTGGGCCCGCATACGCGTCCACTGAGGGAGGTTGTGGGCCGGGACACCGGTGGTCCGTTGGGACGACGGATCAATGAAGACGGCCACGCACCCGAGGACTACGATAAGTTCATTGACCTCGTGCAGAAAATGCTCATCTACGATCCCCGGCATCGGATCAAGCCCGACGAGGCGCTTGCGCATCGCTTCTTTGAGCGCAAACCGACGAATACCAGCTCCTCCTCCGCCGCCGCCGCCTCCTCCGTTCCTGCTCCTGTTTCCACCGAGGGTACGCCATTTTCTCGCTCAACCAATGTCTTCTTAGATGTTAACGACCTCACTTTCTATTGGTGAATTTCAAGTCCGCGGTGGCGGGGCTATATCGGCGGTTGTATGTTCGTTTGTAGGAGGTCACCAAGTCCCAGCCCCTCCGCAGCCGGTTCCCGCGGTCGCGTCGATAGTGGGGAAGCCTCTGCCACGCGACGGTCGGTTCCCCGCGCCCGGTGACGAGGTGCCCGCGAGCGTCACGGCTGCTGCACCCTCCAGTCCGGCGTACCTCACTTTCGCGCCAAACCAATCACAGCAATCTGCTCCACACTTCTAGGGTGCACTTTCCACGCCCTGCCGCCCCCCCCCAAGTGTATCCTACCTCCTCCTCCTACACCCTCGCTTGCAATGCACACGTAACTCGGCAGCCATGCGTGTGAACCGGGGTCTGCAAGTAACGCCTTGCGAGTGCCCATCAAATCACACACACACGCGCACGCACACACACATAATTCATCCAAATCGTCCCCCCCCCACACACACACACATCCCCACGCGCCCCACCAACTCCGTTCGACAGCTAGGCAGCCAGATGATGACGATAATGCTACTAACAATGATGATATTAACGATGATAATGACGATGATGATGACCGTGCAAATACCCCTGCATCCGATGTGAAACAAACAATTGTGTCTTTCTTTCGCTACAACTACCCTCGCCCTTGCTTCACCCTCTCCCCCAGCCCCCTCCACTGTACATAGGCAAAACGGTGAACCAGTGCGGACACAACATTATTATTATTATTATTACCACAGCCCCTACTTTATTGCGCCATTGCTCGATGCGTACATATATACATATGTTTATACACATATTTATTTTTCCCGACGTACAAACTAGGACATACACGCACGCACACACACACTGCGTGCACCTCTTGCTGAATGACTAATGAGAAGGCGAGAGTGGCGATGATTTGGTTCGTCTGTCTTTTCAGTCTCCCCCTCCCCTCCCCCCGCCCCCTCCCCTATGCGTCCACCACGTGTGGATTCAGTTGTACAAAATGAGGTCTCCTAACGCCGCCCAATTTTAGCCAGTCCGGATGCGATCTAATTTGCGAAAAGAGGTGTTGTGGAGGCGGTGGTGAGGGGTGGGGGGTGTCCCCTGGCCGCCCCCCCTCTCTGCCACCGTCTTTCACCGTCCTACCCCCCTCTTTTGTCTGCCTCACGCACTCCCTGTCTTACCCCCTTTTTTCTCTCTCTCTCGTGAATGTGCGCCAATAATAATAAATATATTCCGGCGAGGAGACGGGTTTTCAGCAAACCGACCTCTTAGACACTGTGTCGGCTGGTCCTTCTTTTTCAGCTGTCTCCGATAGTGGCGTAGCAGTGGCGTTAGCATCAGCGCGACGTCAGTTTTGTGTGGGGTGACACGAGCGTCAGTGGGCTGCCCCTTGGGGACTAACTAATCGGTCGTGTCTCCCACAAGCCCTATTTCAGTTTAACGATCGTCTGTTGTAGGTGGGCAAGATAGAAACTTGTCTTCCACACTGAGGCGTGTTTTCAGCCGTTAGTCGGGACTCCAGCAGCATTTAGGTGTCTCGGACGTTCATGGCCACAATTTAACCGAATAACTGGGCCAATTACACCCCCAACGACGACTTGGTGATTATCTTTGTGGTCGAGTTAGATACTCGTGTGATTTTTGGGCTGAATCGGCGTTTTTCTTGTAGATTCACTGGGGTGTTTACGGAAGTATCAGTTGTCAGTGATAACGGCAGCAAAGGCATGGGAATACTGTCGGTGGTTTTGCTTTATTAACCGTCTATATATACGTGCATGGAAAGACCCACGCTGGCAGTATTTATTCTACGTCGGCGGTGAGGCTGTGCGTTGTGTGGTTGCAAACACATCTTTTCGTAGTAGCACACACACACACACAATCTCCACGACTTGTACAAATAAAATTAAAGTGCACAGACCAATCAACGAGCGTCTGACGTGTAAAGGCTGAATCGGAAGGATAATGGGAATCTGGGCTTTTTTTTATCATAATGGCGGCGCTAAAGACATTTGTTCGTACGAACGCGGTGACTGGGATTATCGGTGGTCGACGAAAATAGCAAACAACATGGGCATAAATTAGACCCACACGCGCTTGCTACATGCTTGAAACAGAACAAGTTTAGAAACGGCCAATACAACCGACTGGTTAGGATTTAAACACGCCGCCGCTAGTTGCTGGAGTTCAAACGAACAAACAAACACGAGTTACGTAGAGAGGGCTATTATTGGTTATTATGGCTCCAGACCAGATCTTACGTGGTCACTACGTGTTCGAAACGTTGTAAGTTCAAAAACAATCGATACAACTGATTCAGACTTGCCGCCATTGGTGATTGGAGTGCAGTCAAACAAATGTGGGTTGCATGAAGTCGATCGTGATTGGTCGTGGAGGCTCTCAAGTAGGCCTTAAAAGGTCGACTTAGTCCTGCTACCGTTTACCGCTGAAATTTCAAAGGAAATCGATAAAACTGAGCAGGGCGCCACGGCGGTTCGTTATAATTCAAATCTCGCGCCGCTGATGCCCGGGGTACAAACAAACAAATAAACGGGAGTAAAACGATCTTACACAGTCAAGTTGATCTTAACAGTATTTGGATCATCGTGATTAGCTGACGTTTCACCCTCTGTCTGCATCAAAAACCGACCATGTGTGAAAACAGCACATACTTTTCTCACAGTGCCGATTTCGCACGACAACAACAGGCAAGAACGCCAACGCATAAACAATTGGTCGAGTGTCGTTTCAGAGCGAGGCCAAGGTCGCCAAATTGCCAACTTCGTCAGCTAAACAGTGCCGATTGCTGTTTGTCTGCATTGTGCAAAAACCACCGTGTTTTGTATTAATCTACTGCCACCTCACGTCTGCCACGTGCTCCTAATTCAATCATCCACGCGTGTGTCTGCGAGGAACCAGAAAAACGTCTGTTTTTCAAGTACCGTTTATCGATTTTCTATTGCTGCGTGTTGTGCTCCTGTCACGCAGCGTTCTGGGTGAGCTAGCAAACCAACCAGCCCAGAATTAATGAAATTTCACGAGGAGAAAAAAACCAAGATGCTAACAAAGGGGTGTACAGTGATTCCTGCGACGATAAGGCGTCCCCACCCTGCGGTGCACGCACACTTTTTATCGGCTTAAAGAAAAAGGATTTGGGCGCTTTTTGAATGCAAAAACCGCCCAATGAGCACGAGGCGTTTGCCAAAAGGCGGTGTATTCTGCCCACATGCACACACACACACACCTAAATTTGCAGCAACAGGCTACCGCTAAGTTATCGTGCATTCTCGAAGGACCTGAGTATGGCTACCGGCTGGATAAATCGACGCCCGTTTCCTAGCACTCACTTGCGCTGAAAAGAGCTAGCTGCTAAGGCAGACAAAGCTAAACTGGTGAACACACACATTTATTTTACAAAACACAGTCCTGATAAAACCGTTTTAAAAAAATGTGCATTGCCTAATTCAACGTATTCAATCCGAATCTCTCGGCACGTTTGCGCAGTACTTCAGGATCCGTCGAAATGGCACCTGAAGTGGGCTTAGTGGGGAGACCGAAGCGGGCTGCTCTTTGTGCCTTCTTTTCGCTCTCGTCGTCTGTCGCAGCAGAAACTGGGCCGAACTTTTCAAGCCGTCGGCGTTTGCGCTCCTCCATCTCCTCTACGGACGACTACGGAAGCAAATATTTCGTACAAACATAACTACTTACACGAATACAGTAGCAAGAAAAAAAACATCAGACTTACAGACTTGGTTCCGTTTGCGGAATTAGTTACGGCAGACTCGCCGAATCTGGCTGCTCGCGCCTGAAGTCGTTCAGCGTGAGATTTGGGGTTGGGATTAACTGGAAGGCCAAATCGTCGAGCCCTCTCCAGCTTCTTTTCTTCATCCAATACCCGGCCGTTTGGATTGGACGAACCTCCAGAAGGTCGTTTTCTATGTGTCGCCACCTTGAAGGATACAATTAGGAAATTAGTCTGCTGCCAGTCAGTGAGGATTAACGGTAGATTTGAATGACATCACGATGAGAAAGAATGACACAAATATCAGCTGGATGAGACGAGAAGACTTTACAAAGGCAGATTGAATTTTTGAGGCTACCATTAACGTCTTTACGACTGCCAATGGTCGACATGGGCAACGTTTTTGGATTGAAAAAACTAGAATGGGTACAGAGAAACGGTTTCCAAATTTGACTGGGGCGATTATAGCCAACACAGGCACACTTTCCAAACAACATATTTAGTTTGTGATTCAATCAAATAAGAGAAACTAGAAGGCAAAAGATACTGGAAGTTCGCCGCGGTTTAAGGCATACTGGAGGCACAAAATTTGAGATACAGGACAAGAATCCATGGGATATACAGACCTCGTCTTGAGTTGCCTTGGGAGCAACGACAGGCACAGGTGGGTCTGTGGACGGCTTATTGTTTTGGTCCTCGTCAACGGCCGCCACCTTGGCTGGACTGGATCCCTTAATGGAATCAGGCATGGCCGCACGTTTTCCACCCTGTTGCGGCTTCGCACAGAGAGTAACGCCCACTTCATCTTCGTCTTCCGCGGCAATGTCCTCGTCTAGGGAGCCAGCGGCCAAACCAGTTGGTGCCTCATCAACGTCGCTGTCATTATCGAGAAGCTCAGCCTCCTCGTCTGGTTGTACAGTGACAAGAGGTTTCTCAGCTTGTAAATTTAAAAAAAAAAGAAAAACATTTAAATCACCAAAAACGCGTAACAACGCAGGTCGTCTGTGTCAGCACAAGAGTTAAGATGCGAGAGTTAAAACACAACCCGGTGTGGGAAACAACAAATTTAAACTTCCACCAATAACGCAACCAATGCAAGGAACCTACCATCGTGGCAGAGAATGCGGTCGACTAGTTCCTGTTTTGAACCAGAGGTGGACAGAGCTAAGTCGGCACACATTTTTTTAAGCTCGACCAGCTAAAATGAAAAAGTGGAGGTAAGTACATTGACAGTAAAAATTATCTAAATGCCGTGCTATAACGTCATCAATAGAACGTAAAACATTCCGCATTTACTAAGTCAACAAAAATGCATGCCTTGTCAACTTTGTCCATGTGTGCTAGAAAATCGAACATTACTCAAAAGTAAAATGAAGTCAAGACTTTTTGCAATAAAAATAACGCAAGCCAAAAACTCACAAAAAAACATTAAAATTACACAAGAACTAGCAAAAGAAGTTGTTCAAACTCGCACAATTAGAACAAATGCATGTCAACATGAAAATAGACAAACTGGTATTACAAATCCATTCTTTAAACAGACACATAAGAAACCACGACATAAAAAACCACGTTAACGTCACAAAATGCACAACTATACCTTCATTTTTTTCAATCCGGCTTCAGATTTGGACGACATGACTACTGACTAACAGGGTTACTTAAACAAGTAAAGTAATTGGCTAAGTATATAACTCATTCTGTTATCTAATTGGATGCAATGATAAATGTTCAATTGTAAAGCATTTAAAGGTAATTTGGTGGTTTTAAAGAATTTTGACATTCAAAAAGACTGAAGCAGGCCTACGTCAATACAAGCATTTTATACAAGGAAATGGTTTCGTTGCCTTCTGTTCCATCTAGAAAAATAGAACAATTATATCGTTGTATTATGGTAAAAATAATTGAACTGACCTTAAAAATGACCACGTTTCTTTGCTGTTCAGGGCAAGATACCACTTGATATATCATAAAATTCTCATTGTTATAGGGCCAAGAATCAAAGCTGAATGTAAAAAATCTACGTCCGAACATATTCCTAAAAGTCACTGTCTCTTTTAATGCAGAGAAATCGAAGTAAATTTTAAGAAATTGTGTTGCTCTATAGCATGTGATAATTTTTCGTGTTTAATATGTTTAAGCAGCGTGTGTTAAAGTATAAAATGATATTCGAACAGCAGGCGAAAAATGCAAATTTTTTAAAATCATTGTGGATTCCAATATTATATCATCAAACCATTTTTGTTGCCAGTAAACCTCGCAAACGGCCTAAAAAAGACTGATGAATATACCTATGTACTAATATCATTTTTCATTCGATATTTTTAATGATCTCCACTTTCAATTTCTGTATCAGTAAAGCGTTGTGTTTTGAGCAGGCATTGACTAAATGCACTTTGTTTGCTTTTAGAAACTATCACATCACGTAAAACCTCAGAGCGTTATTAAAATTCCTATTTGGAGTCTTTTTAGTCGCTGACTAAAAAAATTTTCAAGGCTAATTTTTTGAGTCTAAACTGCATCCTCTCACTCCCAATTTACACATTTTCACCTTTCTTCAAAATAGTAGATGAATCCCTCTTTAGATCGTTAGGGATATATCAATGTAGCTTAATTCCACCAATAATGATTCAAAACCCATAATACGGCACCAACCGTAATCTCCCGTCAGTTCGGAAATTTATCATCCCAAAGACCATTTCAACGAACAGATCTACCAATACCACCACAAAAACCACCATGCTGCGACAATTTTACTATGTGAACAGGTGCTTAAAGACATAAAAATAAGCAAAGCCTTTGCGAGATTAATCACAGGGCGCTTTTGAGACGTGAGTAGTTGTAGTAGTACTCTACTGTTCGGACTGTGGACATCCACTAAAGACGGGATCGAGGCCACGTTGAAGGAACATAGCATGAATTGCCTGCAGACACTTCCGAAGAGCGTCGGCAAATCGTTCCACGTCGAGATGAAGCTGGGCCAGTGCTTCAGGCGGTGGTGTCAGCTGGTCGGCTTGTGATTCGTCGATCAATAGGAGGGCATTGTGGATGCGCTCAAAAGTCGGGACAGCTTTCAGGATAACCTAAATTGATCGAAAACCTCGTTACAACGTTGTCTGAGCAAATCACCATCCAATCAGATCTCAGATACGCCAGCAGAACCAATGGCTTATTGGTAGCCTGGCTGCAGCCTTAATTTGTTATCTCTGTCATCCTATTGGTTGAATTCGCTTTGCCTACTCCTATTGGTTAATTAGTTTAATTAACATGGAAAATAAAACGAATCAGTGTCAGACAGAGAAGCGACAATCTAATGTATTTACCACACCCAACTTCGATCAAGCTACAGCCAATGAACCGGAAATTCAATAAACGACAAAGATGTAGCGTCAACTGCTCACCGTTGCGGTCCCACGGACGGACCAATCATGGAACTCACGAAGAGTCCTTGTGTACGCCTCTGTGGCCACTTGTTCAACAAAGGCGTTAGTGTTTGTGTTGGTGCGTAAAGCTGTGGTGTCCTGGTACAGCAGGGAAAGGAATTCAGCCGAGAAATTCAGAGCCCTTTAAAGGGAACACAAAAGAAAACACAGCAGTCGGTTAGTCAGCAACCGTCCACAACACAGAATCGACAATCCTTCCCTTACACACCCTCTGCCCACCAACACACACCAATGGCCTTGAGCGAAACTCCGCTTCCTATTAGGGGGGCCAAAAAATTAACCAATGAGAAGAGCCCAAGCCCTCACCGAGCAAGCCATAGCAGAGCCAGGTACGCCGACCCACTGACTCGGCACTGTTTGGATCGTTGCTCGGCGTCAACGATGTCCGCCAGGGTGATGCTCAGCGATTTTTCCCGAACGTCGACGCCACCTGCGTCTGCACTGGAGGCCAAATTCTTCACCGCCAATTCCAGACGCACGACGTTGCCGAGCATGTCTGCGTAGACCGTCTGCAGGCAGCCAAGTCGTGTGAGAATGGGGTTGCCCATTTTGTCGCAGGAGGCCAGAGATCCGAAGAATTTGAGCAAGGACCGTGTGCAGGCAAGGAACTCGACTGCGGATGTCGTCTGGGAGAGTACAAGGTCTTCGAAGCTAAATAAGGGCAGCAAATATCGTAATCTCACACTTCACTACAAACATTTTTTCAATAGTAGTGACTTCCCATCAGACCTCACTACTGACATTTTATTAGTAGTGAAGAATTTATAAAAAAGAACGACTATTCACGGAATTGAACCATAACATAATGGAAACAAAAAACGAACTACAAATAGCGCATTTATGGCAACTAACTTGAGCCAATCTGGATGGCAATATCAGGGAATCAACCAACACGAAGGACTGTGGAAAGAACGTCTAATTCATTTCCATCACCAATAAACAACAACTATGAGCACAAGGATAGGAATAACACGGACAACACTTTTGACTCACGTCTTCAATACAGTCTATTAAGTCAACACATAGAACATTACTAGCACAGATTCTTGATTTGTGGTTTTATGTTAGTGAAATATCACGCAGGACAGTGCCATTAATGGTGGCAAGGAATTACAAAACAAACTACCTACTCACATGTCTTAAGTAGTCGATTACTTACCTAAATTCCATTGAGGAGAGGAATGTGGGGTGCAGGCGTGTGAGGCGCAGGCCACGCAGGTGATTGCTAAGTTGGGCCCTGCTGGTTTTCTGGGATCTGGGCTTTTCCGAGGTCGACACAGCCGTGGTCGCGATTTGTTCAATCAGTTTTGTCGTCTTGTCAGCGCTATCACTGAAAACATAAACCAACTTTAGAGCGTGCAAGTTAAAAGGGCGTAAAGGGAACTCAAAAGAGGTTGGTAGTAGTCACCTCGACGGTGATTCGGTGAACTCAGACGATGTCGGCGGCGGTGGACTGGCTCCAGACAGCGAGACACGGGGGCTGGCGTTAACGTCCATCGACTGGAGGCTCGGAGGCAGAGTCGAGGAGACACGACCGTTGAGCGGGCTGCCGACGGTGCTCGTGGTAGACAAGTGGTGCGACGATTTGTGTCGACCCGTGTTGAGCAGAAGTATAAGTTCATCTGCCGAGACAAGGAAGGTGTTGCAAGTGGCCTTCAGGGAGTTCACTGCTTCGATAATCTCCTGTTGGGAAAGGATCAACCGCATTTACGACACAGCCAATAATAACGGCTACTTTAACAGATAAGTAGCAATTATTTTATTAGATTCGGACGTGACAGCATGGCCTGTGTGTTGATGTAAATAGTCAGTTAACAAACCTTATTTTCCCCGGCCTTCGACTTGAGAGCCCCACAGATGCCATGGACTTGTTGAAAAAGGAGGTCCCGATTAATTCTTAATTCAGAGCGCTTGGCTTCGATTAATTTTTCAGCTTTCTCTGTAGAACGCAAAAGAAAAAAAACTAACAACTAAGCAATTAACTAAGGTCCTAATCCAATAAAACTGGGTTCACTTTCGAAAAAGTGCCTTTTAGCCAATGAAAAACAGGTCAGTAAGGTTTGCCATTTAAGCTGCGCGCGAAAATATGCTCAAGGTCAAGGAAAACCAATCAGGTTAGCCCGACTGCAGGCCTGATTTCCTAATACTCGAAAGTGCAGCCAAATGAACCAATAAAATTCGCATTGGTCGATCGACCTAGGAAGATTGGTCAAATTCGACAGCCAATAGAAACGCTCGACGAGAAGGGCAGTAAGGTGACAAAACAATGTCCACGATTGAGACGCAAATTTTAAAATTCCACAGAGTAGAGCCAGCGTTAGGCGTCAACAACGCTCCTTGGTGCAAACAGCGCGCGTATGATTCACCTCCTAACGAACACAATGCGCTAGGCTTAATTAATGCAAAGTGTATGCGCTAACGCACGCAGTTCTGCTGTGGGCCGCTTCAAGGCGCGCAAGTGAACGGGCGGCAGAGAAGACGGCTGGAATTTGCAAAAAATGTGTACTACTTACAAATCCATAGCGCTAGGCGTTAGCCAACAGCTAATTGGATTGTGAATGAGGTCGTAACCACGCTTTTCCCCAAAATTGCAAAAATAAGTTAAAAAGAGGTATTCGAAACGAAAAAAACACAAAAAACACGAAACGATGCATTCACACCTCACAAGAAACCCATTTTCTACAAATTCCGCCATTACTAGTCTCAGCTGCTGAACGACGTGTCACCAAAGCGGGCGGTTTAAATTTCGCGCGAAAAATTGGTTCAAGGTCAATAGGTGGCTTGTGAGCGTGTAAAGGTCATTTCAAAGAAGGGAACTCACGCATTTTTTGAAAATCGTCCACGTTCGTGATGCCAGCCTTGCAACTTCCGATGGCGACTATCCAACGCTGGCGCTCCTGCGATGTCGCCGCCTTCAGGTAGTACCTCTGCTCACCAGGAATCAAGATGTCAAACCTACACGCGTCGGTGGGATGCACTGCAAATTCAGGCAATGTGATTGGTTAGTTGAGTGTGCAGAGCGCTGATTGGTTGACGCGCCGGAGTCAAGCAAAATACGCCACATGTGTGATGCTTGTTGACGTGAACACACATTTGATGAAAATTTTCAGTTCTATGCTAAACTAAGACGAGATCTTGCAAAAAAGGGCGTTTTAATGAGTCCTTAAAGGCTCAATTCTACAGAACTGGACTGGACACAAAGACTTTTTTCTCATCTAACTTTGGTATAAAAAAAAACACTCATTAAAAACCCGCGCGTGGTTCACATGTTTTGCGTGCAAAAATCGTGAGAACTGGGATTCTGTGCTTGCACCAGCACGCCGTTTTAGTCACGTGACTTCTGAATCCGCACGAACAGGAGGCATTTCACCTACGTAGAGGAAGTGAATGATGATGATGATGATGATGATGATGGCTGACAACTGCTTGATAGATAAATGAAATCCCAACCGTCGCGTTATCCACACCTACCGTGAAATTTGTGTTACCTAAACATGCACGGTTGTGTGCCAAATGAAAGAATCAATGTGTGCCTGGCAATGCCAGCACACATTCACACAACATTCAGGGTCGCTCCCAAACAACGCGGTGACAGCGCTAATCTGCAATTTTAGCAACAGATCTCGATTCTGAAGGAACAGCAGTCCGCAGAACTACATGGGGTTTGTGTGGTGTGCGTGAACACGCAAAAAAGACCCAAAAACGAAACATCGAGAAGTTATACGCCTAACCGAATCAGCAAGAGGTTTTATTGTAAAGCACATGTAAAAGAGACTGCAATAATCGGGGCTGTGGAAAGGTGTGTCTGGTTTTGAGCCAATAACAGTTGTTTCACCTGAGCCTACAATGACGCCGATTCTCAAATGAGTGAAATTGTTTGTTTGTTTGTTAGGTTGCTTGCCTGCAGCTCCTCGTTTGAGGGTAGCTTTTAACGCGGAGAGGGCAGAATCCAACCATTTGACAGTTGAGAAAGGCCGACGCAATAGAATCGTCCTCAGTTTGTACACAAAGGCGATTTACTAGCAAACAACGACAATGATTCAAGCGCAAACGACAACAATAGACGAAAAAAGGGGGCGTTCTAGGTTGGGTTGTTTATAAGTCGTACATCAATTAAAGTCTGCATACAGCAGAACTTGTGGTGCTACAGTAGCACTTGCCACACCCTTGACATGAAAAGACAAGGCTGGTCATTGTGAATGGGAATTGACTTTTCGCAACACATTATGTAACTGCCTAGATAAAAACCTTGGCGGCGATGCAACGACAACCCCCAAAATTTTGCCATCAATGTGATGTCCGATAATTTGCCACCTACATGTTAGCGCTTTGAATCAACAGAAGAGACGTCAAGGTTTTTGTTAAATCACAGTAGAATGACTAAAAAAATCCAAAAAGATCTGGAATTTCGGACTTAGCCGACAGCAGCCAGATGCCTCGGATAGGAAGCAGGATAGAAATAAGAGGGAAAATCCAAAATTTCAAATCATCGCCCTGTAAAGACACTGATTGATGAAATGTCGGCGCGCGATGATTGGTCAATTGTGACCCCATCAATCACACTGAAAGTACATGAGATTGTTTTTGACTTGGCACTATACAGCACACAGCAGACAACGCGACTTGAGTGGCACAATGATAGTGAAAGTTTTAACACAACAGAAATTGATGCTTAAATGCCCCCGATCACGCGGAACTTGAAGTTATAACAGTAACTTGATTGTCTACCAACATGGAGAGCAGAAATGAAAGGTAATCGTCGCATACTACTCATGAAAACAAAATTTGAAGGCTACTCGAACATTACAAATTGGCTGATGAGGGGAAACTTCTTATGTTTCTTTTCACAGGACCTGAGCCCACAAAATTGATAAATAGCTTACTACGAAAGTATACGTATTGGCATAGTTACGCGAGTAGGACTAACTGCGCAAAAATGCCATCTTTGGGAACCAATAATTCGCATACACGGGAACCTGCCTGGTTTCGCATTACAAATCAACGTGTGCACCAGACCGCTATAGATTTTTGCCACTTTGCGTCACGTGCAAATCTCTAATGCTCACTTTAGAGATTTGCACGTGACGCAAAGCTACTTAGATGGAATGGCCAGAACGACCTGACTAAAGCTAGAATGTAGTTGTGACGACGATTTAGCAGACGACATCAAACTGCAACAACCACAAGGAAGCCATAGACGTGGTTTTCTGAAGTCAGATTTTTGCACACCGAAATGCATTAAAAAGGGGGGGAAATGGAGGCACGGAAAAAACGCACCACAGACTTCGCAAGCAGATACCGTGAAGGCCCCCTTACAGCCCGTGTCGACGTCAGATTCGGAGGCGTAGTAGGAGAGGATTCCCTTGCGTAGGGTGAAATACCTTTGCTGCCAGCCGTTGATGTAATTTGTCCACTTATACAACGGCCCATCCATCCGATGAACGTGGTTACGGAACAGAAAACGTGCTAAAATAAACCATAAAATATTCAGATAATGAAAAATTTATTCAGCAGTCAACAAAGAAAAAGTTGCAATGTCTAAAGAGTAAAAATAAAATGATACCATAGAAAATGAGCTTCGATTAGAGGACATTACAATGTATAGAAGATCAGACAACGAATTTTTGATACTTTTTTGTAAAAATGACCCTAGTAAACATTGCGTTTAAGTCTAGATGCTTTTTAAGCCAGTACCAAGGATTAAGGAATTAAAATAACATCATACAAAGTACAACTAAAAACGTTTGTCTTTCTTCTCGTGTCACAAATTCTCCTAATACAAAAAATCTGCATGGATCTAAAATCTTGTAAATCTTTTGAGAAGAAAATTTGCAAAACGGATAAAATATTACGACACTTTTTGCACGAATAATACAGATAACGGTGTGAGGGAAGGTGGATAAATGCAACCATTATTTATTCGTATTGCTTTATTACATAGTTTCCAGTAAAATGAAACAAAGTTATTAGCCCACAGCACACCATTTCACATGTATCACTCGCGGTATTTAACTCACAGCATAAACTACTAATTCGAAAAAAAGCAAGCCTTATTTATGCTGTTGCACATAACAACGTTACACATTAAAAAAGGTAGCTGATCGACGTTAATAAAAAAAATTGCATAATTTGTTTATACAATATTGTTGTTTTAAGACACACGGGACAATAATAAAATAACCAGAAGGCGCAAGCTGACGTTTCGGAAGTTTCTGCGCTGATTGGACACTTTGAACCCCCAACGAAGACAATTTTATTACGTCTCAGCGCAAACAAATCAGGTAACATGAGAACAAAAAACAACATTTTCATTATATTTTTCATAAGCACTAGTCTTTTTCTGGTTTTGACTAAAATTTACTGCTATTGCATGATTTCCTGTAATGATTTAAATTGCTTTAAAAAAGTGAAATGCGTCGAATTTTGCCGATTGAGAATAAATATTGTAGAGGTAGTATAGCTTTGCATATTTCATTAGCACCATGGTTTTTAAAATATGGCTGTTAGTATCTACAGGGTTTTATTGCGCGGATGCATGAAAGTTTCAAAATGGCGATCGGGATTTGAAATGATTATTGACAGGCATATTAGTAGATGCTTTTCTACTTATCAATGTCAAGTATTAACTATTTTTAGACTGTACTTAATAATTTTACAATAAGTTTTACCACGAAAATTAGTCATGGATCTTAAATTTAATGCCAGTTTCACTTAAAGCATACATATGCAACGGAAATCTGGTTGGAGTTTGTTAAGTTGCCATGTAGATTTGGGAGACAATATAACCTAATAAATGCTGTTAGTTGTATTCTTAAGGATTTAAAAGTGGTTCTTTTCATGTTGTGCAATGAATCTTAATTACTAATTAAATCGAACTATTGGGGAAAAAATACTCGGACCTTTCTGGGATGAGGCAACGTGGAACCCTAAAAATAAGTGTTTTGCCTGCATCCCTGTACAAATCAGGAAAGTCGCAAATACCTCAAAGTTTCACCTTCGTGTAGAGCAGTTTTCCATGTCCACCGAATTTGTTGAACTCATTTTCCGTAATTTCACATACTGCATATTGTATTCTGAATACGGCAGATCACTTAGACTAGTAGTCTTTTAAATCAAATGTTTTTAGTAAGAAAATTTGAAGTACAACACCGTGACAGTAATCTATGCTTATAGCGAATTTACTCGTGTACGTTTTCCGAACCACCAACTTTTTAGAAAGTTAACTTGTTTTTAATGATAAATAAGCATTCTCCTATGTCCTGGCTTTAATTATTATTGTGTGTACTGCAAACAAAACATCCCAAAATTAGAAAGGCCCAAATTTTCTGCCATTTCAATCAAGCGTAATAAACATTTCAGGGTATGGTATAGCACACTATCGGCTCAAGAGCTCTCAAAATGTTTATGATTATTGAACAAAATTTTAATTGTACAAGAAGGATCAATATTACAAAAGAGTGATTCCTTGAATACGGATTGTCAAACGTGCGTAGGACCATGTTCGAATTCATCACCTGAAAGAAAGTGAGCAGGCATATCGTAGTTCATCTCCATAAAGAACATTTTAAGTCTACCAAAAAAATGTTTGATTATTTGAAAAAATTAACTTGAGCGTGAATCCTGAAATGAACCTAGTCTCAAGTGAGGATCGAACTTAGAATCGCACTAAATATTTAGTTTGTTATTCATATTATGTCTGCTAAAATTTCGAATCAAATCTCTTTGGCTTGATGTTCCAATAATACAGAATGGAAAAAGCCGTTTTCAGTCACCATATTTGGCCTATAGTGTTACTTCGTGGCTGGAACGCCGTACGTGCTGCTTAACACGTCGCTATCGGCCTCCGTAGATGTGCCCACGTAGGATTGATCACAGTCCGAAGATGCATCGTCAGTGGTGTTGGTGGTAGTTGTCTTCAGCAATCGAGGCAGTTCAACAACCCTGCCCTTCACCTCCTCTTTCGACGCGACCTTCTTTGGTGCAGGCAGTTCAGCAAAATGCACAAACGTCTCCGTCTTTTCGGTGTCGGATCCTGAATCTAAACAGTCACAGCGTATTACTACTTACATTTATTCAGTAGTTACGATTTTGGCATGAATTTTCTCCAATTACGTAGCCAAAATCCAAATGATGAAAATATATTCGAACGCTTGATATGTACTTACAACATGCGATAAAGTTTTAAGGTGACACATCCGCGTACCTTCCACTTCAACGTGAGTGGTGTCAGGAGCCATCTTCTCAGCCGGATCTGTGTCATAGTCGCTGAAATACCTGCGAACTGTTGACTCCAATTCTCGCAGGTACGGAGCGTAGTTGGTGCTGTTAAAGAAGGCACGCGAACTGTCGAAGGGAGACTGAAGTGTTGCTGATGCGCCGTAGTTTGTAGGGTGCTTGATTAAGGGGAATGCCTCCGTTGTTGATGCACTCATTACTTCCTGGTTGTTGGTGAAGTTTCTGGGCTATACAATCGACTAGCAAAATTAATATCTACTTATGCCCATTTAAGTAGCCATCTAGTTTTAAAATACGCGGAGCGGATTTCGAGGTGGTAAAAATGTTGATTTGTAACTTGTAATAACTTACCTCTATAAAGGAGGAGTACATTGGGTAACTAGTGTCCGGCCGCTCCATATTTACTGTTGGTTTGCTGCTCCAATTCTGGAAAACAAAATTAAAATATGCGCTCTTACATACCCAAAAATAATCGGCATAATTTGTCAAAGTATAAAATTTGCCACGTTTAAACACCACGCATTTTAGAACTCAATGGGCAATTTAAACATGAGCACAAGTTGTTATTGATTAATGCGCGTTAGCGTTTGACCGATCAATCAATATTTATTGATCGGCCACTTCTGTCACTCGCTCTTCTAGCATTGCAAAAAATAGCAAAAATGAAGTAAAGAGACCCACGTTTTGCTGCCTCAGGAGACGAAATTCCTCCAAAAGCGAAATTTTTGGCGTTTGTGTCGATGAAATAATGGGAATAAGTGTGGTAGCTGACGTCGGAGTGTCACGTAATCTTCTGTTGGTCTCGACTGATGGCGTTGCATTCCAATTTGCCTTGAGGCGCACAGATTGATCTTGTGGAATCCATTTTGTTGATTTCAAAATATCATGCGACTCAGGCAATTCTTTGGAATTCTGTACAGATTAACAACGACTTAGTGACATCGCATTTAAATGTTTTACTAGTCTTGTATTTCTAAAGTCCTTATTTAAAAATATACCAATCGTGACTCCATTGTAACGTTCTGGGTTTCATTAAGTCGTTTTAAGTGAAGCGTTTTTTTTTCAAAATTGTTGGCAAATTAACCTTATCGGCTTGGACTTCCACTACTGTTCTGTCTTGGTGTAATTCATTGTCTTCTCCAACCGTTTCACCACTGCTTGAGTTCTGAAATAAGAAAGACAGATTTATCGATTTTTTTCAAGGTCGCGCAGCCTGAGTGCTTGGGCAAACTGTCACCCAATAGAAATGCAGATGTAGCCAGGGGTAGATTATTTTGAGATTAATATGTGGCTTTAAAAACTTAGATATAACATATCGGAAATCAATGAAAAACCTACCTTTGGTCGCTCAAAATTAAGCGCTTTAGTAAGGGTGTCATTGTCTGACATATCTTGCATCCGCAAATGACTCTTTTTGGGCTATAATTGCAAAAAATAAGTGCCATTACATTGATTTAGGATCAGCTGAGAAATTACTTGTTTTAATCGCTACCTGACACTCCAATTGTTCACGAATTGTAGCGGGTAAGGTGGTGTTCCATTCGTCCCTTTCAAGAACATCTATAATCCTTTCCCGCAGTTTCTAAAAAAATATATGAAATCGTTGTCGCAACATAGTAATTTTTAGCTGAAAACAATGAAGAATAATGAATCGAATTGATTTTTTAGAATTTTTACTTTTTTCAGTAATGGAGACAATTTGGACCGCAGTCCGATTAATTTTATCGGCAATGGTGAATCGAAAATTTTGCGAAGTAGCCTTTGACCAGTTTGCATATTCACATGGGCGTTATGTCTTTGTCTATCACTTATAAAACCCCCAGAAGACATATTTTACAGTCATCATATAGTAGACCGTGCGAAAATTAATCCTGGCACAACTTCAGCCAATCACTTTGCCCACAATTTGCAGTTCACTTAGTTGATTGGATAACGATCCACCAATCAATTTTGATACTGTACTTTCAGCCTTTCGCACAGTTAGTCGTGTGAAAAAAGTTTATGTCAATGCAAATAAAGAACTAACGGAGTTGTTTAGTTGCAAGTCAGCTGATCCAAACGCCGGGCATTCATTGTTGGACCCAGAAGGACTCTGTTCGGTGTTACACTTTCTAATCTGAAAATTAAACAAAGAAGGGTTACGTAGGTTTAGCGATTGCTTACACATTCATATTGCAAATTGCTGCAGCAGATTCAATTAGGAAAATTCACTTTACCTTAACACGTGCATTTACTGAATCGTTCAGAGGATTCTGAAGTAAAACAACAACAAATATTTAGAAGGGCATTATCACTGGTTGTATTGACAATTGAGAGTCTCACTTGTTGTTCAGATTGGACATCGAAACCCAACCCATTCTGCCAGTCCTTTTCGCTGATTGGTTGATCTTGTGGCCTTGATGTCTATATAAAAGAAAAATTCCGAGTCACAGAACACATTCGTGCTATCCAGGCGATGTAGTTACTTTTACGCTATTGGATCATTCACCTCGAATCTGATTGGCTGATGGTTTTAGGCACTCAAAAACTACATAATTTGGCCATTTTTAACGACGAAATGGAATTAAAACCCACCGCTTCTTCAACCAACGTCTCAGACTGAGCGGCTTTAACTCGACAATCAGAAATCGGGATAATGAATGCGGAACGCCTCGCGATGACGTTAGACTCGTCCTCTGAGACGGATGCGGGTCGTGAGAGCGTGGAGGTGCGCTGTGACCTCTGCATGTACCGAAGCGCTGGCGACATTTGCGCGCCAATGGAATGACTCATTGACCAGCGTTTGTGGTTGGTGCTGTACACTCGGCTGGGAGGCTTCGAGGCGTATTGCTAAGGGAGTCGAGGAAAACGACACAGAATGCTACACAGAGGTGATTTTTTTCAATGAGGCACATGACAGGCAACTCACAAATGAGGCGGGTTTTGGCACATTCCACGCTCGCGGTATCTCCTCCTCACGAGGACCTCCAGCTGGTTCGAGGTTTGGGGGTTCCCTTAAAGGCGGGAAGTTGAGGGGCGCAGGGGGGTGAGGCAGCGGTGTCGAGGGAGCGCACGGCGACTCCGAACAGATGCTTGTTGTGTCGCACGCTGCGATTTCAGCTGCTCTTGCCTCGAACGCGGCCACAAGGTCTGAAACGGAGCACGTAGCGTACTCCTCCTCGTCGTCTTCGCCATTGTCCTACACACACAAGGATGGTGACAATGAGGAACGTTCTTTTCACGTGATGGGTAAAGTATCATGCGAGTAAAATATCACCGTTAAATCGCGCCAGGTAACAAACCAAATTGATTGGCTCAAATGATTCCTCAGGTTTACCGAAAAACGTCCTAATCGATAACGAACTATTGAGTGGTTGCCAAAAATATTAGGCGTAGGTAACCTTTTATAGGTCATTCTGGAAATGAGGTGATTTTTGAGGGCACTAAAATGACGCTTAATTGGATGCATTTCAAGGCCATTATTGCAAATGCGAAGTATACTTAATTTGCATTTTGTAAATTTTATTGTGTGAGCGAGGACATAATTGAGCCATTTCAGCTTGACAAATAGCCAAGATATTACTTTCTATAAAGCGCTACCATCAACCAATCAAATCGCACAATAATTGAATGACCAATCATCAACAGAGTTTACTGAATCATCTTGTAATTGCCGGTGGTTTGAAGATAGCCAAGCGCCATTTAACGAAAAAAATGCCTTTCGTGTTCAAAATGCTTTTTCGCTAATCTAATCTCATCATGTCAGAAGTAGTTTGTGGAGTTCGCGAGGTCAGTCATTGTAAAAATATTCTGAAAATTCTCATTTATTTTTGACCAATTGATATCAAGCGTTCGCCTTTATTTCGTAGACATCTTACTTTCAGATTTTGGCTTCTCCTAATTACCAGATTTGCTGTTTTTGTGGACAAATCGATAAAGTAGGAAATTTCTAATAAATCAATGCAGTGATTACCAATTTTTTAGAATAAGTAAACTGAATCAAGGTAAACTTACATCAATTTCGGTGGAGTGGCTTGCACCAGTGGCATTAGCACTTGGTAGACTAAAATAGAATGTACTGCAGTTTGAGGAACACGCGATGTTTATTTAGCTGGGCCTCAATATAGCCATCATGGAATTGGGATATCGAATTACAATGAAAATAGGTAATACCACGAAATGGCATATCTGTCATCTGATTGGCTGGTTTAAATGCCTTAAATTGATTGGCTCACAGTGTAATTACGTGAATTTTGCGCCAAAACATAACTAGGCAATATTTGAACGTTAAAATCGCCACAAACCTATTGGTTAGAATAACTTGCGTTGTAGGCGTCGTAACGGCGCAAATTTTTCCGTTCCGATGTCCCCTAAATGCCGAGGTAACGATCAGTATTTCGTCATTCAAGTCTCTATCCTCTTGATCGTGTTCTTGTGTCTCCTGCAAATTTAAAAAAAACAGCACGAACACTGTGAAATTGAAGCCTAGGCAACGACGGACGCGATCAGTGAATCTGCTGTGATGCCTTCGTGGGAAGTATTCCCTTACCATTCCACTGTGGAATTTTTCTTCACACGCCTCCAACGGATAGCACCGTGGACCATTTTCAACTCTGGTAGATTGCTTTTCAACCACCTTCAAGCCAGGTATGACCTTCCAGCTTTTCCACGGTCTTCTTGATCTGTGATTGGCCCTTTCAGTTGAGGAAATGCGTGGCTTTGGAAACGTTGGCGGTGGGTTGGGTGTTACCGATGGCAACTGACCATTATGATATACCTCCGGGTTAAATGGGTGTTCCTTTTGAACATCGCTTGAAGAGAAGGAGGGAGGTTTATATCGATTGCCGTCATTTGGAGTGTCCTCGATGCCCCCATTGGTCAGTTTCTCAGCCTTTAGAAGTCGTTTCCTCCTCTCCTTAATTGGTATTTTCGACTTGTTGATGAGCCGCCGATTTACGTAGGAACTCAATTTTTTGCTTAGCGGTTGAACGTTCACATCGCATGCGCTGGAGGCCTCTGAGTTTGTGGATGAGTCCTCGTCGTTGTCCGTCACGGTTTCTGGTAGCTGAATGCTTAGCGGTTCAATTAGCGGCGATCGCAATTTTCTGTATGATCGGCCATTGGTGGGTAGGGTTGATCCGTACATACCGCTCATTTCCTGCGTGTAGTGATTGGTGGAGACGTTGTTTCGACGACGGCTGCCAGTAGATAGCACAACCGACGAATCTGGGAGGTAGAGGCGAAAACACCGGCCAATCTCCTTGGATCTTGGGTCCAGACACTCTTGTTGCATCCAACCTTCGATAAAAAAAAACAGATATAAAAAATGCCTGGTTTCAGACCACTCTACTCATAATGCAATTCAGTAGCAAACTCACAAATATCGCGGTGTGGATGAGGACTTTGAAATTGCCCCGCGAATTTCAAACTTCGAGAATCATACTTGTACAGGTGGATTCCATTGTCACCCTAAGAGACACGTAGAAATTAGGGCATTTTTAAAATGATCTGCATTGGAAGGTGCCGATGAGCCCTACTTAAATGCATTTAAGTAGGTGGCTCCAGTTAATATGACAATTAGTCGTTAGACGCAGAAAAAATCGATACTGTGTGGATGGACTCACCCTGCTTGACAGGAAGAAATGTCGGCTGGTGAAGTAGTGGTAAAGTATCACGCCACCCGACGATTGACTACACCAGGAACGCTCAAGAGCCCTGTTTGGCATCGCCTTCAAAAGGAAGCAAGAAATCTTGAATCCTTTTTAAATTTCCCACTTATTTGCATTTCGAATAATTATGACAGCTTGGTTTAAACAAACAAGCAGCGTGTTCTAGTGTCGATAAAGCTCCAGCATGACAATGTAATGAGTTTTCGCGTGCGATGTCAAAGGACTTCAACTCACTAGATCCCAAACTGCCACCTCCTTGGTGCCTTCATGTCCAAAGCCCACAGTCACGACGGTGGAATCGTCAAGGAACACAGCCTTCCAGGGCTTCGAACCCTGGTGACAGGTCATCGAGATGGCGGGCTTCTTGGCGCCACTGTCGGCATCGAAAACACAGAGATGTTTGTCGCGACACGCCGCCGCCAATCGGCTAGACGACGTCGGTGACCAACAGAGGCTGTGAGCGCCAGCGGTGCAGATGTGCGTGCTTTGTACCTTCTGGCTCTCCACATTCCAGATGGTGACCTTGGCGAACATCATGCATCAGGTGAGTTACAACGCATACGCAAAATTATTTCAAATTTTCGACTATTAACTAAGCACTCTAGGTGGAAATTGGGGCGTTTTGAATGTGGATGCATGTTTTTTGCTACGCCTGAAGTAATATCTATCACTCGCCAAACCCACCAATGAAATCAACGGGATCATCGGCCCGAAGTGCTAAAAACGCACTAGTTTATCATACATTTGCAAGGTCGAAAGAGCCTTGCATTAAAATTCCACGTGTGTCTGAAGTACTCAGCATGAAGTCTACGAGATTTCACATGAACACTACACAGCAAGGTTTTCTTTATTGTGGGAATGACAAAGTTGCTGTTGAATTTATTGTTTTTTCGTATTTTTGTTATCGAGTACCTCGTCTGATTGAGCTAATGTGCCAACAGACGCTGATATCTTCATAAGTAGTCAGTACCTTTTTCCCGTACAGGGCGGTAGCAAGGAGATTTCGCGAGTTTGGACTCCAGACCACACTCACGACTCGATCTCTGTGCAGAAATTCAGTGAGTTGATTTAAATTTGGCAGGGCGTTTTCTGTTTCACTGGCATTTGCTCGCCACAATTTGACCTACAATTAAATATTTGCATTCACCAAAATTTGAGAAATTCAGTTTTTCACAACACGGTGACAAGTCATTTACCGTCTTGTCGATCGAACCAGTTGCCAGAATGTTGTCGTTCAATGTTCCCCACGCAAGATCTGTTATTGAATTCGAATGACATTGACTGTGTGAGTACATCTCGGATTCGTATCGACCGGGCTGCAAAAAACCAATGGGCTTTTGTTTAAAACGCTTTGTTGTAAACAGCGCCGTTTTCGACTAGAAAACCTCGTAATTGGCCGGAAGACTATGACCATGAACCAGTATCTATTCGAGCGAACACATTGTAACAGAAACGCTAAATATTTCCTGGTTAAATTCTATTTTTTCCCTTTGTGATTCTATAGCGTCATCGTTGCATCACCCAGAGTCGATTATTTCAATGTGTGCCAAGTTTAATCATCAGCAGGCAGAATTACTCCCATTTTGGACGATACGGCCTTAGCAATCAAAGAGTACGCTATAGAAATCCCATCAATCTGTCAGATTGTCCTTTCCTGAAATTTTGATACCCAAGGATGCTTCCAAAATATTTTCACATTTTGAAAGCGTGTGCGTGTGTGCTTGTTTTACTGAACTGAGTTCCGGATTTGGAAAAAGAGCACTGGAAAGCACGAAAATTGGGTATTTTGAATTGTTCCTTTAATTTGTGATTAGTCGATCTGCGTTAATTGTCAGTAAGAACACATAATTTTTTTTTAAATTTCTCGATTCGAATTTGTGCCAAATGTGTCCTGAGCAAGTCACTACCAAGCACAAACTGTGCGTGTCTTGACCTGAGGTCAACATGCGTGTGAGCAATGCAAATTCACAGACATATCGTGAATGCCATGCGGCATAATTACGCTGCGCAAATCGGTTGCGCAGTTTTGTTGGAACATTCAAAGACATCAGCTGTGTAAAGGTTGACGTCACATCCGTGAGATAATTCGGAGTGAGAGGTTTTTGAAACATTCTTCTGCCGCCCTCCTTTGACGACCGGTGATTTAAAAAATTGCAGTGTAGCATGTATTTAAGTTTTAAAAGTGCCAAGATATCGATTAGCTGGATGTCACACAGTTCAAAATAACTTCCTCAGCCAATTGCTGCGTTGTCATGAGCTGTAATCATGAGCAGCAAGGTGATTGGTCGAAACAGAAAATCAATATTTTCGATAAGCAGTCGGAACACATTCAGGCATGCTAAAACAACCTATTTGCTATCTCTAAGTAAGCTGAAATTGCTGTCCCATTTTTCACACTTGTCATTTGATACACACACCACTATGAAAATTCATTTTAACAAGGTTGCTTTATTCACAGAAGCAAAAAAAACACATGACAACGTGTAAATTTCAAGTCGTACTTAGAGCACACATTGTTAAATTGCAAACAGTGTCCCTGACAACGACATTTCTATCGGATATGTCAAACAACTTTCACGAATGAAAAAAGCTTTCAGCTTTGGTGCTTTTGGAGCAGTTGATCCGCTGGAACGACCAAAAGAGCCAACAATCAGCCAATGAGAAACCGTATTTTTGACCCTTTAATTAGTTGGTGGGGGGCCTTTTTGACCTCTTCAGCCTGCTCCTGTGAGGATAATTCTTACATGGCCCACTTTGATTTGATTCTGATTGGTTAATGTTACCTGGGAAACGGAGAAACTTGGATTGGATTCGAGAATCTGAGCTAAAGATTTTTTTCTGATGAAAATTAGCTTCGATAAGGCACTGCCAATACTGTTTGAGCAAATATCAGTAGTAGTTTAAACTCTGCGCTTTACCAAATTCGTCAGATTTGGATCAAATTGGGCACCTGTATCAGTGGGGCAATTAGACATGTTGGTTAAGACGCAGTGGTAATATTTAAATGTCGTTCCTACATAGCGAGCAAGTTTATTGTGGAGTTTAGTAGTCTGAGGTCAACTATGTGGCATCATCCTTACCTTCAGTGGTCCAGAAATGCTGAATAAACCATTGAGACACGAGTTTAAATTCATAATGGGATGAAGTGAGTAAAGACTGCTTAAAATAAAGTCATGCAAAATCTCAAAAAGCTAGAGGACTTTAATTTACCTCGAAAACCGCACGCTTCGTGCTTAAATTTCACGAACAAAGTGTGTTGCAACACTGAAAAGAGCACGTAAATGTAGACGTGCCCCAAGGTGTTTGTAGCAAAGTGCTCTCACACATGTGAAAAGTTGAATTTCAAAATGGTTCATTTATTAGCAAAACTATTTGACTACTGAGAATTGAACAAATAAGGTTGCTGTCTCGGGTTTACGTGAAACAGTGAGGGTTGTGGCTTTGTCTTGAAATTAAGGCACAGCAGGAGCCATACAGTGCTGTTTCATTCTCATTCTTATAAAATCATTGTTTACAATTGGTCTAGACACAGATACCTCAACTCAGGAAAAACGTCTGCATAAAAATAAAAGCAATCATTTAATTTAACCCCATGAGAAGCATGTGGGCAGTTTAAACTGTTAGTTTATCTAAATGCCTTTTGCATACAGTAAATGCCTAATTAAAACAAAACGAAGTGATCAGACGAATGATGAAAATGGCAATTCGACACTAACCTTCTGCACGTCAAGAAGTGCAACAGATCCACCACCTGTGGTACCGGTTGTAACAGCCAGATACTTTTGTGAACACGCAGCCAAATGGCCATAGTGCAGGGAGTTCGAGATGGGAACACCTTCGAAACTGGCCTCTACGCCTGCTGGAACCCAGAGGAGGTTTGCGTAGCGCAGAAATGCCGAACAAGGGGTCTGGTGCTGCGGCTGGAATGCGGGGTGAGCTAGGGCGAGCGTGGCGGCCATTACGCCGAGATCAGAAGAACGCACTCCTGATTACTAAAAAAGACAGGTTACAAATTTAACACACCGAGTTCAAAAGCAAATACACCTTGTATGTGCAGTCAAGGAATTGGGTACTGCGTGGAGGTCACGTCTACGATTACAGCAAAACAATATTAGCATTAAGCGCCACGTATATTGAATGTTGTCAGTTTGTCAAATTGTGGATACCTAAGTGCGTGGTGTTTCAGGAGCCTTGTGTGTAAATAAGAAATGAAGAAAACTGCTAAGCAAAGTTTTGCCTAAACACTAACAACGTTTTTCCTATAACAAACTGGTAAAATAATATATTTTTATGTTGGTATATGACAGCGTTTAAAAAAAATACAATATCAGTTCAAAAATTCTATAGATCATGACAGTTTACTATGTTTGACAATTAAATCAGTAAACATTTTAATTTTTGACTGCGGAAATTAAAGTGAGAATTGCTAAGGCGAAACGCTGCAACAAAAATCGAGGTATGAGGAAGAAGAAGAAGACACAGAGCTATAACAGAGAACGGATTTGTGAGAGTTCAAATACTGGAATCGCCGATGATACAAAATAAAATGACTATACCGGTGGTGGATAAGCAAAAAGTGGAAGAGAGGGATTTTAAATTAAAAAGAGCTAATAGTGTCCATAATATCATTAACCAAAAAATTTCGACAAAACTTTAGCTTTAAACTCTCATAAACATGATTACTTCCCAATGGCAAAAGAAGACACTTCAAAAAAGTTAATTTTTTAAAATATTTTTGATTAATCAGAAAAATTCACAGTGATTTATCATCAAAGAGCATTCTACGTTTAAGTCACCTTGCTGACTTGTCATAGAATTGGAGAATTAAGAAAATGTAATTTCCACTCTGTAGGAACGGTTTTCAACAACTTGGGTCATTACCATTATATTCTCCCTTGCTAAACGCTGCAAAATATGCTTCTAAATGGCAGTTAGAATATAACATCTAAATCACATTTAGAACCACAGATTTCAAAAAAATAATATGCTGACATCTAGTATAGAAATTTTGGAATTTTTTGTAAGTACTCATTAAACATCGAGGGAAATGTTAGAGCATGTATTAAGGCACAGTATCGTTAATTAAAACTTTTCAAAAATATGTTCACCAAAGTAGAAATGATGCGTTTATTAATACGAGTGTATATCAAGCTAACATCCTTTTAATTTAACAAGCCGCTATTAATAAGACAACTTTTACAAAAACATTCTGAAACGAATTACATACTCAGAAGTCCATAAATTCATAAATGCTTAAGATGGGTCTTGTGATTACCTTGAGAAACTGCATTATAATAGCCTACATAAACAAATGGAAAACAATTACAATATTGTTGGGCATAAATAATTATGACTTAATCAAAGTTATTTTATAACGCATGAAGATTTTGCGTTTCTCATTTTATTAATATTGATATTTTTCATCGGAATTTTGAAGTGCCAAAAAAATTCACCCAATTTGTGTGCCTTTCGTGTTTTGACTACGTCGACCAAATTCTCGGCTGCAATATTATATAGATTCTTTTTTTGCGATTACGCAAAAAAAATATTTGTTATGAACGAAATAAAATTTTGATCATTGAAAATCGTTTTAAAAAAGCGGATTTATCGGAAAACCTTAGCACATTTGCTTATGTTCTCAAATGCATTTTGTCAAGATACGAGGTTAATAACAAATTAGAAAAGCGCATAAAACCGTGAAGCAAGCGTTAATGTTAATGATGACTGTTCGATTAAACCGTAGCCATTCCCGTTCAAACCGATTTCTATTAACGTTATTCCCTACTACTAGAACGCAGTGATGAAAGAAAGCAAGCTTGAAGAATGTAACTGTCTTATATGGAGCATTCTAAAATGCTGAGGGTGTAAATATATCCATACGCATTGAATATAAATTATTGGCGAGGAAGGTTCGATGTTTTCTTCATAAATTTAGTAAAAGTTTATTTAGTTTCCCTAATTTATGGCTTTTTGGCACCGTCAAAGTACAACAATTAGCCTGCAAAAACTGAATTCTGTGCTCAGATAAGGAGAGTTGTAAAGCGATGATTGCAGTAATTTCACTCAAATGAAAAGTTTCAAATTGGCAATAAAAATGTCCGTTGCGCTACATGACTAATGGTAATGTGCTGTTAACCAGATGCTGTTAATCACCAGGAAAATGTCGAGCATTTATTGCAACCAATGCTTGTTACTCTGATCCCAATTTTCGATTGACTTCGTAGAATAGACCTTGAAAGTGCAAAAGCAATCCCTTTAAATTTACGATTCAAATGAATAAATCTCATGTTTTTGTCTTCGACATATGTGCACAGTGCTATTAGTCGCATCTCTCGCTTAATGCATTAAATATTTTTGCATTTCTTGTTAACTTTGACCAGTGTCATTTTGGACAAATGTGATGTCTGATATTAAAAAATAAAAGTCATGGGCTGTGCAAGAGCCTTCTTTCAATGTGCAAGACTGAAGAAAATTGTCCTTAAATATCATTTTTAAAAAACCTACTAATCAAAATGTACATGGTGATTAGTAGGTTTTTTCTAAACTACGCGAGACAGAACTTGCCCAAAGAATTCGATCAATTCCTTCTACTTTGGAAATAAATATTGGGGTTTTAGTTGACTAGTCATTTAGGCATGCAAAAAGTGTTCATTGTTTGCTACTTTTGCTGTTAGTAGAAATAAACAATTTAGCTCCACGTAATCTTTGGTCTTAATGCCGTGATGAAGGAGATCGTTGGCTGTAGTTTGCTTTGAGATCTATACATAAGCTTTTTTTGGAACAAAAAACGATGTCATTTTGGTTTATTAGAGGTGCACACAGAAATAAATTTCTTATAGATGGTTTGGCTTTTGATAGCGCTTTATTTGAAATTTTGGAGTCTAAAACCAACCTACTACCACATGGACGCTACCTGTTTCAGTAATTTCTGTGCAATCTACGTGGGGCGCTGACAATCAACCATTTTCTGGATGTTCTGCCATTCCTTGCTGAACAAAGAGGTCAATGTCTGGTTAAAATAAAGTCCATTTAACCTAGAATTTAGGGCACAATTAAATTGGTTGACATTCTTTGCCTAAATTAATTCCTTAATTCAAATTTGTGTCTGTAAATATGACCAGGTATGTAGTGTATTCATATTCAGAATACTAATTCTAAAAAATACGGATGATTTTTTTTAAGTTAATGAAATTGTGCAGCAGTTTTTGGTTTCTTGCAAACATTCTCACTTCGAAATAACTTCTGATGAATATGTTTTAAATTCTTCATTACTGCTATGTGCTACTTTAATAGCTATGAGTAGGAGAGATTCGACACGCGATTTGACAACAACATGCGCATGATGTGGAACAGGTGGGCGTTAACAGCACCTTAAGGCTTATCCTATTTTACGTGAATGCAATTCAGTATAAATCCACCACAGATTAAAATTGTCGTGAATCCTGTTTATTCAACCCCCTAATCTGGTCGCTCCACCTCCTACACGGGGTTCCCCTTGTCGCAGCATATCGCCAGCCGCTCGAATCCTTAACTCGTCCCTTCATTAGCACGAATGTTTATCTTGTAGTGTTCCTACCCATAGGTCTCGATGTTAGAGCATGTTTGACTAACGAATCCGAGATCTAAATACACACGCGCAAATACCACACACGACACAACGACACCAACGTGATTGACCTCTGAAGTAAACGCTTGTGTCCGTCCTCTTTGGGCTTTTTCCTTTCATCGCTGTCATCAGGCAAGCGTAATCGGGCCAGGGTTAACTCCGTGGCCCCGGCGTGGTTCAAGACCACATGCTGGGGCCCACAACAAAATTTTTTGGACCTATCAACTAGTGGTTTTCATCTAGCTGGTTTATGTTACTCTTGTGTAGTATCTGTTTGATATTCCAGCTGGATGAACATTTTGCAAAAGCTCCCATTTGGAATTTAAGCCCTCGTCAGCTGTGCCTCGAAGTGTTTGCCTTCACAAACGCACAAGAACACCGCGGTTTGATAGTCTTATTTGTTTAAGTTGACTGAGGGTTAGGTGTGAATCAATTTGAAGGACATCATTCTTACCATGCGGATATTCTCCCACTTTCGTTTCCCTTAAATAGCATACACGACGCTATAAGTTTTAAGTGCAATGAAGTTTCACCGCGCGTTCAGAGCTAATTGGCTTGAAATATGTATTATTTTCAATACATCGTGAATTAGCCTCAATTCAACAGAAATGCAAATTTCATGTCCGATTCTCCAGATAGACTACTTTCTATAGTAGGGCTTATCCAGTCGGAGGATGTTTCTGGCGGGGTAGAGGTACACTGTGTAGTTCGCCATGTCCGGGCAAATGTCATTTTCAAAATGCCCCGTTAGCTGTTTTTCCGTATCCCAGCAGTAGAAGGATTGCGTAACAAGATCTTGGTTGTTCTGCAAATTCAAATTGGCCAATGGTAAAACGCGCAGCTCGTAAACCGACCATTGGTTTCAGAGATCAGTGACTGCTGTACGAACGTGGCATTCATTCTCAACCTACTGTCTTTGGTTTCAGTAATAACTTTTACCCGAAATGCGTATTAATGAAGCAGAAGTAGATTGAAAGAGTCAAATATGATGTTTAGAGGTTACAATTGAAGCAATGCAGAAATCTGCGATGGGGAAATTCGTATAAGTCCGTCTATCTAAGTAAAAAATTAGCCTAGAATTTGTGAACAAATAAAACAAAGCAGGTGAAAAATGGTCATATTATGTCTTTGCTTTATAGTGCATTTGGCTATCAAAGTGCAGTACAAATAACAAGTAGAAATTAACTCACTGGATCATGAGAAACTATTGTCCCGGTTCCAATAATCGGACCTTCAATTTTAAATGTGGTCTGGAATTCCTTGAAGCAGGGAAACGTGTGGTATGGTTCTTTAGGTAGGTCATTCTGAAAAAAAAGGCCACAAATTTATGAATATGCACACTACATCAAAATCTGCAATCAACGGCTGTAGTTAAATTCGCTTTTCAAAAAGTAATTGAGTTTTTTTAAGGAGCACATTGCATTCACTAAGGCGACATATGTAAATATATTTGAAATTGATTTCGCACGAACTAGCTGGTTATGTGTCAGATTGTCTGAGTACAGAATTCGTTTTTTTGCTGAACAACGTACCAGGAGGTTTACTTCGACCGCGCTGTTCTGAAGAAAGAAAACTCCACCAAGAGCGACAGGGCTTGAAGACTTGGAATATTTGTTGTACAGGGCCTTTTGGATTAGGTCAAAAATATTGTGACAATTAACACGTCCAGCTGCCTTCAGTTCGATTACTTTACCAGGAGTGGCTTCAGTGATGAAAAACTGACCCGTGGCGGAGAAAAAATTATTTGACGCACGCTCCGAAATTGGTACCTCACACTAGAAAGTAAAATACATCACACATATTGCTTTTAAATTATTATGTAAGTCCAGCAAACTGGTTCTAAGTGAACAATAGGAGTAATGGCCAACTAACGTGTGAATCAGAGGCATTTTCACACTATAATTTGGGGTGAAATTAACACTTGCAGCAGTCATCTACCCTTAAAATTAAATTTATGTAGCGTTGCCATGTTTAATGCTTTAGAACACATCAATTCAGTCAGTTGTTTTAAATCAGCACGTGAAAGTATCTGCTTACCATCACCTTTGATCAATTGATGTGCCGAGGTTCTTTACACTGAAAATCATGCGGATGTGGCGCGAAAGCACTATTTGCGACCTGTCAGCTGCTAAAATCTTATTCTACCGCACGTAATGTATTCACTGATAAACAAGCACTCGTATTTTTGTTGTTATTAAAGTTTGTATTTTGAAAATGCTCATTATCACCTTTGATAAATCAATGTGCCGATTTACCGACAATATAAAAGCGTTATTTACAACTTATCAGTTGCTAAAATCCTTTTTTTGCTTATCGCGATGCACTCGTTAATAAAAAGGCATTAGTAGTTTGTTATTAATACAATTCGTAATTTGAAAATGCCAGCACTTACACATTTCGGGTAGAAACCAATGAGTGACCTGTTGCATTCGCACCCTCTATGCGAGAACACAAATTCAGCAGATACCTAAAAGTGATTTATGCAATTAAAGTACATTTTTACTCAATAAATTTAGTGGAACTAACTCTTACCTCACATGGCTTTTGATAAGCCTGGAAAGGACCAATACCACCACCTAGAACCATGCCAAAGGATATTCCACTATATCTCGCAACATCCACAAAATTGTACATCTGTTTACGTTTTACATGGTATTTAATTTCTAACCTTTCCATGGTCTGCACATGGTATTAAGTAGTCGTAACTACCGACATTGGCTAATGTTGCATCGCCACTTATTCCTTTGAGAAATCAATAATTAAAGATAGCACAAACCAGCGCGACCTAAATAAAAGGGCTTTGCACCAAGATTCGGACATTCAACAACTTTGGTGGTCAGATGGCGAAAGTAAGGAGCCAACCAACATTCAATGGCTAAAAGAATTTTTTGTCAATGTAAGAAAATATAAATATCCTTACTTTCACACAGTTCAAACAAGGCCCTATTAAACGTCGAAGTAAATGATGGGATTGTTTTTATTACAGAGCACCCTTTGTAGCGATCAAGGTCGTGATCTCGCTCTTTGCCACACCACTGCATTTCCACAACTTATTATCGAGGATGTATTAAAGATTGCGGTTATTTCAAGGTTTATATATTTTACTCAAAAGAGCATATCAAACACCGTGCTTAACATTGTATCAAATAATTTAAATTTTTAGAAGATTTTGTTCCATAATTATTGAATTGCTTTGAAAATTAACAAATCAGAAATGTTAAATGAAATCATTCTAACTTTCTTGTTAGCTCATGTAATAAATCACTAACATAGGCAATAATTTTTTATACTATCCCTATTACAAAAAAATTACACATTCATTTAATGAACTTGGAATGTAATCTGCCCAGGTTCTTTCATATAATTAATATGGAAGTCAAACCACACATTTATCAATAACCACTTAAGTCTTACCGAATTTATTTAAAAATAACCAATAAAGTGCAATTTTATAAGCCCATAAATGCCAACCGAAAATCCTACACATTCATCTTCAGTTTGCACTTTATTTACTACAATGCAAAACACACACCTCGTGTAATAATCTGAAATGCTTATAATCAACGAAAAATGCTTGATTTGTGCTTTTTTAGCGTCTATGAAGCCAGCTAACCTAAAAAGGTTTTGATTTCCTTAGTTTAAGTGAACTTTAATTTTACGTTAAACAATTTCTAAAGTCAACTTACTCAAAGCTCCTTTCGCTGGGACACTACAAGTCTTGGCTTCCATGAATTGCCTTTTTCTCTCTGATGTGAATGATGCGTGCCAATCGGTTTTCCATATTGCTCTGACTGTGTTATGCTACCTTAGGAACCATCTGAAAGGCTTGTCTGACTAATTGCTAAGTATGATTCCAGTCTTCGGCAAACCACAAATTACTAGTGGAAAGTCGTGTACCTTTGGTTGTGAGGAAGTTTTCCGCAAATTCTGTTTACTTAAGCAACTAAATTTTTGTTACCTTACCGATTACCCGAAACTAAATGTCTCAACTCGCTAAAACTGGCTTTGACATCGAATTTAGTACAGTTTTCTATTCGCTTGGAGGATCTGATCGTACTTTTGCCAATGTGATCAGTTTTTTAACAGCAAAAGATTTTTCACAATGTTGAATCCACAAAGTGGTATATCTCTTTTTCAAGTTTTTGTTGTGGGCCCCAGCATGTGGTCTCTAACCATGCTGGATCCATTAAGTTGGCTCTGGTCAGATTATGCTACCCCGCCACCCGCGATGAAGAAAAAAGACCAGAGAGGACGTGGACACAAACATTCAATTCAGAGCTCAACCACGTCGTTGTCGCTGCGTTGTGTGCGTGTGTGTTAATACCGTAGATGTTCTAACATAGACGCCTAGGTGTGAGGATAATCTAAGGTAGTCAGTTGCGCTAATAGGAGATGAAAATCCGTGCGGCTGCGAAAAGAGCGAACCTGGACCGGAGGCTGGAATGACCGGATTGACGAGTGTGAATCAATGCGATTCACAACACGCTTCTTGAAAGACAACCACCGATTGGATTGGATTTAGATGGCGCCACGATTAGTGGTCGCTGGAGACGCAAGCAGTGTAGCTGGGCTTACTTTATGATCTCTTTAGCCACACATTTCACCACCACGAAATTCAGTGACTAGTAGCGCAATGTCTTAGAAATCCATCCTGGGGGTTTTCATAACCATTTAAATCAAACGTGATTTGCCTAACTACCGCTAGAAGCGGACGTTCTAGTTGCCCAGATCCCAGAAATCAAAACCACCGCTATTTGTCAAGGCATTAAATATTGAAGGATACACACATAGGAAAGCATAGGGATTTAGGTATTGCTCCAGACACCATCAAAACTTCAACGACGCCTCCGTTCGACCTTCTGGGCTCGTTGCTGCGCGGTGGCTTTGCGCTTGGCCTCGGTCTCCAGCTGTTTGGTGCGCTCCGCCTTCTCCTTAGCCCTGCGCTCTGCATGGTCCGCGGCCGCCGCGACCCGCGCCGCCTTCTCAGCCTCCTTCACGCGCTCGCGATTCCCACCACCCGCCAACAGGATGTCTGGCTGTGCCACCGATACTACTTATAAAACATTAGTAGTGTGGTTAGTGTTTTGAGACCATAAGTAACCAACGGATGCGACTTACCACTAGGGGACTTGGAGTTTGCCGAGGGGTCCACCACTTCCTCCTTGTCATCGTCGCTAATGAAGAAGGCGTCCATATCGTCCAGTCGGCTGCGAGCCGCGCTGGGGAGGTTTCCCAGCTTCTCCCTCTGCATCGCAAGCATCTTCTGGTGCTTCAGTTCGGCGCGCGCACCGATATCGGCTAGGTGCTTGGAGGGTTGAAGTCCCTTCTTTCTCTGGTTGGAGGTCGTGGAGACGGTGGCGGAGGAGGTGGTAGTGGTGGTGGCTGCAGTCCCACCGACACCCACCGCCGCCTGATGGCCACGTGATGCGAGGAGGAGGTACGCCGGGGTGCTGGAGTTGACGTCGCCGGGGGTGGGAAGGCGTTTCAGCCGACCCACCTTGAGCTCCTCGCGCGCCGTCGGAGTTGCCTGCGAGGAGCCGAATTTGTGCGGGTCCAGAGTGGAGAGCGCGTCCATTACACTGCCCGGCTTGATGCCGTCCCTAAGATGTGAGGCAGATCGGTTATGTAGTAGGTGCACTAATTAATTTGTACAGACTGTTCAGCAAACTTAGTAAAAAAACGTAATCTTGGAAATATTGTCCACAGGCTTTTATGACCCAGTGCCATTTCTCAGGCAACGTACGAATGCCATCGCAGGCTTCGAGACAATAAAGTCACTATCGACGAATTTGCGCAAATCGGCCAAGGCAATGACCGAGTAAAGTCTGGTGAATATGCCGCGTGTGGACGAACTTTCCATCCCAGGTTCAAGAGGGTCTACTGAGTCACAACGGGAGTAACGTGAGGTGGTCGAGTGTTCTCGTGATCTGCTTGCTTTCCTGCCCTATAAACGACCTTTTATGATTGAGTTCTGCGCTCAGTTTGTTCAATTGTCGGCCGTCGCGTTGGGCAGTCACCGTCTGACGTCCAATTTCCATGATAAAGTACACCCTTCAAGTTCCACCACCAGATACGCGGGAGAACCTACTTCTTCAGGTGGATGTCCTGTTTCGCTGTCGATGAACTGGGTTGTCCGTGACCTACCCACGACCTTTTACGCTTGGCATTCTTGTGAAAAAATGAACTTTTTATCACTACTCACAGTGTTCTACAAGAAATCCTTGTTTGTTGCCGATGGGCAAGCAGTGAAAGCCATGTGTTCATGCATTGATCTAGGAGGTCGTGTTCTGTCAACACACGTTGGGGGAACCAAATTCCAGGACTACAAATTTTTCCCACTTAGTAGCGCAAACGTTCAAAAATAGCTGCTTGGGTGACTCCTAACTGAGCTGCAATCTCTTGGTGCGTTTGCGTTGGGTCTTCATCCAGTGGAGCTTGTAATTCCGCGTCTTCGAGCTTTCGAGGCTGCTGTGCGGGGCGCGGCTGGTCACTGAGATCGAAAACACCACTTCTAAAACGTTTGTACTAATAATCGGCTGTTTCATGAGGCACAAGAACACGACAAATTGATCCCCTCCGTGTTTTAGAAGCACCTTTCCACGTTGGAATTCGCATAAAAGGCAGTGCCATCGAATGTGCTGTTTATCAATTGCCATCATCGTAAATTCTGCTATTCCGAGAGGCTATGGTAACTCTCGCAGACTTGTTGTTCGGTGTTCATAAACCTTGCATCCGATCCTTTCAAAACCACAGAAGACCGCGAAAATATTTCAATTTTTAAATATAACTCTAAGCTCCAAGACAAAAGTCAGCACAAATTGAGTCACACGCCTAAGAGGTGAAACCCAGCCAAGAAGCAAGTAATTAAGTAAGAAATAGAAATTACTTTTTACCATAACCTTGTGCCTCTTCAATCTCCTCCAGATCGATATTTTCACTTTCGTTAGGCAGGGAGCCAACCACAGCGGCGTCAGGTGCGTCGGATTTCGGAGCACGCCTGGAACCAGCCACCGTGGAACCCAAGGTCGCGGCAGACGCCAACTTCTGCTTGGAGAAGAATTCGGCGTCAGCGAGGGCCACTGCGAGCGCGGCCTCCTCCTCCTCGTTGCCTTGGTAACCACCGACGCCAGCAGCCCTCAGGGCCGCGACAGTGCAGGCGTCACGGTTGTCACGTTGAGGTACGCTAGGGGTTGGATGGTTTGCGGAAGGAGTTGGCTTAATTTTGGGCTGCTGGGCCAATAGTGTGCGCATTTGCTGCTCAAGGTCATCCAGTTTTGCTGCTTCACTGGCATTGGATGGGGCAACCGAATCTGGCGCACAATTGGCTGAGGTGATAAAAAACAACAATACAATGGCTTTCACTAAGGCGGCATGGCAAATGCAGGGAGATTGGCTTGTGACATTGAATGTGATTGGGCGAGCGTTATTTTTAACAGTTAACACAACGTCATCGAGCGAAAAAGCATCAATCACGCACATGCGTTGAGCCGTCGTGGCATTAGGCAAGAACGGCATTCCTAAACGGATAAAGTGTGAAGACCAAGTGAGAGAAGTGGGAATTTGGCACGGATTTGACTTCGTGACCGAATAAATGCCTCACCAGTGGTTTAATGGGAAAAAATCAACTCACTTTTGATGGCACGATACTGAGAAACGATCTTCTCACCGCCCTTAATCGCAGACTCTGAGGGCTGCAACAAGAATACAAAAATTTAAAGATATCTTTAAAAAAATTTACTGCGTCCAGGAAAACGGTGTTACATAAGCAAAAAGAGGAAAATTTGCTTGTACGTATGTGAAATCGGAAGTAGAAACCATTTGTCTGTGTTTAACGTTAACGTTAATAATTGCAAGTATGGCAAAAACTGAGTACACTAGAAGTTTTAGAATATAAAGCAACGAAATCTAGAGTGGACCAGTTCAAAAATTTCGGAGAATTAAAAATCCTTCATTTGACATCTAAGGGTGGAAGTCAATGTGTTTACGAAAACGCCACAGTTAAAAAAATTCATTCGAAAAAAATCCGCAGCATTTACGGTCGTAGTTCTAACTATTTGTCAGTCCATTAATGACGAGGGAACATGTACAAATTCTGCAGTAATACAATCCGCCTTGAGATGAAAAACAAATCCATTCTATACTTAGAAAACCCTAAAATAATTTACGAATGATTTTATCAGAGACTGTATAGAACTCGAACGCTGTTGAAAGGCGTAATTAACAACTCTTAAGCAGAGAATGAAGCCGAATATTTTAAATCATGAGAAAATTAAGAGTAACCGTCAAACAACAAATCTGGGATTGTAAAAATTACGTACGATTACGGATTCAAGAAAACTGCTAATACTTTCAAGGATTTCTTGCTTTTCGAGGGTTTCATCTTGCAGCAAACCTTCAATATATTCACCGAACACGTCCGTGTCGATGTCACCACTTAGGTCATTCAAGAAATTTTTTAACCAACACGAGAAAGAGTTTCCCAAAGCAGTGGCTGCAGCCATCCTAGAAAAACAATAATATAACAGTTAAAAAGCCATAAGTTGGCTAGGAGCATTGATTGAAAATAGCAAAATACAACCGAAACCGAAAAACGAATGTTTTACGAATACGTGTGTCGAAGACAAGAAATTTGAAGTTAATCTTCACAATGCATCATTCTACGTCAGATTTTTACAGTAAGCTAGCTAAAAAACACTTGCCCAAAAACAGATCGCAAAATTAAGCGTTGTCAAATTAACATACTACCTCCGAAATAATGTATGAGACAGGGCATTGAATAATGTTTTTCTCTTTTTAGTATTATTTTTACACAATTAAATATTACCATGAACAGCGAATTAGGCACATAACAACGTTGAAAAGAAATTACACAACTGAGGCTTAAATAACACACCGTCACGACTGTGCTGCAAGCGTGAATGGATAATGAGGCCTATTTGAAAATGAGCGTGTCTAGTCGTCTATTATAACACATTCTTATATTTCAATTTTTGTACCAAAGAAAAAAAGTAAATTATAAATGATGCCTTTTCAAAATTTTAAGGTCAACTTTCTGTAATATATGCACCTATTTTTGTGTAAACATCGAAATGAATCGTGGATAATGGAACAGTTTTGGCAAAATTCTGAAAACATTTAAAAGAAGACAGATTTTTTCATGTTTCTTTGCGTTTTAATAAATTTGATTCGATTTTAGGATTGTTAATGTGAGATTTTTCTTATGGGAAAATATTGAAAAAGCGAACGTTTTTATCCTTCCACAGTCTGTCCTGATTGGTGTTTGAAAAAACCTTTATATGTTTTCCTCCACCTGTATGGTTAGAAATTTTTTCACATTAAACTGAGCTAGTTTTAAGGTAACGTAAGCTACCATGCATCACCACAAAATATCTTAAGCATTTTTAAACTAATTAATTCTGCGTAGCTAAGCGTGAAAGCAAAATTAGACATTAGCTGTTCTTCTCTCATTCTAAAAAACGAAGTTGAAAGGGCTCACAAAGGAATTGTATACATCTTACATCACAAAACTAAGATGCGGTCTGTTCATTGCAAGCATTAATGTTATCCATGCATTTCCATGGTGGACCATGAGAAGTTTTGCGCATTTTTTACTGGTAGTCATTTACAAGTAGGTTGGAAATGCACTTGCGTGACATCTTTCTGTTTTTGGGTCGTTACCGGTTGGTAACTGGCAAAAACGTTGAAGGAAACAAACCACACTACTCAAACCTTCTCCACTTGCAAAAATTGATTTTGGAACATATATCCATTGCATTTAAGTGGATTCTCAACATCAAGAACAATAACAACAATCTTAAACAATAACAGACGCTGTTTAGAATGATGTGGCTTAAATAACTATGAATCTCTTTTTAATCTTCCATGTCAATACAGTATATCTCTAACCCTGGTCCTAACCGAAAATGCGAAGTAACGTGAATAATTAACATCTTCCGAATTTCAGTAGTTCGGAAACTCGTCACGAATGCAGACCAATGTAAGAATCACATCTTATTATCTCAGCCGAACGAAGCAACAGCTTTATAAGTGCATCAACCATTATCTCGGTTGAGAGCATGCAAATAATAGCATTGAGAATTTGTGCATAGTTTTGAGATTCTAGAGCTGAAAAAATGTATGGTTTTCTAAAGGTAATAATTGTTGGCACCTAAAATAATTAATATTATTGTTAAGCATTACCGTGCCTGATCTTGCGGACTAAATTTCCAACAAAATCCTGAATAACGCGGATTGTTTTGATTTAATAGGAGCCACATAATGGAAATCATCCATATAATTATCGAAGCCCTGATATAAAGAACTGCAAGACGCTGTTGAATTCCTCATTTGATTCATTCAAAGTAAATGTAGAATTATCTGGTCAAATGTAGCATGTGTTTAACATAACAAACTCCCGGGCTTAAATGCCATCTGTATTGTAGGACTTGCGTGTTGGGGGGTTTGTTTTCGAATTGAGCCCCCATCGGATTTCTCTTGACGCCTCAACTCATACAAGCTCTTTAACCTCTCGATGCAAATCCACTGACACTCATCAACGCCTTTCTCTTTCAGCAACTTAATTCACACTGGCCGCAGTGGAAAGAATTAATCGTTTGGTGCGTCTTCTCTGACCCCTTAGCTCTGACGCCATCAAACCACCTCAGCCACCTACATCGCACTGTCGTAAATCGACTATCACTCTATTACAAGCGATGATAACAGGGTCCAGAATGTGATTGACAGTGCACAACGAATCCTGCGACCCTGGCTAAGGTCAAAATAAGGCATCAGAACGTCAGTATCGTTCTCCACTTTGCCGTCGTCAGAATGGATCCTCGGATTAGCCGATGGCATCGAAACTCAACGGCTGCTGATTTCATAGTTCTAGTTACGATTAAACGAGGGCTTCTTTTAATAAGTTTCAGAACAAATAACTTACATCGAGGAACGCAGTGTCCATGAGATATGACTACGATTTTAGTCCGTGCAAACAAACTGTTGACCCTCCGAAGACGTCGCTATCTGTACGACAGCCTGACGACTTGTTGTGTTTTCGACGACATTCAATGAGTGTTTCAAAGCGGAAAATGACAGCAGTAAGCAGAGAACACGCGTGAAAGAAGGCTGTAGTTCCAATATTAACGCCATTTGGACACTTTAACATCCCAACGTATCAGAATGGACTTCGCTTTGCATGTAAGGTCTTTTGTCTAAACAAACTTGACGTGGCTCGAATCGCAAGAAATTTGATTTTAATTTAGTTCGAAAAGGAGAACCTGCAAAGAAATAGGTCGCTGAGACACCAATTTGGTCAATAACCGCGCAGTGTGTTCACCCTCTTAAACGAATGAGCCCCTCACCTTGCTGAGTATCTGTGGAGTTCCCGACAAGGGACCTCGATCGACCGAGGCGTCAAGCAAAACCCCTGCTGACTGACAGTTTCCAGATGGTTCGAAACGTAACTGAACTAAGAACAAGGCTCGTGGCAACGATAATTGGAGATCTCCGCCTGATCTGTCAAATTCCTTTTCAAGTCGCGCATCCCACAGTCATGCAAACAATGCGAAACTAAGCTACATAATTAACATTGTCATGTCATTTTACCAGAATTCATAACGGAAGTAGCAGTTGAGGGATGTGTTCATGGCTCGAGCATGTAGTCGCGAACCACAGCGTCGTCGCCGTGATGTGTTTAGCTCGACTACGCTACGCAGATAGCGAGAAGTCTAAGCAGACTGGAGGTGTCAGAGACACAGCCACTCGTTCGATGACCCACCAACTACCTCGATGTGTGTTTTCTGAGGTGTTCGAGACTAATGCAGTCGCTGACCAATGCAGTTTGGGTAAACTGACAGACGTGGGTGCGGGCATGCGGCGGAGGATGTTGGAGGATGTGCGTGGGTGGTTAAGGTGGCAGAGTGATTCGCCACAGCCCTCCGAATCAGCCAGTTGAATTGGCTACCTCTTAATGAGTATATGACGACCACTACAAGTCGCAAAGAGGCCATCGTAGTAGTTGAGTGCATGTTTGTTGAAACGGAGCCAGCAGTCGTCATCAGAAGATGTCTTAGACACCTGGCGCTATTGTGTGTGTCGTTAAAAGACATTTTTGAAGAATTGCTGCTGCCGAATAGTAACTAGAAGGACGCGTCTTGTCGTCGTCATGAAACGTCTGAGCCGACTAAGAGTCGTCAGAAGAACAATTTGTCCCTTTTCCAAGGTTGGAAAGGGTGAGATGGTTTGATGTCAGTAGTGCAATCTAGCATGAGTTTAGAGATGGAACCTGGTTTAGCCCAAATGTAGCTGATTGGTGACCTCAAGTTCATTCAAGTTGGTTAGAGCCACACTTACCGAAGAGACAGACTATGCACCTGGCTGAAGTGAATAAAGCTCTCTATTCGAGCTCTGGTCTTGTTCTTGTATTAGCCTGGGAGGGTCGGTTCTAGCTTCAGGGAGGGATCTGGTACCGTTATTTGAGTGGTCTTCTCTATTGTTACGGGCAAACGTAACAAATTTGGCGACGCAGGTGAGACTTTTCTTGAGATGAGTGACATAGGGATGGAACAATTACTCGAGCCACTAGTGTCAATGTTTGCAGATCGCCAGTCGTCTCAGACCGCTTCCGCCAGTACGCCATCAACTGACGACCTCACCAACAGTACCTCGGAGTTCTCCTGTGATTCAAAGAATGGCGTAACGTCCAAGTCCTGGTTTCGGCGTTACGAAGACTGGTCCGAGTCGATCTCGCGTCCCAGGATGACGTATGTAAGGTCAGACTCCTTACCCACAAACTGGGCATGGCCGAACTAAAGAGATACATAGACACGATCCTCCCCAAGTCCTAGCTCGACTTCACTTTTGGAGAAACCAATCCTGGGGAATCGTGGATCCCCAACAGATGTACAACGCCAACTTAGATGATCAATCGCATTCAAGAAGGTGTCCCCGTTAAGTAGTCATTTCGCCTATTCGGTTAACAGTTGCTGTCAAGATATGACCAAATAATTCAACCAATGACCGGCAATTATGTAGACCAAACCAGTCACGTTTTCCTCGGTATTAATGCTTGTAAGTCACATGGCATATTGCGTGACGTTCCTCGGTAAACTCGAAGGTCGTTGGTGTTTTTGTTGCCATGGCATCACCTGCATCAGATAGCGCAAATCCGGCAGCAGATTTTGCTTACTGGTGGATGCACTGCTCGAATAGTGAGTTCCAAAACCCACGAATCGACCAAGACAATAGATGCTTAAGAGACTGGCTTTAGTCGCACACCGGCTTCCCTCTTACCTTGGACGCGGTCAGATGAAGTGTCCGTAGCCTCTACCTCCACGTGAGGCAACCGTTTTTATATGTGCCCTCAAAATCACGGCCAGGATCGCCCTATTACCCACATAACTCGATGCGAGCTTGATCAAGCCCTGTCTAATGTCACCGCCAGTGTGTGCGGCTTCGTGCAAGAAAGGTCAATTTAACTCTCTAGCGACGTGCCATTCAACGATAGTCATGCCACACTGATAGCGTAATTTTCAGACGCAATGTGTAACTCTTATGTCTAGGGCTACACACGTTCACAGTAATACCGTCAGTACCGGGTCGACAGCCTCGGTTGCTCAGCTTCCTTTGCTAGACTTTCACCACTGGATTGTGAGGTCAACGGTCAGCAAGTTCACGAAATTGTGGTATTGTTGAGTTCAACAACAATTTGGCATGATTAAAACGACAAACCCAAGTGTGGCAGGACACAATGTGACATCATTTTGTGCAATGGTAGGTTAGAAACACTCGCGTAAATTTTGCACTGAAAATTGGAACAAAATAGCCCATGTTTTCACAACCAACAACTGCCACTAGAGCAGGCTGCATTGACCAATCACAAGCCATGTCGCTGATTGGCTGCGGTGCCTCAATAAAGGCCATTTAAACACAAACAGACCAATTATTGGCTGAGTTTGACGTGATCTAACAGTGTCCGCATTTCTGTAGGGGCCCTACACTGTCACTCCCGCCTTCTTCGGTTTGTCAGATTCTGACGATCAGTTGCTTACCGCAATACATAATGATCAGCACCGGCAAAATAGATTGACCCGGATCGTTGGCGAATGACGCTCGCGATTGGTCAATAAAGCTTGTCTGTTGTACCATTCTTCTTCATAGCAGTGTTCGGGAATTTGACACGGCTAAAGTGTGATTGGACAATGTTATTGAGTTTTAAAAGACCTTGTAAATACCGAGAAATTGTCTGTGATTATACCTGCCTGGCTTATTTCCATGGCAACTTAATGTTCTAAGAAAATACTGACGAATGAATTCGAAAGATAAAAGAAATCTGCGATTATATTTTGCGAAACTTCGGCTGATCCCTTTCCAAATAGCATTCAGGCCAGCTGCAGCATATCATGCCTGATTTTATACATATTTAGTAAAATCTCTTTTATTAGAAGTTATACTGAGAAAAATTACTTCATCTATAACGCGGTTTCTTCAAAAAAATTCGGCCTGCACACTGCCGATCTGAGTCGAAACCCCACAAATTTTGTGTAGTTTCTACCGAGTTATGCCGCGGACTTAACAACCTCCTTGTTCGCATGACCCTAACTGTTGTCGTTCGCAAGATAACCTTCTGATGGCACTCGTAGAATGTGCATGGATTACAGGAATAGTTCCAGCTGCCTACTCGCTACGACGACTTCTGAGTCTGCAATCTTGGAGATATCACCAGTTGCGGCTTATCAGCCTTGAAGAGTCTGAATCGTGTTTGTTCAACCCCTTAATCTGGTCGCTCCACCTCCCCCACAGGGTCCCCCTTCTCGCAGCATGTCGCCAGCCGCGCGGATCCTCAACTCCCCCCTCATTCACACTGATATTTATCTTGGAGTATCCCCACACCTAGGTCTCGATGTTAGCGCATGTTTGACTAACGAATCCGAGGTATAAATGCACACGCACAGACCCCACACACGACACAACGAGGTTGGGCTCTGAAGTAAAGGGTTGTGTCCACGTCCTCGCCGATCTTTTTCTCCATCGCGGGTACCAGGCAAGCATAATCGGGCCAGAGTTAATTCCGTGGCCCCGGCGTGTTTCAAGGTCGCATTCTGGGTCCCTCAACAGATTCAACTAACGTTAGACACATCAAAGATGATCGGATCGCATTCCGTAGCACTCCAAACACCGATCAACCTGACCTCAACCCGTCCTCACATCCATCCTAATCTCATTTCTGTCCACATCTCGATGTGGAAGAACTTGATGTGGCACTGCATTTCACAGGGCATAGATCAAAAATACAACCACAACGGATGTTGAAAAAAGGAGGATGTATTAAAATATCTGCAAAGTGTGACATTCAAAATTTCGACAAGGACCTGAGATTCTGAAAATGAAGAATAAAAACCATTAGTGGGTAAATCAACCAATGAACGATCAGTTGGAAACTACAAGTTCAAATATGCGTCCAATGTCAATTGCAAACCAACAGTTTAAACACTTCTTGGAATGTGTAGGACCTACCTAAGGCGGCAGCTTTCGTAGCGGCGTGTCAGCGCCTTCCTGCTGACGTCTGGACTCGTGCAGGGTCTTCAGCCTCTCGGCGTGGATCCGTCGACACTCGTCAAGACCCTTCTCCCTCAGCAGTTTACTCCACGGTGTCTGCAGTGGGTGGAAGCAGGCAGTTAGTCTGTGTTTAGCACGGCACGTTCGCCTCTAACCAACCCGTTGCCTTCTGTGACTCCAAATAGCCAAGGAACGAACCTGACGTAGTGACCGCGTTTGACCTGGGGAATTGTTAAAATAGCTCACCTCGATTCTTCGGTACGTGCATGCACCAGGAGTAGACGTGTTGGCAGGTGGTTGGCTTTGGAGTCGCTCGTCAGGATCGGCTGTCCCACCATCACCAGTTCCACCGTCTTCTTGAGCTCTAGAAGACCTCGTTGAGGCGTCCTGAAGTGCCTGAATACAAACACAAATAGAAGCATGTCATAGCAGTTCTTATGTCCACGCAAACGCTCACACCGCTGACTGGACTACTTCAAGAGAAATGTAGGATATCATCCATCACTTAGGAAGCGAAATTAGTCCTACGCCCAACTGACGCGCATACTCACAGTCGTTTTTTCTTTTATTGAAAACCCCAAACAAGTCGGACTAGAGACAAGCTATTGCCAAGGAGTATGCCTGAGCAGTTTTACGCTCGACGTTCATTGGTTGTGGTTCACAGGCACGCTGCCACAGACACACATACACACACGCACGCACGCACCGCTGAACCATTCTCAAATTCCTCTGTTGTCGAGTCGTGACGTGCGCTAACACGAGGTGATGTCGGTTGGTGCAAGCTACCCTACATCCTTTCCCCTGGCATTAAAGTTGCATAGGTGTGAACATTTGGGCCGAGCCATCTACAACGCCAGCGTAGCCAATCACATTCACTGAACGCCACTTCGGCTGAACAGCTTCGGCTTCCACGCGCACGTTTCGGACATGTGGAAGATCCTTTTACAATTCTTTTCAGTGCTTAATTCGGGGTAGCTTCGTTCAGATTGATCCTGACGTACCAAGTGTGGAACAAATCGAATTCCAACGCTCGAACGCTTCCTGGACTACAAGGACTTACCTGCTGGGGCGGCTGCTGTTTCCGTAGCGGCGTGTCAGCGCCTTCCTGCTGACGTCTGGACTCGTGCAGGGTCTTCAGCCTCTCGGCGTGGATCCGTCGACACTCGTCAAGACCCTTCTCCCTCAGCAGTTTACTCCACGGTGTCTACAGTGGGAGGAAGCAGGCAGTTAGTCAGTGTTTAGCACGGTACCATCCGCTTACACTGCATTGTCGCAAGTCGACGAACACTCAATTCCTACGGACTTGGGAATCGCTCACCTCGATTCTTCTGTACGCGCATCCACTAGGAGTCGATGTGCTGGTGGTTGGTTGGCTTTGGAGTCGCTCACGAGGATCCGCTGTCGACCCAGGACCGGCTCTAACGTCTTCAACAACTCTTGAACACCTCGTCGATGCGTTCCAGGGTATCTGAACACGGACGGAATCGACAACGACTCGTGCAAAAGGCGTGTACATGTCATGCCAGAATAAAGAGCGTTTTAAACCTAGGTGGATCCTTGTTGTTGTTGAATCAAGAAGCTTGGAAGTTTACAGAATAGATAAACTCACACCCTGCCGTGACGATGAAGACGCTGCAACAGGCGGTGGTGCACCTGGCATGGCGTTCTTGAGGGCGTTTGTGGGAAGGAGAGAAGGACTGTGTGGAGACGGCGGCGATGGTGATGGCAGATGCTGATGGGTGGAGGTGGCGGCGGCGGCGGCGGCGGCGGCAGCAGGTTGCGGCATCGACCAGCTAAACGGCATCTTCTTAGCTTTCTCGGTCCACGGCCACTGTCAACGTCGGCAAAGCGAAAAAAAGGCCTTCAATAGAGGTTCAAATGTGCCTTTTGAACCCAAGTACTGTCAGCTACGTTGCCGTCATCGGAATAGGTCCGTGGATTCACAGATGACAAATGAAAACACCGGGTGCAGGGAATTCACACTACCGTGAATGAAACGTTTGCTTTCCTCGACATCTTGCGAGGAACGCTTGTCCGACGCAAAGGTGTAACACTCAGTGTCCAACCGGGACGACTACTATTTCCACCTGCTCGTAATCAAACGGTACCGCCGACAGCAAGGCAAAACAACCAGCCACGTGCTTGTCAGACGCAAAAGCAATACTCACCTGTAGACGCATTTTCGGGGGATCTGCGACAACAGAAACCGTCTCTAATGCCTCTTCCTCCATGGAGTCTCTCTCAAGGGAGGGGCTTCTTGCGGTTTGACAAGAAAACTGTTTTGCAAACAAACAAAACAGCAGCTAATACAAATGATGTTCAGATACCACTGTTTAGCAATTCCGAATACACACACACACACACAAGCAGTTGGGTTCAGAGCGTCGTAAAAAATGCACTACCAGAGCACCCACTTTCACGCGATTGGGTCGCGGCGGCTTTGGCGTCTCCTCAAAGAGCACTCCTGTCGCAGGAGTGTTACTGGTGACCCGACGGACCGACTGCAAGCAAAAACAGAATAAAGGGATTTGCTCGGAAAAGGGAGGTGATTGGCCGGTTAGTCTGGAGAGGGACGACTGTTGCACTGGATGGTGAGGTGGCACAAGGAACAGAGCACATTCGAAGATTGAATGTCAGCGGAAACCACCACCGCCTTCCCAGCGCAAATAATTGTGAAACACGCACCTCCACTTTAGACGCAAATCTACAAGGCGTCTGTTTGGAAGACAGGGAGGATGGCTGGCCGAATCGTTGAACCTTGGAGGGCGTCTGCATTCGAAGGGCACCCTGACGGCTAGGCGTTTTCGTGACTACCTCAAATGAGGGTTTCGACGCGGAGGCGTAAGTCTCCCAGGTGAAACCGCGCTTCTTGGCCAACTCCGTCCACGGAAACTGACGGCAAAAAGTAAAAATACGCGCCTTAAAGGTTACAGTTGCGTTTACAACAACAAAAGACCGGAAGTGAGTTTGTTAGGCAAGAAAAGATGTCTTGCTACGTAAACTTTCCAATGCCTTGAATTGCATTTGGCCCAGAAAATTGAAATGTTTCTTGGATAAGAAAGAGAAACTGTCAGGTACTCCACTAGGTGAATAACTACACAAATTGCAAACGGATGAATCACTCACCTCGCAGAGTTTTTTTGGCTTTTTTGATGGGGAAATCTGATTGACCGGAGTATCGAGCGACGTCCTACCCGACTGACTGTCCCTGGATTTTTCAAAAGGCGGCTAAAAAAGAACAAGGCTTACATTGGCCTGTTAAATGTCTAATCAAGTCGCACACCACACACCAAGGAAATACACACATACAGTACTATTAAGCGAGGAATCAGCAAATGAGCTAGGTAAATGACTTTACCACATTATTCTACTTAGTTTAAGCACAAAATATTTCGAGCAAATTTGCCTTTTGAAATTAATAGGTGCAAGAGAATAAAAAAAACTCACAGAGAGGACAGCTGAGGGTCTCAGAGGGGTAATTTGATTGTTTTCGTTGCGGACTTTCAAGGGCGTCGGAGAAGACTAAAGTGCACGAAATAGTCATCTGCACGCGATTTGCCACCTTCGGAACTTAAATAATCATGGCCAATTCAACGGAACATTCACGAATATCTGACTGTTCAGCATGAACAAAAGAAACATACCATAAAAAACCTTTCTCGTTGATGAAGGCTTTTTCGAAGGACGCTGACAGAATATGGAGTACCAGGAGTTTTAACCGGTGAAAGACTATCACCAAGCTAGAAAAACAATTTTAACAATGTAGTTCACCACAAACCAGCACCATTGGAGAAAAGAGAAATGCGAGAATTTGAGAGCAAGCGGTTCAAATATCAGATACATTGCGGCAAGGATTTATCCAATGGAGATGACTCTGAGAGCATGTTCACTACCTGAACACATTTTGATGGGTAACATGAAAAGCCGAATGCCCAAAATTTTGACGTACCCAAAAAACTAGCATGTTCCAGAGCAAATTATACGAATTGAACATTGTTTAGTAAGAAGAACAAAATCAATACAAGTTAATCATAAAATATTTGTATAATTGTGAAGTCGTTTGGTAACCACAGTCATTTATAATAGACAACTCCATTTGAAGTGATAAGGTCCTGAATATTGTACAACAGACAGGTGTCGATTTCACCGAATACTTTGGTCAAAGTTCGCCCATATGTGACAACGAATACGACGACAAAAACATTCAAGAAATGAATTGAAGCGCATTCATTCGGACAAAAAAATCGACAGTAAAACCCATAAAACTGCTATTACCGAAACGAAATTAGTGAAGTTATAGATTAAAAACAAGAATTTTCGAAGATTAATCGAAGGAGTTTACCTCAGGAATAATTTCAAACGTTCGATTTAAGCTATCAGTGTCAGAATCCATTCATTTAACACACCCGAACCAATATGCGCGCTTTTGCAATAAGATCTAAATCTGACACATTCCAACATTGAAATTAATTTATTAGTCGACTGTATGGCTTTTTATTAAGCAATGTAATAGAGTGACCTGAACGTGTACCTATTTTAGGTTAGTTAGAAGAGGAGGATGTCCTTGCTCTTACTGTGACTGCCTTCCATCAAAAATATAATTTTCTAAAATCTGACAACATTTCAACTCGTTAACAAATGATATTCGCTTTCATTCATACATTTTATTTGATTATTATTTTCCGACGTCCCATTTAGAACTTAAACTGCTTTTTAACACCTAGCCTAAGGTTAAATAAAATTCAATTCGAATGGTGTTTTGTCCACTTTAAATTTTTTTTTTTTAAAAGCCAAAATCCAAGGCCTGAATATGAAACATTTTAAAATTCTAGAAATATAAGTGTCAGTTGATAAATTATTACAGCAGTAAGTAGTCATCATTGGTCCCTTGATATTTTAACATAATTAAACAACTCACTTCAAAATATTTGATTTTTTTTCTTTTATTGCATTGGTGGGAACAGAACACATCTTATATTTAGTTACAAAAATATACTGTAATTCAATTTATAACCTTGTTTACCTTTACCGCAGTTGCTTTAAATCCTGCTAAATTTCTCTGCATTCTGTGTGTGAATTGGTTTGCCAACTTTATAATTTGTCAAGAGTCAGTGGGGCTCTAAACTTTTTCTTTTTACTCTATTCTGCTGTGACCCACAGAAATGTCATTTCTCGGAGAAACCTGTTTCGCAGCGTTCTATTGTTGTAATGCCAACTTTCTGTTTCAAAGATCTGGTTCTCTCGTACGTCAAACTTATTCCCGATATTGCTTCAATGCCAAGCGAATTTCAAATTTTGTCTTTGACGCATTTTATTTTAATATGCATCTTTACAGATTTACCAAATGAAGGTTAATAGCAATGTTTTCGGCCATTACGTTGAGATATTCTCATTGGTGTTTAAAGATCGCGAATTAGGAAACGACATTGAACAAATAATGCAAGTGGCCCACCACAATCACCACTTTTGGCGATCTTAAAGGCAGCTGGTCCAGTTAACCTTACCGGATGTCTGTTCCAACGATTTTAGGTGGATACAAGAACGTTCATGCTTATTTATTCTAATAGGGATATTTCTATTGCGCTAGTTAGCTAGTTAGTTTTAATTTCGGCTAGCATTTTAAATACTGTCTCAAAAAGGGTGATACAAATACCGCCTAGTCAGTACCTAGCAGCGGCAGAATTGTGCGAAATTATCTCCGCAGGATTTTTCGTAATGCGACAATTCAAAAATTTATAGGCAAGGGTGCGAATAGTTCCGCAAAATGTTATTTATGGGAACTTCACGCCTAGAACATCAGTACAAAACATTTGACCGGTTACTAAGTCAAATAATGTACCAGACACTGATAGTTTCGTTAACGGTCCTCAGTCTTATTCAGTACCAATTTGTTTAATTTATATTGCAATTAATGCAGGATTTCTTAAACATGATTAAATATCCACGAAGGCGGTAATATGAGACGTTGCTTCATGAAGAAGGTTGCATTAATCATTTTGGCAGGCAACATGTTAGGGTCATTGAAATGTTGGACGAATCCAATTCAGGAACTTTCATTTCAGCACTGCTAAGGTTTAGATATACAACGCGTTACTAGAGGTATCTGCCGATACAAAAAAAATTTGCTTGGAGACCGTTGCTAATTCAGCCCACCTCAAATAGGCCACCTTCAGCTTTGCACAAGACAGACGGGTTTTGTTGGGGGGCTGCGTCTTCACACCCACAGAAAGAAAATATGTTGAATTTTATCGGTTCTAGGCACCGCTATTTTCCCATCACAAGATTAATATTGACTCCAATCACCTACACTGGCTCTACTTCTTGTATTTTCACACTCCTGAAGACATATCTGTAGCTGCTCATGTTGACATTTTGGTTATTTGACGGGCCAATAAACGGTCAAGTCGCCTTGATTAACGCACATTCATTCGGTCGCTCCATTCTCCGCTAAAAACACACTCATTTTACAGCCTGCCGTCAGCCATGGACGAAACTCAACTCTCACCAGATTAGCCCTGAAATCCATCGTAAAAAACACGCACTTAACTCTCAATGTTAACGTGTATGTGACTCAAGCTGTGTAACACATCTGAGTTAAAATTAGACACGCGAAAACGCCACCCAGCACACACCAACACCTGAATGAGCTCTGAAGTAAACGGTTTCATCCACGATCTCTCCGGTCTGTTTCATCTTTGCGGCTGTCGGGGTAGGGCAGTTTGGTTGAATTTAACTCAAACATACATGCGTGCAAAAATCGCTGGTCCAATATCTGTTGTAGGTCCAAGTCCCAACATAACAATGTGCACCACTAATGCCTCACTCCTTCATACCACTTCCACAACATTCTTATGCGTTGGCTCAGAGGTTGTTCAATTCTGCCTGCCTCGGAATCAACTGTAACCACTAGCTAATGAAATCAGCGAAGGACTAGGGTCTTCGCAAATTTACAACGGCCTCACCTTCTAAAACTAGAGGCCCCAATTTCCTCTACCACTCCTTCGGCGGTGCTTTTCAAACGGAAACAAAGCCTTCTGTGTACTCTTTACTCACTCGACTGTTCAGCTAGCTTAAACTTAGACCGCATCCAGCGCACCTTCGTTATCCAGGTAATCCAGCTACTTTGTTTTAGTCTGCCTCGATGGAGCGAAAACGCGGTCAGATCAAGGGGCATTCAACAACTGCGTTGGCTCACTTGAGGCTTGCAAGGGAAGCTTACTCATGCTGAATCCAACCTCTGTCTTTACTCCCGTTAACCTAAGCCTACACAGCCTGAAGGGATGATCGATCAGGGCCATCTACTCAAGAAACCGACCTCTGAACAGATCAAAGAAGAGACTTCAGGAAAATTGCGGGTGGGTTCATGCTTGGTTTTTTAGATCCCAGTTAAAAGTGCTGATGCAAAACTGACGGGAGTATGCGGGACGATTGGAAGATAAATTATCTCTAGCCTCAACTGCTTCAAGACCAATCTGAGCCTGGTAGAGTGGGTATGTGGGCTCTGGTAACTACAGACTAAATTACCGTTTCAAATCTCTACTGGCTTCAGACCGCAATTTTTAAGTGAGCTACAATTAGGCATTTCAACGTGCAAGAAGAATGAGTCAAATCTGTGTTTTGAGTTGGTGTTTGCAGGCTAGCCTAGTCTAGATCGTTTTCGTTCTGAGGGGTTTAGTTGTCACAAGTCCAAAGCCTTCCCTACTTAGGGAGGTACAAGAACAAGGTTATGACAGTCGATGCCAATTCATACATTAATTAGAATTTGCAAGGCTTCAGATACACACACACACACATTGATGCTACTGCTAATTGCAAAAAAAACCACGCGAGGCGCCACGGCAATGCCTACTCCGGCGCTGCTTAAGTGCCCACACGAATGGAGCTGTTAGTTGCGATACTACTGGCAAAGCCGGTTTCAGGGAATGGATCCTACACAAATTGGTCTCTCTTGCCGACAGCAATCGCGGGCGCCTGTCCTCGTTTTGGCGCGTCAAAATGACGCGGGCAGGCCCTTATGCGTACGATTTATGCGTATTTAAGTGTAAATATCACCCAGACGTACGAAAACGCAGCCCGTACGTGATTGGCTAGAAGTGCTTGAGATTACCGTCTGACTCTTCAAACCTCCGCCGCAAGCAGCACTTGCGATCACCGCTACCAGAAAGACTCATGTACCGGGCTGTACCCGGCCGCTACCACACAGGAAGTAGTAATGACGCGACAGCAGTCACGCACACAGTGTGATTAATCTTTAGGGCCGTCTGCGTCACGCTCAAATGTCACGCACAGAGCTGCTGGTGGTGGTGATGGTGGTGGCGGTGGTGAAGGTAGTGGTTGTGGTGACAGAACATTTGAGACGCACGAGGCACAAAATAAACGATCCAACGCAACGCCTGCTTCTCCACGTACGTGGAGAAGCGCGAGGTCAGAACACGAGGGCAGGTTAGCGTAGTAGTAGTAGTGGTAGACAGGCGTGTTAGTCTAGTCAGCGAGGTATTTGGTTGAGTTTTTCAAGAAGGACAGTTTAAACGCGCAGCCGCCACGGCGTTGCGAGGAGCGGCGCTTCTAGTAGCAGGCAGCGACGGCTTTGAATTCCTCCAGGTTCTGGAAGACGGCGGACACGACCTGGGGCACCGCGCGGTCAAGGAGACTTGGACGGGTCGGCGTGAGACCCGCGAGGAAGCCGATGTGACCGCCGTGACGCGTAACGGCAAGCACGACGTTGTCGCTCTGCTTCACCGCCTCCAACGGCAGAGCTAGGGGCGCAAGAAAATCGCAAAGGTAACACTCATTGTCGACGCTGCAGTCATGGATTCCACTGATTTTGGCTCAAGCGCGCTTTACGTTTGTGTGGTTACTCAAACCAATTGGGCGCTCGTTTGCGGAGGCTGGCTTGAGCTAGGGAGATGGGGTGGTTAGAGTGGTAGTCTTAATCAATAAACCCGCGGAATCTCTACAAATACCATGTGCATTCTGATTGATCCAGGGTGTTTAGAGTGAAACACGTTAATCGTAATTCTTCTCTCTTGTCAAGTAACCACATCCAGGCCCGCTGCGTCGAAACCCACAACAATCCTGCAGATGCGATTAGGCATGTCCGCTAGCATCGTTTCCCCTGACACGGAGGAAGGCGTACTTGATAGTTAAATCGTTGTACCCACAATCCAAAACTCGCGTGTTTTATGTGAAAGGTTTGTGTAAACTACAGCAACCAGGCTCGTGTGCACTGTGGGAACACACACACAAGCCCACAAAAGTACTTCACCACAAACCAATCAGCTTGCTGTTTTCCCGGAGCGTCATTAGCCAATCAAAAGACTCACTTTCGAAGGGCACGAAGGGGTCGTCGGCGGCGTTGAGACAGAGCACGGGGACCTTGATGTCGTCGATTTTGGCGGCAGGCGACGCCTGTGCGTAGTAGTCCTCCACCGATTTATAACCGAACATGTCGACTGTCATGTTGGCGTCGAACTCGCGCACCGATCGACTCTGCATAGGGGCATTTAAGAAGACGCTACGTGAGAGGCAATGCGACAGGCACTATAACCAATCACAGCACATTGAATCGGCTCGTGTCATTGGTCCAGTGCGTGTCGATTTCAATAAACAGCGTATCCTAAGGCATTACGAGGCACCAACTCACAGCCCTGACTCTAGATCACCAATGGATGCAAATTATCACCCACAGAACCGATATTTCCGCGTTACGGGAGGCCATTGACGGACGACCAGCGACGTCGTTTTGAGATATACGAGTAGTTTTACCCTAAACAAACATATCTCCAGGCACAAGTCAATGAAAGCCATGCGTGTTTTTGACGCTAGTGACGTCAATACGTGTGATTTTGAATGGAAACTTCAATGACAAATAATACACGACAGGCGCTTCAATCGAAATGGCATCTAGTCAAAAACAGCACGTCTCAAAGCCAACTGCACTGGAATTCAGTCACACAAAGACAGAGGAGCAGTTACACCATCGAATGCAAGCAAAATACTTCAATTGGAGAACAGCACCTGACGAGAAGGCAGACTGCAGAATCGAAACTAACCATTTGCGCAAGGTACCCCCTTGGTAGTCGTTAAATAGTGTGAGTGCAAGCTGACAGAAGCATAGCCGGAGCCAACACCAACGCTGTCCACTGTGCCCAAACCAACCACGAACTGGCGGGAGGCATCGTTCAAGAACACAAACCATTTGCAATTCAGACAAGACCAGGCACTCGCAAATCTTCAGCTTGTGCATATATTTCGAAGTCATTGCTCGTTCTCCCTACCCCCGCAGAACTGCATTCAACACGGCGCACATACCGAGAGACGTTTGTTAACAGCGACTAAAGCCCTGTCTAATGGGACTGTTTCCTGCAGTTTCCAGCTAGAAAAACCCACACTTCAGCGGCGAAGTGGTGCTTATTGTGGCAAAGGAGAATATCTACTGAACCGCGTCAACAATGTGAACACGTTGTTTGTGTAAGGAGACCTCTTTTTCAGACGTTTTCGTGTTGATCAAGATGCACGCAAACCGCCTTGCATCTGCGGCTGCAGATGCAAGATGTCAGATGCGATGAGGCACGGGCTTTGTTTGGCACACAAAATTGCATTTTTATGCCGAAAATTGACGTGAAGGAACTTCAAGACGCGTGTCTGGCGTCATTCCCAACCAATCACACGTGGCTGCTGTCATTTCACTGTCGTATATGTGTGCACGCGTGTCTGTTTTGCACTAAGATCATTCTTAACAGTCAACAACAAAACATTACAGCAATTGTTTGCGACAACTGGCGTATTTGGTAAAAGTTGGCCACGGTCCAGCCTCGTGGACCTTGTAGGTTGAACCTCTTTGGACTATTTGAACAGATTTCAATGAAACAGGTAATCAGAAACGTTGCTTTTGTCCCAAATACACTGACAGGGTCAAACAGGAGCAACAGTGTTACATGCAAGAAAGCATAACCGTGAATAACCACCACAGGCGTCACTAAAACGTCACAACAATTTGATGGTTGCCATGGTTACTTCGAGTGTCGTTGAAAAAGTTGGTGGAAATAGGGTACTTCAAGTGCCTAAAAAGCGTCTACAAATGGTGCCAGCTTAATAAGGACAAACTTGAGACATGGAAGTAGCACGAGGCAAACGAAATATGAAACTGCATGATCGGAAAGTGTTTCTTTGGAGGATTGATTTGAGGTTTTGAGTGATGAGAAATTCAACATGCTTCAATTGTTCCATCCGGAATGAGTACTAGCATCGGGCTGCAAGGTTACTCAACAGAAACGGGAATGTCCAGTAACCAGAATTGTGGCGACAACTTGGCGCCACACGTGCTAGTTTCGGTAGAGCGCTAAATTCAACCCGCATACACCACCTGAACTCGCAACACACGGCCATATAAAGAGTGCAATTGAGTTGACAGACAAGAGCGTTGAAATCAGCCAATCATACGAAAAAATTTACACTGATATTTAAGTCCAGGTAATAAAAGAGAAAAACTGGTGAACAACTGGTGGGTGCTTCCTGGTTTAAGAGGAGGGCTCGGTTACAAAATTGACAGACAAAAGAAGCTTACCTTGAGGATTTTCGGGATATCGTATTTCTCTGAGAGCACATCGGCGTTGCGAATGACCAATCGCTGCAAGCTCTTCGTCAGCGGGTAGTTGAAAAGGAACCAATCAAGGGACTTCTCCAGCTTGTCCGAGGTTTGCGCCACGTCCCAAGGCATGCAAATACACATGGCTGCGGTGAGAGGACACGTATTTTTGGCCGATTGCGGCTCCGATTCGTCTGCACTACTTCCCTTGCCTTGGTCAGCAAGGTAGTTGAACACAATAAGGCTAAAACGAACAATTAGGGAAAGGTTAAAAGTAGAAACGAATCAGACGCAACTACAACTGCCTTTGTGGAACAAAAACTAGTTTCCCCGCTGTAATTTTAGGAAAAATATCACAAACATGTTTGCGGAAAAAATGACCTAGGGCAATAATCGATTACCATTAATTCGATTTTGCATTTGCTTTTTGGCTAGAAATAAACACTTCGGAATATGGCCTGATCCCTAAAGCACGGTTTCACAGGGACCAAATACCACTTGAAAATGATCGGTGTAAATGCAGGGTCTCTAAATGCCAAAGCAAGCACAATTATTAAATTCCGAGTGCATGGCACAAATAGTGTTCCGTAAACTCGTTCTGAAAAAAATATTTCTGATAAAGAACCGAAAAGTGCACATACGCCCCAAGAGAAATTCCAATTGCCATCATTGGAGCAGATGGGTAGCGGGAGCGTATACGATCAAGAACTAAAGCCATGTCCGAAGTATCACAGGCGCAATATGTCCGAGCAGTCTAAAAAAAGGAGGTTAAAGTAGAAACGAAAATACGCAGAAGACCGCTAAAATGACAAATTTGTACCTTCAGCTTACGGCGACATGTTCCGCGGTTATTAAAAACGACGCACCTGGAAAAGTTAAATACTTTTAGAAAGCGGATCAGCCAGTTAGTCAAGGTAGTCTTATGATAAAAAAATATCAGAGGCTTTAGCAAGCTACCTGTATCCAGATTCGTTAATTTCCTTGACTAAACTGGCAATGTAGTTACAACAGCCACAGCCAGTTAGACCAGGCAAAAGTACGACAGTTGGAGATTCATCAGTCAGTGCATCTACATTACTCCATGACAGTGACATTTCTCCTCCATCTGGGAACACAACACATTCACTACACAAGTTCACGAAACACCACAAACCTACTCGTCGTAATTGAGCTTTCTGCAACGGTGAAAAATTGGTCTCAGGATAGTTTGTACCCGACCAGTAAAACCAAAAACAAAGGGTGAGTAAACCTCCTGCAAAAAAGGGACGCGAGATTGAAGGAAGCTCAGCAGTTTCAATGAGCGTCCATACAACACAGGATACTAGAAAAATTAATACAATAGTAAATTACCGAGCGCGCAGAAATCCAGTAGTATGCCGTATACGCCCCAACTAAACAGGATATGAGGAGCTTTCCGGTATACGCATCAATTAGAGAATAGTCAGACAGTGAAAACATATCGAATCAATCGAAAGTAAAACTTAGAGCCGGCACAAACACAGCCGAAATACGGTCTCATACACTGCGCGTAGCCAAGGTCCGTACATAGGCAGTCCTTATGAAGCAAAACAACAAGCTGGTGTAAATTCATTTTGGATTAGTTGGGTAAAAAAAATTAAGCAAAGTTTTTTCTCATTGAATATACTAACTGATGCCCATAATAAACATACTTTAATTCTTGAATATTTCGAGGTAGAGAATCAATTGCTCCAAAAATCCATTATAGTGCTTTATGTGTACACAATTTTAGTGCTTTGACTGCTGACAAAAATCAAACAGAGCTTGCTTAGCTTAACCAAATACTATGTATTTTGATTAAAATTTCTTCAAACCCATCATGGTTTATTCCATCGTGATCATATTGGTCGAGTTGACGCACTTGCAACATTGCTTGTGTCGACAAAATTAATTCATTGAACGTTTTTAAGGTATGTCTTACAGCCACAGACCTTTGTAGATTTAAAATGAATTAAATGTTTACGTAAAACAGTTCAAATCAAAATATAAATAACTCTTGAAATTTTTTGGAGTACATTCCTTGTGCACCGATTATAAATAATGTTTGAAAAGCCATGATCGAATCGCAAAAACGTAACTAATGACTAGATCAATTTTCTTTTGGCCTCTAACAAGTTATAGTCATATAAATTGTAAATAAATAGATTAAATAAAAATGTTCGCAATTTTGCCCCATTTTCGTCTTTTTTTAAACCTTTTAAGACTTCCAAATAATTTGAAACCCATTCTTTGACAAAATTCCAACATTGGAAATCCAAATTTGCACGTCGTTTTCACTAATATAAGAAACTTTTCATTGAAATTCGACTAGTGTAATTATCTGCATACAGCACTCAAAATATTAATGTAGCTTAAAACAGCTATTTTTACTGCCGAAATTTAACTGAAGTCATAATGCATTTCAAATTATCCCCTTTTATAAAAGCCTACAGTCCTTGATTTAATTAGTTAACTAATATTAAGAAGATTAAACATTTTTAGGTTTAATTGGTGCTAGATTATGTTTTTCTTACAGTGAAATCACTCAATTATCCAGACTTAGTTCAATATCCGCTAAGACTTGTTATAATTTCGCTTTCGCTTACAATGGTTGAGCATATATCCCGACTCTTACGCTTGAAAAATTACAAAATTAGACTTTTTATAATGATTTTTTAATTTGTCTATTTTTTTAATCTATGGTAGCATGCTGCTCTTTATTCACTCAAATTAAATTGCAATTTTTTCGATTAAATAAAACAAAGCCTAAGGTCACTTAGATCATATATGAGTTCGCGCACATACTTATCAGTTTGATTAAATTACTACTTCGTGTTCACAAGTTATCTTATGGATAATTATTCTGAGGAATATAGAAAGGAACAAGAAAAGCGAGGACCATTACGTGCCGACAAAGTATTTCACAAGAAAAATAATTGTTCATATTAGATTATTTTCCTAATATGTTTACTGTCAAGTTGTGCGATCGGAGTTTTTTTTCAAAAGCACCTTAATAGTCGGAAGTGTTCTTCTAAATCACGTCACTATTTTTCGTTTAGCGTTGGTTTTTTGATGCTTCTTCTATGTTATGGAATGTACGTAAATAGTATACAAATAAAGCGTATCACAACGCTCTGTTTTCCCAATATTCGCTCTTACTTTTACTTATGTGTATTACAGACGATGTGGCCATCTTCTGGTATTGTCATCCGTTGTATATGTGCTGTTGAATGTACTTTCTCCGAAACGAGCTTTCCGGATATCATTTATTTTCTCAATGTTCTACTTGACATGGGCTCATCTCTATCGCATGAAAATTGATTATGGTGGCTATTCTGCAGACGTATCACTGTGAGTATCTTTTTACAATTTTTTTCAGATGTTGTTGCGGTTGATATGTTTCATCCTTATCTTGACTTCTTTATTTTAACCATTTGATGTCAATTTAGCTAGGTATGAAATTTACTTAAATTAGGCCTGGCGATTAAATCCTTATTTTTTGATCAGTTGTCTCGGATTTACATAGTTGAAGCTTTGTCCTCTGCCTCAATAATGACAAGTGTGTTTTGTTCAGATTCCTAATTGCACAACATGCAAATTCACTTAACACGAGGCTCCAAAATCAGTCAATTATGAGTTTTTCATGGTCACTCGGTAGGTCAGTCGATAAGCAGTGTTATGTTGTTCATCTGCCTTTTGTTTTTATGTCCAGTAAAATTGCATTTTGTTATTTCTCTGCTTGCATACATTACTCTGACTGCGTTCTAAATTCGATAACTCCTTTTATGCTGCCTTGTTTGATTTTCATGTCGCATGTTGGCCGACGTTATTAACAAATGTAATTATCGAGCGCTTAAATTCTCACCTCCTGCATCCTGTAGGGTCTTGATTTACTCCATAATTTTCTCTTGCAATAATTCTTGTTTCGGATTCATTTGTAACTATCCATCTACCACCATTTACGCCATATTTTGTTTTTGCCAGCCCTAGGCGTTTTAGTGAATTTCTTAATTCAGTGTTTTGTCCAAACAGTAGAAACGTGAAAGATTATCGGATGTAGAATCTTTCAGAAGACTGCATATCGGGATAGCTCACTTTATCAGTCTGACCCTTTACTGAAATTATCTAACTCTAAATAGGTTAAATTACATTTACTGGCCATTATCACAAATACGACTTAAAGCAAATTAGTCGACTTCTCAAATTTGCAAACTTATAACGTTTTTTACACCATATCTGTGTGTTTGAATTTGTAGTCGTATTTCATATCCCGCTTAATCGAGCACCTTTTGCATGCTAGTCTGACTGCACTAATTTATTCGAACTCAAAGTGTACCTTTTGACTAGGCTGTTTCACGTGCAAGCGGCTTGTGCTGCTACCAAGCACGCATTTGTGTGATCTAGTAAAATGCTTTTCTGATAGCTCTTAAATGAGCACTGTGAAGAGTGTTTTTGCCTGTGATTCAGAGTCGACAAGCACATCACACAAAAGGGCGTTTTACGTAGAGTAGTTCGCCAGCTTCAATCACTTCCTCCTTTGATTGGGGTGCTTTGTGTAGTGCCAGGAAGAAAAAGATTGTTTTCTCCGCTAACCTCTGGCGTCTTTGGTTACTAACGTATTAACTCAGTCGCGGTTCAGAAGATACGGTCGATTTGGGTTTTGCATTTCGTGCCAATCTTCAAGACCACAATTGCTCATGTGCATTTGGTAGACTTGAAGAAGAAAACACGCGGTTTTTAACGCAATTGCCAAGTGCTGAGAAACCACCACAGTCTCTTGGTGATTTTTTGACAAATTCGTGAATTGGCTAGGCAGTCAAAACACCACTTGCGGTGTAATAATCTGCACTCAAAATCCGCTCTGGCCTAAGAAAAACAACCGGTGACTCCTTTTTTTCGCAAACCCCTAGACGGTTAAAAATAGCCAGCCTGCGTGAATTCCCCTCCCTTGACGCCTCAATTGTCAGCATAGTCGCAGTCGCAAGATGTACACCTTGGTTTTTTTCCCCGTAGGGCTGGGACACCGAGACGGGTGACTTCATCCCCTCGTTAAAATAAAACCGTCTGACGTCTGATTGTGTGTGTGTGTGGACACCAGCAGGCAGTGCACAGCCACTTTGTGGATTTCAATCCGCTCTCAAAATCCCGCGGTCGGTTAGTGGGGCAATCGGTGCTTTCTCATGCTCACTCACTCTCACGCGATTCTTCCGAAGCGAAACAATGCCACACTCGACAGTGGGGTGGCAGGCGCCAAAAACACCGATTTTTTTCCATGCCAATGGCGCACACACACACACGCACACAAAAAGCTCTTCTTTTGCGGATGCCCTAACCCTCGTCCTTTTTTTTTGTCACATTCAATTCGGTGCGGGGAAGTACGCGGTCACTTTATCCGCATGAATCACGCCGGTGGGCGCATTATTTTCACTATAGGCAGATTGATGTGTGCACGAAAGTAAATGAATAGGTTTTTGTGAAGCGGGCGAACTTAATGCTAACCCACCCTTTTCGGTGCATAATACCACACCGTTAATTGTGCTGCCCTTCGAATTGTCAACCCACATGCCGCTGCTCCAGTTTCCACACGCGTGGTGCTTTAGTTAATTGAAGAGCGTACCCTCACTCAGTGGAGTTTCTAGTCACGAATAAAGATGCAGGCGATTCCCTGCCTCCTGATTTCGCACCTACGGTGACGCCACGATTCGTCTCAACCGTACCTTGAACTCCGGTCACGTGAGTGTAGTGATTTGGTGTTAAGTATTGTGCTCCGTCTGGCTTTACTTTGGATCCGAACCCATCCTAACTTCTGCGTGTCTTGGACAGGCGGTTCAAGTTGTTGTTTGGAACGACTACACGAATCAAAATTTTTAAGAAAAATTGGGTTTTTTTTCGCGTCTGGAAAGTCGAAAGCCAGTTGCCTCAATCAATCAACCAATCAGTGTTTGATGCTCCGACCAATGAAGACTCGACCTACCGCTCATCCGTGCAAGGCTGAAGGTAGCATTACTAGCCCAATTGTTAGCACGTCACAAGCTCCCAATCTCAAACCTCCTAGGTTGGTCTAACTAAAAAAGATGGTGTTTTTAACCTGCTGGTTATCGTCAAGCGGGATGTTACCCAGTAGAAAACGCTCTTCGATACGCGTTTTTAACCCACGCAACCCTATTGGGAGTCAAAGTAATCTTCATGCAAACGAGCCAATTGTATTCGCCCCTAGGGTCTTTATTGGAATTTGCGACCAATCAAAATTGTTCTCTTCAAAGTTAGCATATTGCTGGATAGCCGTTGCCCGTTTTGACAAATGCTACTGAATTTCAACCTCAGGGCTGTTTGAATGGGTCATGTTCTTGGTATTTCCGATTTTTGTCTCGCCTAAACAATACTTAATTTTTGTGAAAGCACAGGTGAATCATCGCGTCACAGCAGCCATTTCATTCCTTGGATGTAGGAAGGAGAGTCGTACTAAACCCAAAACCGGACACACCTTGTGCATTAATGTGGATTTGAAAGGGAGCACACTACGTGTGTGTGTGTGTGCACGTGGGTGTGTTCGTGTGCGTTTCCGCGTGTGGGCTGAGGCGCGTTGCGTGTGTGGCTGGGCTAAGCCGCCCTAGGCTACTAATTTGGGACGCGTTCCTTGTCGCTGCGTACAATTGTATTCACCCACAGTCACACGACGCGCGCTAACTCCTTACAATTACCCAAATTCCTTCAGGCGTTTTATTGTGTTGTTGTTTAAATTCGCAACACGCTTTCCGGTGAGTCGTGCAGACTGCAGCGAATCACAAAACACCTCTTCACGTGATATAAAAATCGGCGCTGCACAAATTCACATTCCCCTCTGTAAATGCAAAATCTCGAGTTGGGCGCCGGCAGTAAATCGGTGGTTGTTTAAATCGATGGAATACAATCGAATGCTGGCGCGTAATTCTTAGTGGTTTCAAATTACTGCGCTGAACTATAAGTAGATGACCATCTTACTTAATTGTATTCATCAAAGTACCTTTAAATTACTTTTTTTATTTTTGCATGCTGGACGCCAAAAGTACAATTTTGCGCATTCACTCACTAAAGGAAAAGCACTTGCGTAAACGAAAATACGTAATAATAATGGCCTGCGTCCCGCGTGTACAATTGCCTTGGTTTCACGTCTCTTCAACCAATTAGAAATTGAGCCCCGCTAGCGAATCAGGCGACTGCATCTCGTCTTGCAGCAGTGATTGGCTAATTTGCCAATGTTCCTTTGTGGCCTCAAAGCTGCATTTACAGTTCCAATCAGCCATTTGGAAGCCGCTAAGGTTATTCACAACCCACACGAATAACGAGACTGAGACCATGGTGAAGCCTTACTCTTTATGCAGGCCCAAACACGCTGATAACTCGCGCATAAGCCGATTTCAAGTTGCAGCGAGTTGCACGCACGCACGCGTGTGAGTGTGTATGTGAGTGCAGGGTTTAGTTTTTATGCTTAGCGAGTGAGTCATTTGGCGTGGACAATTGTGATGGCCAACGTCTAACGCGTCCACAACGCATCGCCTCTGTCCCACTGCTTCCCCCCCCCCACAGGTGAGTTTGGGGTTGGTATGTTGCCCACTACCCTGGTAGTTCTGTTCTCTCTCCAGCCAGAGGAGGGGGTGTGGCCGGGAGCCGTTTATAGCACAGACGTCAGCAGAAGCCTTAAGATGACACACAGGCGTGTGTAATGGGGATTTTCTGTTTCCAGGCCACTCATGGTACTGGTACAGCGATTGACCCTCCTCTCAGCCAACTTGGCCGATGGACACGAGGTGGCCAAGGAGGCCTCCTCCTCCTCCACCAGTCAATCGAATGGGCATTCCTCTGTGAAGCCCTTGTCGCCTCGCACTGCCACTCTGACGCCGGCGCGCCGACGCTACGCTGTTCTGTAAGTTGTCTTCTGCTCAAATCACGCTGCTGACGCAGTCCCCATCTCGGCATCACTTCGTTCTAGCCTCTTGGGTGATTTTGGCTGGTTGTAGAGGAGACGGGTAGTGTATCACGCACACACACGAGGCGACGGACAAAGGAATGTCTAGACGTGTGTCTGCGGAGAACCAACCCAAATCACCACGCGCCACCACAACCAAGGGAGATGCCGTGGCTAATGTAGTTTTAAGTGAATCCACACCACACCCATTAAAACCGAAGGTGTTAACAATTTGCCAGAAGTACTTTCCAGTGCACCCTCCCCTCCACAATCATTTCGCACTCTTTGCACCGCACCTCCCGGTACTTGGCGCTCTAAGGGGCGTTGCCTTTGTGTAGCGCAAAGCTTTATGAGGGGTTCATGGTTTTGGCGCCCTGAGGGTCACTATCTGTTTGTATTTTGCACCCCCCCTCCCTCCATTTCTCTAGGAAACTTCCATCACCCATCCAGTTCTTCTCGTACTGCATCAACTTCCAAACCGTCATGGCTGGGCCACCTCTCACCTACAACGACTACCTCGTCTACATCGAGGGCAGGGAGGCGGAGAGATTGAAGAGTGACGACGAACGAGAGATCTTTGTGAGTCACCTGTGTGTGTGTGTGCTTTCGGGTTTTTTTCTATCACTGGCTAATTTGGCTACGCAGGTGGGCTGACATCTCTGGCGGTGTAGTGACGCAAGCTGGCATCCGCGTACGACCTTGTTGTCACGCCAATTCGAGTGTTTCAGTTAACTAGCCTTGTACATCTTGACAAAACTGTTCACACCGAATCCGTGTTCGGTCACCTCAGTCCTGTGTGTTGCTATGACTTGGCTGTTGGGGGTTGTTAACCAATAGAAATGGAGTGTGTGTTAACCAATAAAAATGAGACGCTTAATCAACCTTGCTGGACATTGACCGTTATTACAGAGGGATGAATTACCAAGATATGCAGACGCTTTCATAAACTTGGATGTAACCTGCAAGCTCGTCAAAACCCTAGAATTGGAATTCTTCACAAGAATGAGATCAAAATTTACATCCGTGTTCGGTCACCTCAGTCGCATGTGTTGCTATGACTTGGCTGTTGGAGGTTGTTGACCAATAGAAATGGGATTTGTGTTAACCAATAAAAATGGGGCTCGGAATAAACCGTTATTAAAAAAGACATGAATGACCTCTTCGCTCTGATGTAACTGCAAGGTTGTCAAAACCCTAGAATTGCAATCCGTCACAAGAATAACATCAGAATTTACAGGTATTAGTGCATCTCCAATGATTTGAGGTGGGTTAACCAATCGGAAGGAGGATGTGTGTTTACTTGCGCAACAGTTATTCAAGATTTCAAGGTACAACGTCTGGGTTTGTAATCACAATACATTGCGCATACATTGAGGTTGATGGAAAGAAGCTTAGTGGAAACACAAAACCACGGCGCGCACACAAAAATTTGAAATGGCGCCCACGGAGCGGAACAGAACATTCAAGCAAAATACGAGGATCAAGGCAGCGGGGCAAGTTTCGAAGGCTACCACGTTAGGTTTATTTTTTTCCCACGAATAAAAGCTCCACTGTCCGACAGACTAACAGGTGGAGAATCGGGCAAGGTGTCCCACCAGCTGACGTTAACGGACGTCTGGTATTGATTTCTGAAGCACCAGCACAAATTCCTGAGTGATTCTGAGGTCCTGTCGACCTGGCCGTTGTGGTGAAATGTTTTGCGGATTTCAGACATGTTCGAGCTTTCACCGCAGCAAGTGGATGACCTTCAGAAAACGCCTCGACGTGAGTTAGTCGCCTCCAAGATTCATGGAAACCGGATACATCGTGCCTTCTGGAACCTGTGCGACGACAATCGATCGATTTGCAATCCGCGGCTTGGCTTCTACAGTCCGTCTTCACATGGACTGGCATCCACATGCTGTGTGGGCACTCCCACAAACCCGTCCAACTCACCCGTCTAGACAACGACGCCTCACTTTTGGCCAGTCGACTTTCGTGACGACACTGGCTGCTGTTCTTCTTGAGCTTCTCAGCATGTGCAGTGGAGGTTTTCGTCGGAGACTGTTGACAGGCGTCTGCTGTCTGAGCACCCACGACCTTGTTGTCCAACGTAGATGCCAATCAGCCAGTCTAGACGACGACGACGGCGACATCTCTGCCACGTCGTCTATTTGGTGGCTAGTCTACCTTCGTGATGAGACATGCCATGTTCGTTGGTCACTTCTCTTCACGATTCACACGTTTCTCGATGCACAGATCTCGTTTTACGCACTGTTCAAGGTTCCAAGCTGACACCCGTCCACAATTTGCACTTCGTGAGAAGCCAACATTCCAGAAATCAACCCACAAGAGACCAGGAAGTTCCAAGCTCCATCTTCGTCGACTGTCGGCAATCATCAGACGGACGTTAGTGATTCCGAATCGCTTAAACCTGACTCTGTTGAGTGCTTGAAACAGATGGTTTCGATGGACGAGGCAGGTGCTTCAACGCCACGCGAGGTCATAAGTTATCGCGGTAGTGAGTGGCACCGCTGCGACCCTCCTAAATCGAAGTCACGAAAAACCCACATGCCATCGATTTGCGCTGTCCCATCACCAACCCAGAATGGACCAGGGAGTTCCACGCGCCCTCCTTGAAACAAACAAACCGACACACGAATCTTGTCGACGTCTGAATGTCAAATTGGCGGGACGTCGTCTCTTCGGCTGCGGCTCCCCACGACGACGTTGTCTTGATGATGCTTCCACCGTCAAAGACATGTTGCAATGGAATTCGACCTCTACATAACCTGGACACGTGTTTACTGGCGCGGGAATTACAGGCTACGACGAATCGTGAGTGCTATCCATAGAATCAACTTCGTTTCCGGCCAGCACAAAACGTCTGTCAGCTTCAACAGGCGAAGATCGAAACCACCATGCCTAATTGTCCTCTACTTCAGCTCTTGTTATTCCAGGAATACCTGCGGAGATCTGTTGAAGTCTTTGGCAATTCTGCCAACCTCGGACACATTCACGAAAGCTTGAATTGGTGCCAATTACGTCGCCCTTTCTATTTTTACTTGTTTAAATGCATTAATTTAATTAAATCGGATTATCAGCGCGTAATTTGTTCAATGTCTCTACAAATAGGGGAAGAGATTGTAGAGTATTTTTAGTTTGTTTAAATGTTTCTGTCTCGCGCGAAACGCCCCCCGCGTTACCATGGCATTCAGTACTAAAGCTTAGTGACTGAGGACAATTAAAACAAGCCCAGGTTGGTGTGTGGCTTTTGCAGCAACCGCGTCCAATTAAACGCACGCCTGGCGGTCATTTTCAACAAACAAATTACGGTTGTCATGACAACCATCTTCTCTGCCGCTGCCATTTCAGCTTCATTCATTTTATTTTTTGCAGAAGAAAAATCGCGAGAATCTTCTTCTGCCAATCGTGAGTTGCATGTGGAGCGGCTTTTTTTGTGCATTTAAATTTTGCTGTATTTTGTTTAAATTACTACCGCCATTTTGTTTTGTTTTAGAAAGAAATCAAAAAATACGCTCTAGAGGCATTAGTATTTCTATTAATCTACTTAGGAATCTGCCAATTCTTTCGACCCTCTTTCTATTTGAGTAAGTAGCTTTTAGTAGATTGTCGATATACACACTACTTAAATACTATAAGTCGTATATATAAGGTTCGTGATCAACTGTGGTCCAAAGTACAGTAGACTTCATACCGTTCTTTATTAGAATTTAAATGGAGTTTTCGTATCTGCAGGTGATAGATTCAATGATTTTACGCTTTTGGAAAAAATTGCCTACTTGGTCCTAACCGGTTTTACAATGCGCCAGCACTACTACTTTGCGTGGACCCTATGTGAGTTGTTGTGCAAATACATTATTGCTACTGAAAAGTATTGAGTAGATGTGTAGTATTATTTTATTTTTCGATTAAGGTGCTCTGAGTTGTCTGACATCGGGATTTGGTTTTGCTGGGTTTAAAGACGATAAAACACCCGATTACTCCCTGGTAAAGAGTTTTAACTTCAAGGAGTCTGAGGTGAGTTTATCTGTACATAATCCTCCTTAATTACATCTTTACCTCTACCACTTTGATGCATTCTTCTGTCTAACTGAAGCTAACCTGGGTAGAGCCTAAGAATTTTTGTACCTCCTGTATTGTAGTTTCCAAGAAACATAAAAGAACTGGCCGACAACTGGAATCTGCAGACACTGCGGTGGCTGCGAATTACCATCTTCGATCGATCACCACCAGCCTACCGTGTTGTCTTTGTCTTCTTCGTATCGGCGTTCTGGCACGGCTTCTATCCCGGTTACTACCTCTTCTTCACCTCCATGGCGTGGTTCTCCTCAGTAAGGCTCCATTATTGTCTTTTTTTATGGTTCTTATCTTACAGCATCATTTTCGCATCGTAACTATTTTGTAGATAAAATTCTGCTTGCGTACTACTAATTAGTGCTCTGGTATGTGTGTGTGTGTGTGTGCGTCTGATTGCCTCGTTCCTATTGGTTAAAAATATTGATTTACCCTTTAATGTGAACTGTCTCTGCTGCAACTGGCGGTGCCGTCTAGCGTCTTTGCATCGGACAAATTTTATTGGTTCAGTACTGACCAATCACTAGGGCAATATCGGACCAATAAGCAAACGGGAGTCCGCCTATCGACTAAAACAGGCATGGTTCTCCTCAGTAAGGCTCCGCTGTTGTTGTTGTTTTTTTTTCCTGGTTCTCCCCTTACAGCATCATTTTTACATCGTGACTATTTTGTAGACAACATTCTGCTAAGTTACCTCTGATTAGTACTCTGGTATGTGTGCGTTTGTTTTCCCAATTCCTATTGGTTAAAAATATTGATTCATCCTTTAATATTAGCATCCTTATTTTACGATAAAAATGGGAAATGAGTATGGGTAATAGCCACTTGTCTTAGGATCGCCACCGTCCACTGTGTTCATTATCTAGTTACGGTGCCTCTCTCCCTCTATTTCTGACTGGTTAAAAGTGTTCTTGCTAGTGTTAAAATATTTTTTGTTGCATTAAAAAACAGAACATTTTCACAAAATCGAACTGTTTCTGCTGCAATTGGTGGTACCATTTAGCGTCTTTGCATCGGAGAAATTTTATTGGTTTAGTACTGACCAATCACTGGGGTTACATCCGACCATTAAGCAAACGGGAATCCGCCCATCAGAGCCTATGAAACGTGATCAGAAGGATGTAAAGTTCCGACTTTCACACCCTCTACGCGACATCAAAGGTAAAACTAATTGTTGATTGTGCAAAGAAAATTCAGCGCGTGTTGCGTCTCATTTTTGAATTTAATTTCGATCAGTTCTACTCCGTGGGTCTTTTATTGGCCACTAAACTTCGTTGCCGAGTCACGCGATCCGTAGATATGACTTCCTAACACGTTGATTGCTTCTCCTCTGCTTTTTATGCAGATCGACATCACGTTCACAGTGGACGCAAACCATCATCTATACTTAGCACAATGGGAACCGACTTTGATTGGCTGCGCGTATCGATCGATGGCGTATTTCAACTCCAGAGCATAACTCACCGCTGGTTGCAGTGATTGGCCACTAGCGGGTTGGTGTTTTTTTTCAATCGATTTTTGATGACGATGACTTTTTTCCCCTAGATCGGGCGTCAGATTCGGCGTCGTTGGCGACCGCAAATTCTAGGCTTCCTGCCGGACACCGTTTGGACGTGGAAACCGCCTGGTGTGATGGAAGGCACCTCCACCATCTACGACACCGTCGCGCGTATCGTCACCTACTTTATGGTCAATTACACGGCTCTAGCTTTTGTCGTCTTGTCGTTCCATGACAGCATTCTCATCTGGTCGTACGTCGTGTCTTTTATTTCAATTCATCCACTTTCCTCTCAATTTGTCCGATTTCTCTGCCACAGACTACTTAAATCCGATATGAGTAGGTGGATATATGGCTTTGAAATGATTCAGTCTGGATAGGCAGTTTGTAGCATGCTTCATGAAGCAACCAGCGATGCGAATCGTCTGATTGGTGAGTTAGTGTGATTCGTTCATCAATGATAGGTTGTTACAAGGTCACACGAGAAGCTACGCGCATTATCCCCGTCAATTCGCAATAACAAAACAAGGTCATTTGTAGATCCAGAGCGTTACAATTAATTTTCCCACTGGTCGACTCTTTGAAGGTGTCAACGGCGTTGACCCAGTTCACGGACACCCGAACCCCCAGTCACACGCCGTGTTGTTGACGCAGCTTCCATTGGTTGAAAAAAAACGCCTCATATCGCAGTGCTAAGCCCAGACACAAGGGAAAACCGAGTCGGTTGGCCGTGAGTCAGCCAGACAAAGTGTTATGGACCCGTTTTGCGACAAATGCATTAATCATTGCCGATGTTATTGCGTGCTATGCATGCTGGCACAGTAACTCCTCAGCTATCCGACTTGGTTCTGTAGACGGTTCCACTTCGCCGGTCACTTGGTATGTCTTGCAACCCAACTCCTCCTCCTCCTCCTGCCTACCTCGCGACGTCCAACCTCGAATCACCACTTGAAATCCCAGTAAAATGACCGGGGGTGGGGGAGCCTCGCCTCATCCCCCTTATTCGCCTGCCTCATTCTCTCTCATTCCTTTGTTATCCTTTTCTATCCTTCTGACTTGATCAAACCCTCTATCTTTTGTTATACCCACCGCCTCCCTCCCACACAACACATATCGAGATTACTAGGCCTGAATAAAACCTATGCTCGTAATTGCACCAGGCAGCTTCTGATTGGTTAAAACTTGGGTAGCAGAGGGAACGGAGTCAATTCTTCGACACCCCTTGCAGACGAGATTCTGCCATTACGTCTAGCCACTCGTTGCTAGGTAACGAAGATGTCGGCGTTTTCGTGCTAATTGATTCATTCTAAGTAGCTATAGTTTCTTCAAAATCCATCAAAAATGCTCTCATGGGTGAGTTGGTTGTGACGTGGGACCGTTTGCTTGGGGTTCTTTTAAATTTCTTTTTTATTGAAAACCAGCGCTTTAAATTTATTATGTGTAAGTAGTTCTCACGAGAGCCAATCGTCTGACCGGAAGACCGCGCGCGTCATTAGAAATCGACGCCGCAAATTTTAAATTGGCAATAGCGTCTTTCTGGTGGTTGACAGCTCAAATTTCCCAACTGGGTGCGTTGTAAATGCAGTTGTTTGTCAATGTAGAATTAAATTAACAAGAAAAAATAATTCCGAATCAAAAAAACCGTTTATCTGTGTTGCGTTCGTCATTAACGACTCAAGCTGCATTAAGTGCAAGGATTTAATTCGTTGTTCTTAGTCCTTTCATCCGAAATCAAGTCATAACGAGGCTTCTCCCATCTACTTTGGACACAACTGCCATATAATCGATCTCGTGTCTTTCTACTGGCAAATTCTGTCGAAAAAGTGGGTTTTATTTCTATTTACTGCAGGACATAACTGCTACAACAATCACAAGTCCGTAGGTGTCTAAAACGTGCAGTTTCGGTAATCGACATCCTCGCAAATAAAGTAGAATGAAGGTGCGAATTCAACATGGTCAATAGGTGATTTTGTTTAAATTCGAATTTGCGCTTTGAAGCGTGTGGTATGTCCAATCACGACAGGTCGCCAAATTCACCCAATATCCAGTGACTAATAGCAGAAACAGGCATTAGTGCACACTTAAGCCACAAGGCATCTGCACACACCTGTAGAGCACATGTTGATGGTTTATTTTTCAACCAACCGACCCGCTCTCAAAAAGGCAACAGGTCGGTACATGTTGCCGGTGCGAACACAACCCTGGACGTTTATAATCAAGCGCGCGTTCGCTGGGAGCCCAGTAAAAACACCTTAGGGCTGCAAAACAATAAAAACCCCCCATGGACTAAACGCGAATAAGTCGCTTCGCCATTGTTTAACAATTTCATGGCAAGATCTCTTGCAAAAAATCCGGTTTGTAATTGCATCGGAAAGCTCGCTTCTCATTGGCTTTCCAGTAGGCCGTGAGTGAGAGAGACACTACTGTCTCGGCGATCTGCTGCCGCGTGTGCACGGATTCTAAATTACCGCGCGTAGGTCAGCCAATCAACGACCTGGCCAGTGCGTGATTCACCCAATGCACACCAATCAGACTCGTGCGCGCCACTTCACCGTATCAGGGCCTTGGGGCTCAAGGCCATTAGCAATTCAAGGCTCAATTGGTTGTCAAATGCGCTACACTTTTCAAATATTGCTTGTACAATTTGGATAGAAACGTAATGAATGGATTGTACGATATGGTACGTACTTTTTGTGTTTTTTTTAATAATAAATGACAGAAATGCACTCGGGCTTTCAGGCTTTTGTTTGCGCAATCGTTACCTTGTCTTGTCTGTTTTCTTGTGGCTGAGTCGCTAATCAAAAAAGTTTTTTTTCCCTTGGCGTAACTTTCTACCCATACTAGTTCACTGTATACGTAAATGCTGAGGGGTTCATTGTATCTGGGAGGGAAAAAAACGCGGCATTTAACCATATTCTCATAGCTTTGTGAAAAATGCTACTTCAAGCACTAAGTCCTCTTTTTCGTGCATTGCTCTTCGTTTAATTTCTCGTGCTTTCAATCTGTAATTAAATTTGCAATATTGGCGTCTCTCATCCTTCACAAAACCGTAGTTTCCAAATTCCTTTGCAACTGACATCAGTGACTAATTTTACCGAATTTACTTGCTGCCTCTCTACGAATTGCATCAGTTTCAAATCCTTCAAGTTTGGTGACACAATGTGTAAATCAATTCGAATGTGTGCACCAAATCAATAATTGTGTCTAGACAGTTTGTCTTGTCGCTAATGCTCGTGGCTCAGGTCTTGGAATCTGCGTCTCGCGTAGTTGATTCATCTGGTTGATTGTTCAATCTCGCATGCACTTGACGACCCCCGAATTTGCCTGTTCCAACAGTCTCGAATTTTCGCATTTACCGGCATCAATTGACTTGGTCGAAGGGTTCTGCTAATTCGTACTTGGTGCATGCCCTTTGGGCATTTAAGGCTCGCTGTGCTGCCGGCAACTTTTCCCACAGCCCCACAACCACCTGTGTCCACAAATTTTCAGCATAATTTTCCCCTAAGGGATACTGGAGCTGCTTCGCCCGCCATTCTAGTTTTCAGGCTGACTAACCGTTGGAAAATTTATGTTTGGGTGGTGTCTGGTTGCCTCTTCTTCTGCGTTATTAAAAATGCCCCCAGCGGGGCTTTAATCATAGCCGCTTCAAAGAGGAATCCAAATACCACATCTGTGCGCGTCGTAAAAAACGAATCCCGTCGGTCACGTGGAATTTTCTCTAAAAACCAAGTCAAAAATATGCCGAGCAGAAGTCAGACGCCCGATCCCACTGCTCTTACAGGCATTATCTTAAGAGGAAGCGTGAAATTCGTTTCTTTTAGGGTAAAAACAACATTAATAATGCAGAAATCCTTTGTGGTAGTTCCAACTGCAGCTTCTTAAATAACCGGCAATTTCTCGTTGTCCCGAAAAACGCGACGCCGACATATCGATTTTTTATCGATCGCAAGTCGGCGTAAAACAACGCAGCGTCAGCTGCTTGCAGGCATCACACTGACGCCGCATTATCTCCGCTATTTAAAATTCCATTCGCTGTGAGTCGATCTCCTCGTCTTGCGTTGTAGTTTCTGAGCCGGAATGAGAGGTACTAGCGTGGACAATTAGAGGGCTCAGATTCTAGCCTTTTTTTTCGCACGCTCAGGTGTCTTTTGGCCGATCCATGAAAATGAAAATAACAAATAGTTGCAGCTTGCAAAGCCAACTTTTTGTCTCAAAACTGGTCTCAAGGTCATGGGGCCTTGGCTTACTGGTAACTCCAAGACAGTTTCAACTCGGCAATAAATGCACTCGTGTGTGTGTGTGTGTGTGTGCGCGCATGTTCTTTATTCTTCGCCTCATTTCCGACGTTATGTTAATTATTTGACAATACTTCTGCCTTAATTAATTAGAAGTTTAATTTGGCGGGAATCACGAACTAATTTGCACGACTCAGCGCCTTTTCCAGTCGGGTTTCTGGCCGTGAATTTATCCATCTTTTGCGGTTTGATAAGTCTAGCTTCATTCATTCATTCAAACCCAGGTGTGGAAGCCAGCGACCTTGAACCGACCAATAAGGATTGGCCTCGTCTACAATGTAACCATCGTGTTTGACCTAGATGCTGACAAATTTGTTTTTTTTTAAAAAAAAAGTCGGAATTCTCACTTAAACCCTCCAACGATATCTTGTTTAGAGCAAAAAGTGACAGATCTCCTTCCACGCCAGTGGATCCCACTTACCTAACCCCACATTTATTATCGATTTTTGCCTGTGTCATCCGTACACCCGCTTGAAGTTACTTAGTGGTACAAGCATTTCTCGTTTGGACGTCGACTGACGTCATAATGTGGTACTTGAATAAAAAAAACTACGGCCAGAGTAATTAACCGTACATAGCTCCTCAAGTACTACGTGGCGACATTTTAATTAATGATCTGATCAAAGTGCACCTTGTGCGCGCGTCCCTTTCCCTCTTGTCAGGGCTTGTCTACTTTATAAAAGGCCTTGCTTAGTAATCTTCGTGGTATCTGAATGCCTGAACGCGTTCCATGTAACAAAACTGCGTATCTAAATCCACCCACGCCTAACGTTCGTTGTCGAATGGTTTGAGTACACGGGCGGCTCAGGGCTTGTCAACTTGCCACGTCAAATTGCGATCTGTGTTTGCGTCTACCTCGAAACGCTTATTTCGCCGAAGTCTCTCGATTACGGCAACCGTCGGAAGTGCGTTGAAAGCGCATTTTGGTGTTAAGTCAATAGTTTGGAATTGAGGTGATGGATTTTCGGGATTGGTAGCCAGCTTGCGCACCAAATGTGCCCTCTTCGAATCAAACCGTAGTTGTTGTGAGCTGACTGGCGTCTGCCTCGTGGATTACTCCCTCGTCCACGCACTCAACACGCTGATGAACAGATTTACTCCCACTCAATGCTCGTCCAATATGACTATCGACTGTCGCCTTTCCCGAATTGACTCTGACTGCCAGTAGAAATCAGCAGACAGGCACAATGTGTGTACGAGTGTGTGAGTTTGGCGTGAGTCACGGAATGTCACGGCTAGCGGATAACCGCCAAACCGACATGTGTGTACACCCAGTCGACTACACGCAGTGTGCGTAACTGCAGCTCTCAGATAACGTCCAAAGTACAGACCTACCTACCAGGCTGTGCGAGTTCTAGCCGATGATTTGAACATTCGTTGGACTGGAAGAGCAATGCTGCTTGTCCTACGCCCCAGCCATCGCTTTCAAATCGCGGTTTCGAAAGTAACGTGTCGTAATGTGTCTAAATTACTCCAGTTTTCGGGCACACCATTAGTAAGATTGCCTCAGATCAGGCATTCGATAACTTGTAGCGTCGGAAGCCACAAAGCAGTAAATGTGTCTACAAGACGTTTTCCCGCAGCCAACCTCGCCCCTCCATCATCCTGGGTCTCGGCGCCAATATGATTGGCTCACGTTCTGAGTGCTGATTGGCTGATTTCGATTTCCGTAGCAAATAGCTCCGACAAGGTCAATACCTCAATTTACACGCTGCTCCAGTCGCCTGGAACGTTAACCTAAGCGACCACTCGTACTTTTACATGTTTGAGTGTAAAATTAGCCACTTGCCAGACGCACACAGCTGTCTGCGTGTCGCATTTGCACAAACAACTTACGTTCTCTGTTTCCCTGCCTTCAAACCAGTCCAACTTTGAGGTTGGCGAGGTGTGTCTAAGCGGACTATAACGTGTAAAATTTGGTGTTGTGGACAAAAAGGCCACACTAATTGTCGACGGAGGTTCAAGCGTTTTATTGGGCCGGTAGATCTGGGAGGACGTCGTCACGAATCACCGTGACTTGTCGTGGAGAATGCTGACATTCCAACGGTTTGTGCGTGCGCGTCCGTAGCTCAGAGAGAGAAACAGCGTTAGTCATAGGTGTGTGTGTGTGGTTTGTTTATACGTGGTGTGTAGATTCCAAGATAAACATTGGAGTTCATAGTGGTAATTGAGCATGGGAATCAGTCGTGCGTGAACTACCGTAACGGTTGTGAATCCATCGACAAAAGCTTGAAACGACCTTCTCTTTGAGCCAATCACAGCTAGTTGGTTTTTGATGATACGGGGAGGGGTTTACGGTGGTTGAATTAACTGCCCTCTGTTTCCTTATCTGTCAACACGAACAGTTGTCGCCTTGTGTACTTTGTGTTTTTGTTCATTTTTAAGAACAAGAGACACAGATCATGTGGCAAGATGTTTTCAAAACCAAGTCTGTCTGTGTGGTCGAGATTTCCCGAGAATAAGTTGCCCTATGAAGAACACGATCCTTGTGTTTGCTTTTCAAACATTCGTTACGTTTACGGAACTTCCTCCAAGTCAACTGACCAATCAGCTCTCAGTATTCGTTTTGTTTAAATCTTCCTCTCGTCCAATAGGAACAGGCGCCCCGTAAATGAACTATTCATTGTGCCAGACCAAACACTTTGTCAGGAAGCCAACGCAATTGCGATTTTGTGTCATTTAATGCCAGGTAAAGTTTTTCGTAGCGATGACTTGTGGATATTCCTGTAACCTCTGTCAGTGGCTGCTTAAAGTACCGCCACACGAAGCCCTGAAATCGACTGCAAAAGAGAATGACGTCAAAATGTTCCGGAAACTGCGTCAACCTCACCGGCCTCGCGGCTCCGAGCTGCCGATTGGTCGTTCGATGCGTGATTATTGGGTTTCTGCGCGCGTCGTGTGAGTTGTGGTCGCAGCCCCACTATCGATCGAATTCGCCTGCTAGTAGTTTGTTGTCAAGTCCTTTCGTCAATAAATTATCGATTGCCTGTGAGTTTTAGTCGTAGCCAAATGGGCCAATCGCGTTCGCGGGGTGCCGCAGCTACGTCACAGCCGAGTTTAATACTGACAGCTTTCGTGAGGCCTATTTTTTGACGCGGGCGCCGCCTCACCGCGTCACAGTGCGCGTTCGTGTTCCCCTTCAACGCTCTGTTTATGGGACGCCAGCCACTTCCGCCCAACGACCATTCCCAGTTTAGTGGCTCATCTCGGCGTCTGTGTGTCTGCGTGCACGCGCGCGCTACGATGATTTACGGAGGGAGTTCTTAAAATTACACACACACACACACACGCACACACACACACTTTTGTTTCCCCATACTAACACACACACATCATCCGCCCGCACACAGTCATTTGCAGGCTTCTTCTGAAAATCACATGTAACCTCTTGGAAGTACATGTGTCACTGAATTGTGGGGTTAAACTTTTCGCCAGCAGGGTGATTCAGGGGAAATGTGCGAGTCCTCTCTGGGTAGTTAGATGATCCAGCTCGAAGAGGGTTATGCAGGCAATGCTTTTTCGATGGCTTTGAAGCGAAACACCTAGCGTCACTCCGTTGCATCGCGCGATAACGCATTGTCGCGCAACCTAGAGCCTGCTGGGGGTGCATCGGCCCAACTCCCAACGTCCACCGTCTCCTCTTTTGCGAAATTCCAGAATCTACGTTGAAATTTGCCTAATTGGAGCCTGCGAAGGGGTGATCCACAACATTGTTGCCCCCCCTTCACGAAACAGAAATGGCTTCGGCTGCTTGAAATTTAGCAGCATCGTCGTCTTTCCTTCGTGGAGAGAAACTAGACGTCTTCACCATCGAGTTAAACCCACGGCACATCTGTCGATTGGTCTACGCCAGCGCCTCGTCTGGGACACCACGCGGCAAGCAGCCTCATTGGCTGAGATGAGTACATGCAGGCTGGCACGCTGCCAATGACTTCAAGTCAGCCCTCAGATCACATTTCACACCTCCACGGTCCGTAAGCCCAGTAACGAGGCGTGGAGTGTGTCAAGCAAGTGTGTGAACGGTCACGCGCCCTTTTGGTCAGTCCAAGGTCACTGGGAGCACCTTCGGTTGGTCGTCAAGGCAACTGAAGGGGCCTGGACTGCGAGTGTGCGAGAGTTGTAGCACGGTAATCACAAATGGCGCGCACACACACAGATGTCTGGCGTCGCTCATTTCCATGAATGTCAAACATGCTCCAAAGGCAGATGGACATTCTTCACTCGTATCACGTGACAGGTGGACGGGTTGGTCTGGCAAGTGTGCCCCCTCTTCGTGGACGTGCGTGCGTGGGTACGTGTGCGTGCACTCCAGGCGGACGTCGTTCACCGCGTGACCCGTCTCCTGTGATTTATCGCCTCATCCCCGCCCCGCATGACTCATCCCAATCCCGGTCTCCCTGGCAGACCTCGTGTGTCTCCCTTGGGTGATTAATTCAGTTCATGTGTGTGCGCACATGAATCCCACAATCAGGCCAGACGCGGACTTTCCGTCCAACCACACCGACAGCTCGTTGTGCGTCGGTGTTCCCACCTAAACACTCCGCCGAAAAGCGCGATATCGATCAGAGTATGGAATTCGGTAGCCAGTGGGGGCCGGAAGATGCTACTTGAGAGCGTTTTCAGTAGCTTGGCGGCTTTTGTAACTTCGATTGAGTTTCGTGCATCGCTATGGGCAGCTTTCGAGTTGTCACCAGTCTAGACTTAATCGATATGCCAACGCGGTGTCCCCTAGAGGCTGGGTAGCTTCCGATTTGCGGAGAAACTTCGATTTAGTTGCATTGAGAGTAAGGAACGCAAAGCTTCATCAAAGTTTGTTCGCGTACCTCTCCTAACCTCTCTCTGAACCCCCAGTAGAGCTGGCGGCAAAATCGTGTTGTGATTGGCTGCGTTGAGCTGCCTTACCGTTTAACCAACATAATTTGCTATTTTCTGATAAGATGATTGGTTTACTGGACACCTGGTCCCATTGGACGAGAGGTAGGTTTAAACAAAAGGGACACTGAAATCTGATTGGTTTGATGAATTGGAGGTGGCGGCAGATACGAATCCCACGATCCTTTTTGGTCCTAATGCTTGTTCGACGCCATCTGTAATATTTTATCATCCGAGAACAGTCAGTGGGAATGCATTTCACTCCTCCTTCTCCTGTACCAAAGTTTACAGGCCCCTTCATTGACCTTAATTTTGATTGGTGTCCGGTCATGAAAATGTGATTGGCCACAACAAAACGCCCATTTTGAAGCCCCATTATCGCGTGGTGTTAGAGCCGAACAACGAGACAGCATCGTCGGTGGATTTTGCACAAGTTATTATCCACAGCTGTGGCGATTTTTGCCGTCGCCCTATTGCTAGAATCGTGCTTAACTTGTCGAAAACAATTTCCCAGCTACTTTTAATCCCATTGGCCGCTGTAGGTCGACACGGGTCAACGTGATTGGTCTATTCTTGCCCTCCGCGACCTTGGGCGGGGATTTTAATTCGAAGGTCATTCGGTGCGGTTGTTCGCTTTTTCCTCAAACCACAACCCAGGGTTAATGAGCAGAGTATTAATCATTAATTACCCCACCCCCACACTGACCAATGGGGTTTGAACAAGCGGCATCTTTTTCTTCTCGTCAACATACCAACCAGCCAATCCAGAGTGTGGCTGAAGGTCACAGCAATGCGAACAAATTTTGCAAGTCTTGCAGTCTGTGTCGTGTTCTTGCGTGCACGTAGTACTCCACCTAAGCCGAAATTGAGTATCTTCAACGCGTTACCCGCGCTCATTTGCTTGTTTTAATTATCCAACTTGGTAAGGTCTTGGCGACCTTGAAACTGGCGGCTGCTTTGACGCAGTTTTCAGAAAGATCTACACTCTGACCTCTCTTGCCACCTGTCCAGTTTTTTTCGCAAACACAAACGCCTCTCATTGGTTGTCTGTGGCCATGGTAACCGCATGGCTTTGTTTAAGTGAATCGCGGAACATTCAAACGTCGTAGTGCGCGATACGCCTGCGCGAAATCGCACCACACAGGGTTGGATATAGCTCAAATTTCAACAAACCTCGATATATTTTTGCAGCTCAAATCCACGGAACTATTCTGTGCAGACGTTAGCAAGCCACTGGCCACGCGGGTGGCGTTTTTACGACGCCAGACAAATACAAAAAGCCGCGTTATTTACGGGCTGTTGCCCTGGCACCGTGTTCAGACTACCAACAGCCTCCCACGATCTGGTTCGCTGTCGATTTATGCGTCTCGTCTGTGTGGACTAGAGCCTACATTTGGATTGTGTAACACACATTGGTGGTTCCTTTTTTCCACACGAAACCAAAAACCTCCGTGTTTGTAGGACCTCTCCGGCATCCAGAGCCCACATCTCTCGTTCGACGACATTACCGAAAACGTCGAAGCAACCTCGCCCGGTCCGCCAAGGTCATCGGTTGCCACTGACGACGCTCACCAGCCTCCTCCCCTCCCTTCGATCCCACAGGGCAGGGAGTTGATTATCCCGGTCAATGGACCCCCCTGCTGCATCCAATCGATTGAGGCTTTCAGTGAGAGCACCACTAATGGTGAGTGTCCCCACCTGTCAAAGTTCCCAATTTCCAAACTTTTGGTGAAATTATAGCTACTGTAATTAAATTAGTAAGATGTTTACCCCCCTCTCTTGTCGAGGGCCTATTTCAAATGAACCCAATAATTGCCGTACTAATTAACCGACTTCGCACACGAACTACCGACCTTGTGGACTGAAATCTAGAATCTGTCGAGGTCATTAGACTTCAGAATATTGTTTGCTCGAAGTTGTTTAGTCGCACCTAGCCGCTAAACGTCGTCCGATTTCTTTTTTGCCAATATCGACCAAGTTGATGCGCTTCTTACTTGTTCCGCGGTACGATTTACCTCCCTAATGCCACGGACCAATGAGATGCGTTCTCTCGTGTTTGGGCATCCAATCAAATCGTTGGCGCCATGGATAAAACAGACTGGCTGTCTTTTATTGCAAGATGCTCACGATAACTCACGGGCTGTTTAAACGGTGTGTGCGACGCGACACCTTGACGGCTTGACGACGAGTAGGTGGTGTAAGGTTGCCTCCAATGAGCTGTTCTGACTCTCTCCACAGTGTTCTCCGATTTCGCAAGACGACAGGCCGCCAAAATCGACAATGACGCGTTTGGTGGCAGCGTCGAGGTCATTACCACGAGGATCAGAGAGCGGATCACGATTGTGATGGAACAGCAGGAGGCGCCCACCTCCAGACCAAGTCGATCCAGCGCTAATCGGGCGGATGCTTTCGCCATGGTACGTCTTACAACGCCTTTAACCAATCACCTTGCTCCTAGCGTGGGTGTCATGTCGGCTTCCTTGCTGCAGGACAACAGGAAACGCGAGGCGACGTCGAGGTCGTCGGCGAGTTCGTCGACGTCCAGTTCTAGCGCCACGACGTCGACGACGACGAGTTCAAAGCGACCGTCCCTGAGCGAAGCTGTCACACCGCCAGACAGCGGTGTCGGGTCTTCTGCCAGGTCGCCGGAAAATCTGCCACCCGCTTCAACAAGGAACCCGCCATCTCTGAAGCCGCCAGGGTTTTTCGGACGGCTTCGGCTCTTCTCCTTGTCGAATGTAAGCATTTTGCCGCGGCATCCAATCACAGCAGCTCCCTAACTGTGTGTCTTAGTGTCAGATGACTAAGCGATAACTTTCTTCAGAGCTCACCTTCAGTCAATTTCAAAAATACCGCCAAATACACAAAGTCCAAAGTAAACTCCCTGGAGTGTATTCAAATTAGTCTGACCTTGTACTTTAGTAAAACGAGTCCCTCATTGGCCAACTTCAAGGTCAAAGCCACCGGGTTTGCGTGAGAGGCAATTAGGCCAACGGAAGTCGCCAGCTAAGTAAAATCACTCCATCGCCTCTACCGACTACGGTTTTATGGGTTTTATTTTATGTCCCCACAAATATTTCAACGAATGCAACGCGCTTCCACAGGTGCACCCGCCTAGCGATTTGATTGGTTCGTTGTTGTCGGAGTGTCAACGAGCAGTCCAGCTGGATCCATGGGCTGTGGAATGAGTGGGGTTTGACCGCACCTTCAGTAATTTCTCCCCGTGATCGATTCCAGCTGGTTACATCAGCTGATTCTCACCCACAACCACACATAGACACACACGCACACACACACGCTGCTTAAAAAGAGAGCGAGAGAGGTGAGAGCTGTTGACACGTCAGAAAAGGCACCTTCTGTGGGTCACAGAAGAAAACTAATATCACACAAAGTCGATGAAATTTCGACCCTCTAAGCAAATACGCACGTGGTTCTCGTAGAGCGTGGCGTGGTGCTTTGTTTACAGCCAGGGTCACTGTGTTGAAGCATGCTGCCTTGGCGTGCGTTCGACGACGCAAAACTAGTTGCCTGCGGTAACCGTTAGACAGGAAATGGTGTTGTTTTGTTAGTGAGGCCTCAAGGTCACCCCAAACTCAGGCGTCAGCGAGCTCAAACGCAAAACTGCTTGGTGCTGTCTGGTTTCCCTCGGTGGCATTGGTTGTTTCCGCTATCGACGACTGTGACGTCAACTTGTGTGGTTGCACTGAAGACAATTTGGTGAAATCAACCAACCGATTGATAAACGTTGGCTTGGCGTCTGGTTATGGCTTGAATTTCATTCGTCACGAACGCTTAGGTAGTTGGGAGCAGGTTTTGTGATTTGGAAAGGATCTGTACTAGGGTTTCAGAACGCCGAACGTACGTTGAGTCAGCTCGAAAGCTTGAAGACGTAGAATTACAAGCTCCACTGTGTGAAGACTCAACGCAAGCGCGACAAGAGCTTGCAGCAGGTCAAGTAGATGTCCATCAAAGAGCAATTTCCGGGCGTTTGGACTGAGTGTTGACTGAACACAGCCTCCTAGATCAACGCTAGAACACACGGCAACAAAAGGAGTGATTAAAAGTACATTTTTTCACACGAATGCCAAGCGTAAAAGGTCGTTGGTAGGTCACGGGCAACTCAGTTCATCGGCAGCGAAACGGGACATCCACTTGAAGAAGAAGGTTCTCCTGTGTGTCTGGCGGTGGAACTTGAAGGGTGTGCTTTACCACGAACTCTTGGAAGCTGGGCGTCAGACGGACGATGTGCGTAAATTCGTCGGTGGTGACTTCACTGCCTCGAGGTTTCTTCCACGACGACATTGAGCGCCAGGTCGTGGAAGACGATAGACAATATTTCCAAGATGAAGTCCACCGTTGTCAATTATTTTAAAATTAACTTGCCGACAAATTTGTACAAAACAAAGTCATTATTTACGGATGCGTTGAAATTGTGGGTAACTTTACACGCTCTGCCGCAGCTTCCTCTCAAACTGTTCCCTAATTTTCCAGTCCTCCGTCGGAAAAAAAATACACGCGCAGTCTGGTTAACATAGTGACTCATTCACACTCTGTCCTCACCTCGCGCACACATTGGCTGGACGTCAGGGTCACGCTTGCTGTCACAGCGATCCACCAACCAATAGGCGTGCAGCTCTGCTCTAGGGCTGATGTGATTGGTGGGTTGCCTCGTGCCTCGTAAACTTACGCCGCCTCCCACACCCCACCCGCGCGTAGCAGTACTCTCTGATCGCACGTTGTGCCTTGGCGTTAGCTGTTGCCCCGCGTGATTTGAAGATCACCCCTTTTTTCGATTCCTTTGGCTTCAACCAGGACCGTCCCAGGAGCAACGCCGACAACCCGCGAGCCGCTAGTTCTCTCTCAGTGCACGAGCCCCAACACTGCAGCCCAGACGATCTTAACCCCCATTTACTGCCAAAGTCTAGACACGCCGTCTCCTCGCGCCTCGAGTTCACTGGCAAATCCATCCTCTCGGGCAAGTACTCCAAGCTGATGGACCTTCCGAAGCCGCGAACTCGCCGAGTGAGTGTAGTCACATTCTAACCAATCGGGTTCAATTTGGTCTAATTGACAACGGTATTTTGCCATTTATTGTCTGGTTTTTGCCACAGTAGCAGTCTCAGTTTTTGTCTACGCACCTGAAGGTAGAGCAGCCCATTTTGCTAGCCTTCTGACCATTTTTACGCTTAAGCCTCGTCCTAACTGCCTGATTGGTGAGTCACTCGCCCGTTCCACCCAATCACGATGCGCTACGCCGTAAACCGTGTCCGTGTGTGTGTGTGGGCAGCCAGCCACATTACGAGCATTTCCAACCAAAAAGGCAGAAATGCCGCCGAGCGCAGATGTGCAGATTCTTTGGCAAGCGGAGGCCACACACACAAGCCCTTTTCAGGGGGACACTTGTGTGTGTGTGCGTGCGCGCGACTGCGCTCCGGCTTTTCAACTATCCACTTCAAATTCGCGTGTGCGTGCGTGCGTGGGTGACTCAATAGTGACGTATGTTCTACCTACATGCTCTTTAAAATCACCACCACCTCACTCTTGGTGTGACGATGAAGGTGCTCATGTCGATCTGCTCGATGCTTTTGTCGCCCAAACCGATAACTCTCGACTTTGTCGCAGTTCTGACTGCATTTCTGTGGCTTTTAGCTCAGTGGACATTACCGTGGAGGTGATGCTGGTCCCCCGTTGTCTCCCAACGATGTTGGTAAGTGCGATTTCATTCCCCAATTTTTTTAAGTTCGTGATTTCCCAAGTTGTACAAATCGGCATTTGATTGGGTAGACATGGTGCCTGGTGTGTGCATTGACGCCGCTCGCCAATCCGATCGAGGCTTTTAAAATGCGCGCCCAATTGGGCTCCGATGATTGGTTGCTTCGTGGTGAATCAAATCCAGATTTGGCCCCATCTCGTTTTGTCCCAGGATTCACGATGTTTATCTTGGCTGCACGTGATTCGTCAAGGTAGTGCAGCAGTTGTTTGGTTAAATAACATCAGCAATAACCACACCTCGATCAGTCAGGCTGTTTCTCGTGTTATTTCCAACTTGATGCTCGAAGCATCTTTGCAAAATTCCTTCTGTTCCGTTGTCAATTCTGCCATGAAGTGATCCACGCACCACGTGCCGCAAATATGTAGAAAATCTGGCTTAATCCTATCGATTTCCGATATCTATGGAGTACTGTGTGGTACCAAATTAAATCCCCTACCTAACCAATTTGTTAAGTTACTCATTTCGGCTTTGACCAATGGCATCGGTTGAGTTCTATTAACCAATATCAATAGAGAATTAACTGCGTGGAACTAACCAATGAGGTTCACAGTGGTCGACGTCTGATTGGTTGCTGTGGCAATAACCTGATTTTCCCTTGTCTGAAACACCTTCAAAGTATAGGTGCATTTAACAAGCGCTGATATCGTGGCATTCTGCTCAATTTACGAAATGTTTAATTACCATGCTCCGGATGTTGGATCATGGCGGTTGGTTATTTTTACGACCTTCCCACGAGAACCAATCGGAAGGAGCATACTCCAATCCTCATTGGTTGATTTTTGGCGTGATGTCTGCTCACTTTGCTCTTGCCCGTCAGACCATGAAAAACTGTTTTCCGGTTGCTGATTTTGTGTGTTAAGGCGTCGCCAGCTACCGTGGCTCCTTTTTATTGCGATCTTTAAAACCCACCTTTTTGCACGAAATTCGTACGTGGACATCTATCGTCCGTTTTACGAATCACACTCTACTAATAAACCTGTAAGTAGTCTGGAAATTGTCGGCTGTAGAGCGCGCAAAAGCACGGGTGGATTTCGTCAAATTTCACACAAACCCGGTGTGTGTGTGTGTGTGTGAAGAATTTCAAGTGGGTCTCATCGGTGCGGCCTGCGTGAGTGCATGCGACCCCGCGGCGATTGTAAGATTTATCGCCTCATCGGTGGCGCACTTTTTGCATCACATGATGACACCCGATCGCGCTGGCACGCCAATCGTAACCTTGGCAACACGCGCACCACCAGCCAGCCAGCCAGGGGATCCCTGGCGGGAAAGCGTTGTGTGTCGTCGGCATATCCACAAAAAAATTGGTGTCAATGCCGTGACGACGCGTGGTGTTCGCGAGTGCGCGCGCGCGCGTGCACGCACCACCCAATCACGCGTGAGCCCCGCTAGCCAATGAGCTCGGCGCCTGCACAGCGGCGCGCTGTGATTGGCTCACGAGCCTCGAGGTGTGCACATGCGCAGGCACGTGCAAAATTCGGCGTCATTTCGGTGCCGCTCGCAACTCCCCTCCTCACAACGCGACTGTTTCCATGTCTCGCAGTGTCCGATTCGCGTTGGATGCCTTGGGCGCCTATGGTGAGTGCTTTTTCACTCTCGTCTTTGCACATTGGTTGGTTTGTTCGTTTTTCCGCCCAGTTGCCACGACCCCCGTCACAACTGCCTTAGAGGCATCCGCTGCCATAGCAACGACAATCTCGGTGATTTTTTTGACATGATGACAGCCTTTGAAGTGGAGACAGTCTTGGCTAGGGTTGTGCTTTACTGGCGTAACCAGGTGACGAAAATGCACAAAATTGAGTCATTTGCTTTATCTGGTGACATTCACCCTCGAAACGACGTGTTTTTTGGGAGAAATGGAGGTGACGAAGTGGAAATAGCGCGCTTTGCGTCATCTGGTTGACATTTTCTTCGGCCACTCGCTTATTTTTTGAAAAAAATGGGTAGATTTATTTCGAAGGCTGTCGAAGCCTTTTGCACTGGGGCAAATTTTATAATATTTGAAAAAATAAACAAACAATTGGCTGGGATTTGCCAATTGCCGCGCAATGCCACCCAAATGGCTTTGTTTTCGCCTGGGGGATGCGGAATACCGGTCGGACACGGTGGGTGTGTACTTGTGGCGTCACGTGACCACCGCCAGGCCGGCCAATTACCCTCGCACTGCCTGCCTCGTCTAACTCCAGACAAAATCATGCTCGCGTGGGTTTGTCGCTCTCTGAAAGCTCGCTCATCAGTCCACGTTGGTGGTGGTCAAGTTTACAGAATTTTCACGCCATTCCCGGCATTCGTGACTAAACTTTTTCTGACATTTCTCTGAAAACACGACAAATTTCGGTCCATTTTTCGCACCATAATTCCGTATCTTCATTAGCCAATAAGCTGTTCACGTTTTAAATCAACCAATCAGAAAAGCCTTGATGATAGCTGGATTCCGAGTCTTTTTTTCGTCTGGCGATCGCGATCAGTCATGATTACGGTGTTATTTAATCATTGCAAGCAAGTAAAAAAATTTGGTTTACTTTTTTTTTGCATCGAAACGCTATTTCGTTACCAGCCAATGAGCTGTAACAATTTTGAATGAACCAATCACGTTTCGTTGTCTGATGGTGATCGCAGTCGGTCGTAGTTAACTCTAGACTTCGGCTTAAATATTCTTTTTTTCTGCAAAAATTTGCGTAACTACAAGTATGCTTACTTCTCCACAGTATATTTGTTGATTAGCCAATAAGGTGTTGCGATTTTAAATGGCTCCCATTTGGAATCAACCAATAGGAAGCCGCCTCACTTGGTCTGCTTACACTAACGTGAATATGACGGTTTGTGACTCAACTTTTTTTGCTGACGCCTTCATCGTTGCTAGCTGCAAACGCTCTTTTTATGTGTTATCGCGGTGGTTGAGGGGAATACTAGGCAACGATTTTACCCAATGTGGTCGTCTTTTAGTTGAATTCCCATTCCCTCCCTCCTTCCCTCCGTCCACAGCGCCTTTGTCAAGCTTCCGGCGTGACGTCTAGCCTCAACTTCACCCTGTAATTGTTTTAGCTCACTTCTTTTCCATTTCGTCGAGTTTGTACTCTTCTGCATTGCCTTGCCGCGCCCAAACTGTTTTGATAACAAAAACAACCGCCTACGCTAACCGAGTTGAGGGGTTTGCGGCTGTCAAACGAGGAAAACAAACCCACTTTTTTGCCGCGGTTGCCTATCGATTTTCCCACAGTTTGTTTAAATCGATTGGCCTGAGTCATAATTGGCGTTGCTACGTCGTTCGTCAAGGACGCAATTAAGCAAATCAGAAACAAATCCACTCAATTAGCGTCTCCTTTATTGTCTGATATTAAGTTTGCTCAATAAGAGAACAAGAGGGAAAGTGGTGTTTCCGTGTTGGGTTTGTTTTTGGGTAGCCAATAAACGGGCTTGATTTCAGATCAACCAATGAGAATTCTCGCCCCAAGGCAGCCAATGAGAAGTCACCTCAGGTGATCCTCATGCCTTGCTTTGCGTTAGCACTTGGCTCTTAACCGAAATCGTGGGCGATTGTTTGCGAAATGAGGAAGATTACAAAGCCCTATCGTTTCTTGCTTAATTAATTTACAATTTTCAGCGAAAATGGGCCTCTTGATGGCGGCGGCATTCGGGCGCCAAACGAAGTGTAATCCACAGCACACACAAATCCCCCGCCTAATCGTCTGTCGCAATTAGCGGTGCGCGGTGCACTTTGTGTAGGTGATAATGTTACCCTCGCGGATCGATCTAGGTGTAAAGTGGCCCACCTACAGGGCTATTAAATGCACCGCTAAAGGCCACAATATCGATTTTCTCGCTTGCATTTTTTTTTCAGCACCGGATTTCGCACGCAGTTGTCCAGACAGGGACTCGATGACGTGTCTGGGACTCATGGGTGAGCTGATGTCGGCGGTCGACATTCTGTCTGGTGAGCTCCAGTGCCTGGCGCTGATTTTAACGTGGTGCTGGGTGGTTCGGTCGTAACCCCCCCCTTTCTTATCTGGTCTTGTTTAGCTCGCCAGAATCAGTGGTGTTCGTCTGGCGACGCCAAGAACACAATCCAGGTGCTCAAGGCCGCGCAAAGCTCCACTCTCCTGTTCGTGCGCAAGTCTGTCGATGAGGTGAGTGTGGCAGTCTTGGTGGTTTATCGTTCCTCGAGCAGCCGGATGTCGACAGAGACTTTCAGCGTTGAATTAAGAGGAATTAAGAGCCGTGGTTGTGGTTTACGCGAAGAGTTTGGTGGTTGAAAGCCCGTTGAATCCTTGGAGGCGAAGTTGATTCCATGGATGGCGATTTCCGTGCGAATGGACACGTGTCCAGGTGTTGTAGAGGTCGAATTCCATTTCAACATGTCTTTGACGGTGGAAGCATCATCAAGACAACGTCGTCGTGGGGAGCCACAGAGGAAGAGACGACGTCCCGCCAAGATAACGTTCAGAAGTCGACGAGATTCGTGTGTGTCAGGTTTGTTTCAAGGAGGGAGCGTGGAACTCCCTGGTCCATTCTGGGTTGGTGATGGGACAGCGCAAATCGACGGCATGTGGGTTCTTCGTGATTTCGATTTAGGAGGGTCGCAGCGGTGCCATTCACCACCGCGATAACTCATGACCTCGTGTGGCGCCGAATCACCCCCCTTGGTCCAATGCAACAGCCAGCCATGGAAACCATCTGTTCTAATTACTACGTAGACGGTCAGATTCAAGCGATTCGGAATCACTGATGTCCGTTCGATGATTGCCGACAGTCGACGAAGATGGAGCTTGGAACTTCCTGGTCTCTTGTGGGTTGATTTCTGGAATGTTGGCTTCTCACGAACTGCAAATTGTGGACGGATGTCAGCTTGGTGCCTTAAACAGTGCGGAAAGCGAGATCTGTGCATCGAGAAACGTGTGAATCGTGAAGAGAAGTGACCAACGAACATGGCATGTCTCATCACGAAGGTAGACTAGCCACCAAAGAGACGACGTGGCAGAGATGTCGCCGTCGTCGTCGTCGTCTAGACTGGCTGATTGGCATCGACGTTGGACAGCAAGGTCGTGGGTGCGCAGACAGCAGACGCCTATCAACAGTCTCCGACGAAAACCTCCACTGCACATGCTGAGAAGCTCAAGAAGAACACCAGCCAGTGTCGTCACGAAAGTCGACTGGCCAAAAGTGAGGCGTCGTTGTCTAGACGGGTGAGTTGGACAGGGTTGTGGGAGTGCCCACACAGCATCTGGATGCCAGCCCACGTGAAGACAGACTGTAGAAGCCAAGCCGCCGATTGCAAATCGATCGATTGTTGTCGCAAAGGTTCCAGAAGGCACGATGTATCCGGTTTCCATGAATCTTGGAGGCGACTAAATCATGTCGAGGGGTTTTCTGAAGGTCATCCACTTGCTGCGGTGAAAGCTCGAACATGTCTGAAATCCGCACAACATTTCACCACAACGGCCAGATCGACAGGACTTCAGAATCACCCAGGAATTTGTGTTGGTGCTTCAGCAATCAATACCAGACGCCCGTAGACGTCAGCTGGTGGTGCGCCCTGCCTGATTGTCGAATTCTAAGTTGGTGATTCGAAGTCCTCTCAATTTCACACGCCTCTGAACCGTGACTTGAATTTACGCTCTACGCAGTTCTCGTCGCTAACAGCGGACGTGCGGTGTTCACTTTGTTTACCTCGGGGTGTGATTTATGGTCCAGTTAGGGCTCGTTGAGAGGCTCTGCTATGGTCAATTCCACACTACCGCCACCACCGTCAACATCATCGCTGCACACGTTGGATTTTGACCTTGGTGGCTTTGTTTTGAATATCCAAAGTGTGTTCCATATTTACATCTCGAAGCGCCAACACTTTTAGCCTTCGAAATATGCGCTTATCCCGCCCAAATCGATTTTTTAACCCAGTGAAATCGGTGCCGCGTTTTGATTGGTTGGTACTGTCGTATCTCGTAGTTAATTGGTCCGAGGTTTTACGGTTGGCTGCTCGAGTTGGATTTTAAGAAATTAACGTTTTACCTAGTTCACATTGCGGTTTTTGCTAGTTTTCTGGTGTCACATTCACACACACAACCACACCGCCGCTTGCTCAGTCTTTGATTTCCGTTTTTTTTAACATTTTTTTTCAGCCAGATGAAGATGCAGGTCGACCGACAGACCTACACTACTTCGGTATGCACACATTTTTTTGCCTACTTTAATTTAATTCACTCTTTGAGACGTTGATGTCAATTTACAACTGTCTTTGTGTCAAGTCTGTATAGATTTTGGGGTACAACGATCTCATCTTCCAATCAAATGGGTAGCACGGCCAAAAAGAGATGAGCCAATGAGATGAGTGCGCGGTCGATAGGAGATACTTCGTTTAACTTGGGGGCAGGACACGCTACTTGGCTAAAAGGTGCCATTATTTGCTCTTTCCTGATCGACACAACTTAACGAAAATAAAAGCGCTAATGTTATGTGAGACAAGACCAATAAAAAAAATTACCACCCACCAATCAAATTAAACCGAATCAAATTACATTGTGTTATCGACCAATCAGCGATTGCTTGTGAACGTCCGCTGCGAAATTGTGGTGTTTTGCCACATTTTTACCGCTTACAGATGAAGATACAGCGTGTTCGGTCTTCTTCAAGCACTCCACCTGCTACGATGTCCTGCCTGAGAGCGGGAAGCTTCTTGTTCTAGACTCCACCCTTCCAGTAAGTTCGTGGGGCATCATCGTCCCGTGAATGGCTACTTAAATAATGTAAGTAGACTGTATTTTAACCACGATCTAATTTCAGATCCGTCGAGCTATGCAAGCCCTGACCGATCATTCACTGGCAGCAGCTCCGGTCTGGTGCAGTCGTCTGCAATGCTACACCCACCTGCTCACAACGGACCTGAGTCTTCGCCTCCTCGCCCAGGCGTTTCCCCTCCAGTCCCCTCCCTCAGCGCCCCACAACGGCGGACCCCTTGATGATGATGCTGCTGCCGACGCCAAAATTTCCGACCCGAAAGTCAGCATGGGCTATTGGGAGGGCAAAACAATGGGCAGTGTGCTGAGTGCGTTTAGTCCCCCTACCCCCCCCCCCATTGTAGTCGAATTTAAATGACGCGGTGGTTTCTGATTGGTTGTCTTTCCACCTCTTCAAGAAACCTTCTACTCTTGGGCTCGGACCGAGTCCTCTGATGTTCTCATGGAAGCGCCAACCGTCGTGACCCCCCAAGACCACCTCCATCGCATCACGCGCATCCTCACCCTGGCATTTGAGGTTCCCACCACCTGTGCGTCTAGTCCCGCGTCGGAGAAGATGGAGGACGTGTGCTACACCCCAGATACCCTCACCGACTCCTCCGACCCGCCCTCTCCTGTTGAGTCGACCTTCCACAGACAATACGTGGCTCCACCCAGGCACATTCTCATCGCCGACAAAGTTGGCACTGGTAACTTGCTCGGAGTTCTCAATTCCGATCGATTGCTAGCTTATCTTCGAGTGAGAATGCGAAATCTACCCACTCCGAGCACTCTCAAGGTATGCACGCACATTAAACATAACGTTCTGCTTAATACTTTGTAAGTAGGCAGTTACTGGTTGTGTCTGATCGGTCACAGGTTAAAGGAGATCGAATGTGCTGCTTATCAGTAATCATCGTCGTTAACTCTGCTATTCACAGAGGTTGTGTAACTCGCGTAGACTTGTCGTCCTGTGTTCGGAAACCTTGCACGCACACCCACACGACCTACTACTTAGTAATTTGTGAGTAGACAGTCACGAGAGTTGTTCGATACCGCACGCAGGTTAGCGTGGGTGACCTCCAGGGGATCAGGTGGGAGGAACGCGGTTGGCAATTGGACAATGCGTCGGTGAACTTCAACACGGGCGCGTTGAATCGTGTCGTCTCAAGCATGGGTTCCGCCTTCTACCTGCACCCCTCCACCACGTGCCTACAGGCTCTGCACATCCTGAATGCGGCGTGGAGCAAGGCTGGGCTGGCGTGCTTGCCAGTTTCCTTCGACAATGGCCAAGGTTTCCAGGGCATGCTGTCGAAACACGACATTCTGGTAAGGTCGTTCTGCGTCTTTAAATACATTGCTACTTTTCGATTTAAGTAGGCGTTTTTTCCCCCGGCATTTGCAGGGAACTATATTTGCCGGTCCGCTTGACATCGCGCTAAGTGCCTCTGTGGGAACAATCTTGAGTGTTCGACCGAGAGTAAGCTGGGTTTTTTGCGTGTACACGCGTGATCTTTTCCACATTTCACGAATTTTAATAAATTTATTCCTATTCTTAAAGGCTCCTGGTTACTCAAATCAGGCGATGTGCTTCACCTCGGAGTGCCTTGTCGCTGTGCTGGATAGGATGTTCCGTCAGAAGGTATTTTTCCCAGTTACTTTAATTCATCCTACTGAATTCCATTTGAGTAGACAGTGTAGTTCATTTGGAACTTTTAGGCGCCGTGTCTGGCTGTATTCGAAAAACCCGGCTCTGGCGCCAGCTGGGACGGCCAGGCGGCTTTGGGGGCCGCCGTTGGCGTGATCACGTCCTGTGACCTCCTTCACACCATCGTTCTGGCCTGCAACTCCCCTTCCAACCCTACTACCCCTGAAATCGATGAAACCCTGCCGTATCGACCAGGCAGCGTCAAGGTTAGTTTCCCCAGCGGACGTCGAGTGCTTCACTCACAGCTGTCCTTCCCCCGGGGCACCATGAAACGGAATTCCCTCCCTTGCGCTGGAGGTAGGTTCCACAAGACAATCAAACTTCACAGCTACTCATAATCTCTCAGTAGATTGTAATTTATGAAATACTTATACCGTAACGTTTAGCTGCCAAACTCGTGGCGAGCTCTGTGCCGGCGCCGCAGATCACCTCCCCGCTTGGGAGTCGTCAGCACACATTGACAAGGTTCTTCCACCGACACAAGTAAGCCCACCGCGTCTTACACAGATGTTGTGAGTTCGCCCACTGGAATTAATTGGTTATTGGTTGCTGTTGTTGTAGGCGGTACTCGGAGAGCGAGGTGTCGCCGCTCGAGGGACCGTTTGCGACCCACTCGGGCGCCAATCGCCACCACCTACGCAACCCCCCACCGCCAAGCGCCGTTGATGACCGGTCGCTGCACCACACCTCGCGTTGCCATGGCGCCGATCGATCCGCCAAGTCCGCCAGTCACGGCGTAATGCCGAAGCTGCACCTGCCCGACAAAGGGGAGGAGGAGGAGAGCACGCTGTTCGAGATGGACGAGCTGGTGTAGGCGCGAGGTTTCGTGTAGCCCACAACTCACATACACACACACCGATGCGCTTTCTCCCGCAGACAGATTGCAGACATGGAGCCGAAAGCGGGCGCGAAACCAAAAAAAAACTATAGCCTGTTTTTGCTAGCCTGAGCGCAGCGAGTTTGCCACCTTTGTTCGTGTAATGCGTTTGCTAATGATGTCACGTTGTGCATATACGTATTCGCTACGAGTAAAATTTCCCACGCCCACTTCTTGTTTCATGTCGTGGCTTGGTTTCGCACGGGGGTGACCGCACCCCTATATGGACCTCTAACCTTGCGCCCTGATTGGTCCAGCACGTTCCACGTCGTCTAGGTCAGAAGATGACCATATCGTCGGTGACACGAGCAGTTGCGGGTAGCGAATGCTTAATGGCTGTAGACGGGGCTTTAGAGTTGCAGTCGCTCCTTCCTACAAAGGGTCTGTGGTCGCACTACGATATGGTCCGCTATCCCTGCGCCCTGATTGGTCCAGCACGTTCCCCGTCGTCTAGGTTAGAAAATGAGCATATCATCGGCGATGCGATTGGTTGCTGGTCGCGAATGCTTAGGGGCCACAGATGGGTCTCTGGGGTTACGTCACTTCTCCCCACGAGGGGCCTGTGGTCACACCCCTATACGGACCTGCAGCCTCAACAACAACAGCGGACCACTTCCCGTTCCCACCAGTCAAGTCAACCAACTCCCGAGACCCGCTGTCCGCTTTTCTTTTCGATATCTTCCGAGCGTTCAATGTATCACAGATCACACTCTCGGGGAGGGGGAATATTTGTAGCGGATTAACAGCGATCAAGCCTGAGTGGACCCAGGTTACCAACCTGACGGTGACAATGACTCATCCCCCTTTCATTGGTTACTGTATCAGATGCCTGTCATCCGTTCACGGGTTGTTACGGGCTCTTAACTAGAGGGTTGTAAGGTATTGCTTAGACCACCAGCCACCGCGATTGGTCCAGCACGTTCCGCGTAGTCTAGAGCAGGAGATGACCATATCACCGGCGATACGATTGTTTAATTGTCGCAAACGTGAGCTACAGACGTATTTGGGGGTGGCGACTTGACGGTTTCAAGGCGTAGGTTTGGATGTCTACATGCGTGGCGTGGAAGTGTACTTTTCTAGGGCAAACAAGCAGTTTTCGCGCACTAAGCTCTCTTCGTCACCGACTTACAAACAAACCATCAGCACTCAGAAGTAAACGGGGTTCAATAATTTACAATAAAGAGGTCATTGTTGCGCTTCGTAATGCTCCAGCTGGTGGCTGTCGTCAGCCAGTGAGAGTTTGGGGAAGTTACCGATGTAAGCGCAGATGGAGAGCCGACGTCCACGCAGCCAGTAGTCCTCGATGGTGACGTCTGCCCGCTTGGTGCAGTCCGCGGTGCCCTCCCAGCCAAGTTTTAGCACCTGGCCCAACGCACAATGCCTAGGCAAGTAGACGGCGACTCGGTTGGGGCACAGACGCCGCGCGGCGGTTACTGCGCCGGCCAGAAAGGGGATCCTGCCCTCCAGATCGTAGCACTGTTCGATCTCGTCGGACGCGGACTCGAACCAAAGCTTGCGACGCTTCTTGTTCCAACTTGCTGCGCCAGGCGGAAGAACACGAGCCTTGTAGTCGGGGCCGCCCCAAGGAGGCGACATGAAGACCGTATCGATTGGGCTGTGGTCGTCCGGTGGCATTCGGAGGGCATTGAGAACGAGGGTCAAGTCACCGCAGATGGTGTCGATTTTACTCCTAACGCCATACACACGGGCGTTGGAATCGAGGACATTCACAAGCCGATCCATGCAGTTGTCAACGCCTATCACTACGCGAAACTTGAGCTAGGATCTGTGAATTAAACGGCAAGTTACCGAAGCCGCAGGTTCGAGCGAACTGGATGGAGTTGCCACCGGCGCCAGCGTATCCATCGACGATAACATGGCAACTGCATACCTCAGCCTGCCTTCGAGCGATCTCCTCGGGCGTCACGCTGTACCACGATTCTGTGGTGGGGAGAATTATAATAAGAAAAAAGTGACGAGCACCAACCCCTGTCGAGTTGAACACCCTCGTCGAAACGCTCGAAGAGGTCAAATCGACGTTTCCACCAACGCGCGACCTCAGGATCACGCATGATTTCCTCAAAACCATGGAATCTGAAAGATGACTAGTCACAAGTGACTTGCTTTCGACGTCTTCGTTTGAGAGCTCGCTTCGACAGAGCCGTAGCGTTCTCAGTTTGACTGGGGCTACTGGCTACGGAAATGTTAAGAGAAGAAAAAGATAAACAGGCTACCTGAGGAATCCACTGGTAAATCGGGCTGTTTGCAAGTCAATTTGGTCGGACTTTTGAAAGATTCGGTTGAGGAGTCACTGTCTGTGACATCAGAAAGTGTGTCAATCGGAAGAGAGTCCATTTAACTGAAACCTGGAAACGCAAATTTGGTCAAATTTACACCAAAACAGACCATGCAATCAGGAGCAATAAAAAGACAACGAGTGAGAAACAAAGGAGAATTAGACAAGAACGAAGGGCCACGTAATGGAGACTTATAAAGTTAAATGATGACGCTAAGTAAAAAATAAAGTTAGTGTTTGAAAGAAACAATGAAGATAATCGATTAAAATTGTTACTATTAACGCAAATCGTCGCAATGCGTCACCTTAATGCATATGACACTTTACCTTTTATCAAGGTAACAAGATTATGGAATGTGAGTGTAGAGTGCTGGAGGAGATAATGACGAGAACGACCAACACCAACGCACAGCAGATGTGCGAGGTAGCCACTATAGTTGAGTTCATGGCTAGGCAACACATTTTCGGGATACGGAAGCAAATAACTCAAAAGCGTTAAGTTTACAACCTAAAAGCCGCTCTGACTATGGGAAAAATGGGCTGAACGGCGGCAAAGCGAAGAAAAGGATTTACGCGGGATTCAGGCAAGACTTCTTTGGAGGAGTAAAAAACATAAACTAAGGGACGTCAGGTATTATTACAACTAGTAGTGAATCAACAAGCTTTAAGCCAGGCTCGAGTTTGATTTCGTGTAAGGGCGCAGACATATTAGATCACCATGGCCCCAGAAAATCCAGTCTCTCTGCGTTCCAATGGCATGCGAAGGGGGTGGGCAGCCAACCATAGACAGACACGAATGAGAAGCAGTATATAATGACAAAGACGACTGCCTACTGTCATTTCGATTAACAGTTAATACCTCAAATAGCTAAAATTGCATTCTTTATCAATTCACAGTTATACTGTGAATTGTTTTAAAACATTTATCAGGATACGTTGGTTATCAAAAAAGGGATGTAAACAGGCAGGTCAGAGTCAACTGAGATTTAATTTTATCATTACATTTCCAAGTCTTTCTGTTCTTATTACCTAGATTAATACTAATGACAAAACCTATTATTGCTATAGAATACCTGAACATTGGTGTGAAGAAGTCGGGTTCTTCTGACAATGCTCTATTTACTAATCATAAACCAGAACCGTACGTCAGGCGCTGTCTATCCGAGGTTACCACACTGCTCATTGTATTCTGCTTCGAATTTATTCTAGGCTCCGATTTGCTACTAATTATCCTCACGGGCTATTCAAACGTAGGAGGTCAGAGAATTGCCTTTGGTCCGTGATGTCCAACATGTCTGCGCCCTTACACGTCACATATGTAGAATAGGAAGAACACTGGTACAGTAGAACAGGCTTTAGTGACCAATCAGAAGCCAGAGCCACGCGTCAGGCGCCTTCCATCCGAGCCACGCCGCTCATTATATACTGCACCTCAGTCGTGTCCTTCTCTGGTTGGCTGCTTATCTTTCTCGCATGCCATTGGAACACAGAGAAACACAGGATTGGCTGCGGCCAGGTGGTTCAACATGTCTGCGCCCTATTCCGACACCACACTTCACTACCACGCTTGGCCTGTATTTAACTCTGAAGCATGGACGGAGATGACCTTCCGCCGTCTATTAGTTTCCCTGAGGAAGAGGAAAATATAATTAGATTACATGAAAAACTAGACGCTTTTCAAACCTCGTGCAAGCTTTCGTCGAAGCGTCCAAGGTATGTGTGTTTCAGTTGCTTTTTTTCGCTTAGTTTATGCACAACTTGTTATCAAATGCCTGTCTAAACACTTCCAATCCGCCTTTCTAGTTATACCTTTTATGATGGCCCGCCATTTGCAACCGGTCTTCCACATTATGGACATTTGTTGGCTGGCACCATAAAAGATATCGTCACTCGCTTCGCCTACAGTCAGGGCTACCACGTCGAGCGTCACTTTGGCTGGGATTGTCACGGTCTCCCAGTTGAGTATGAAGTCGACAAAATCCACAACATTACAGGCCCGCATGACGTTGAAAAAATGGGAGTTGCTGCCTACAATGACAAGTGTCGTGAGATTGTAATGCGGTATTCGAGTCAGTGGAAAACTGTTGTTCAACGCATTGGTCGATGGATTGACTTCGAGAATGACTATCGCACCATGTACCCATCATTCATGGAGTCCGTGTGGTGGGCTTTTAAGCAGCTCTTCGAAAAGGGCCTTGTCTATCGTGGAATCAAAGTTATGCCCTATTCAACTGCCTGTGCAACTCCGCTGTCCAATTTTGAGGCTGGCCAGAATTACAAGGATGTGCAAGATCCCGCGGTGATTGTCAGTTTCCCACTCGATAATGAGTCTGGAGTGGAATTACTGGCGTGGAGCACCACTCCTTGGACGTTGCCTAGCAACCTTGCTCTCTGTGTCAATCCTGACAAGGATTATGTCAAACTGCAGGGTAAATATATTGCTCTTTTTCTGCAATTTCGCTCCTTCCGCTGTTCCAATTGATGATCGTGCTTCTATCCTTTCTTAGACAAATCCCGTGACAGAGTATTCATTATGATGGAATGCCGTGTCAGTTCGTTATACAAGAGCCCAGATGATTACACGGTCCTTAAAGAGTAAGCTTGCGTCTGAATTGTTGTTGAATTAACTTGACTACCACTTTTTAACTCCGCCATTGTCTAACACTAGATTGAAGGGCAAAGATCTCTCAGGGTTGTCGTACAAACCCCTCTTCGACTACTTTATTGCGGTAAGATCCACTTCCAAGATATTTTGCAACTCCGTTAAGCGCCTTCGGCCTCACTAGCGTCCCTTGTTCATCTTAACAGCTCAAAACAAGCCGTGGTGCCTTCCGCGTCGTCTGTGATAACTACGTTACCGAGGAAACGGGCACTGGGATTGTGCATCAGGCGCCGTACTTTGGCGAGGTTAGTTCATTCGTTCATTTTTCTGGCCTCAGATCAATTTCACAAGGCGAAATAATCACAAATAATTAACTCCACGCTTCGCGATATTCCCACCGTTTGTGACTGCACGTAATTGTCGGTGTATCGACGCATCGTGTTACCGCGCGGTCAAAGTCTCCCCTTGTTCCGACATGTATCCCCTTACCTCCTCCTCCTCCTCCTCCTCCTCCTCCTCCTCCTCCTCCTC